ACTGAATTCCAGCGTCTACTTAACGAGTTCCTATCAACAAAAGAGCTTCGGTCTACTTATCCATACTTTATCCATATGGGCCGCTCAACTAGCTTTAGTACTACAGACCCCAGTGCAATACCCCCAATTTGAGGAAACTCATTTGCCCCGGCAACCGTACCTCATCTATAACGTGATAAAACCAACCTAATCTCTCCCACATGCCTTTACCTAAGGTCCGGTTATTCAGCTTACTAGAGATCCTATCGATATTTCTTCAATCGGGTTTATAAACTCATTAGACTCTCCTGGATGTATAATCCCAAATTAGTTGTGATAGTTCTCCCATAATATAAGCAAACTGGTACTTTGTAATGTCTAAAGCATGCCATATGAAAAGTGGCCAGGAATACCTAGCAATAACAAACTCAACCAACCAACCATTTTCCCCAAGTTCATTCAACCTACCCTTATCCCTAATCGTACCACTACTCACTACACTCTACTCAGTAGAATATGACTTAATTTGCTCCGGTGCTCAAAACTCTTCTACCCTTTACTTTTTAAAAAAGACGTTTTAACTACTAACTGCACAGTAGCCATTTAACTAACTCACTGGTTTCCTCTTCACTGTAATCTTCAATAAGTTCGTCAGTATAATTATTTCCGAAAACCATTACATTAGCAACCATATCTTTTAATATTTTACGAATATACTTATATTATTAGCATAATACACTGCACTATTTTTGAGTTGAATTGATTATCTTCAGTCAACAGTTACCCATTCTCATATAATTTTCTAAAATTCATAATGTTAAAGCTATGTAGTATTTCTGTTAATATCTTTTATAATATGTTTAGACACGTTACTTTGCAATGTCAGATGTCTACTATATACAAGACTGTCATGATAATTTAGTACACTAAGTCCTGCCAACCGACCTTACCTTCAGTTCATACTACCTACATTGATCCCTAACTATATTGTTCTGCTGAATCTTGCTTAACTATTCACAAAACCTATTCTTTTTATTCTTTAAGGTTTTAACTTCTTGTAAAGTAATCCGTTCATTAGGACGCATGCATACATATATAATGTTCATAAAGATGTATGTGGAGACCTATTGGAAGCACTCATTAAGAAAGCTAGGGAGATGGAATATGGGGTACGAACATGTCTGGTACCAAGCAGTATATTTGCGGTAGCCATAATAATCATATTCTCAGAGCTTAACATCAAAAAAGGAGGGAGGGTGGCGTTAGCTGATCAGTAGATATGGTGGGGGTCACTAAGGTGAATCGCCCCATTCTGCAGGAACAGCAATATACAAATTAAAGGCTCGAGATATTTCTGATTTTTATGAGGGCTTAGATCTTTATCTTGAAAAAGATAATAATGAACGCCTTGACAGATCATGCTTCTACCTTTAAATATATACCATTCGCTCAGCCTATTGTTGAGATGCGACCATGTGGGATCTGCACAGATTTATGGGGCATCTTATAAATCAACTTGCTGTCCATTGTCGGATCTTTAAATACCACTTCACAATGTCTTATCTCATTCATTTTCTAATAACGTCTTTACTTAATCCTCATTGTATCCCATTAAACCTAACATTTTATAGCTCTTTATGAATTTGATTCGACTTATTCTATTCCTATTCTCTGTGAGGTACGGTTGTGCACCAAATGCACAAAAAAGCATAAAATAAAAAAACAGACATAAGGAAAAAATGTATTAAAACCAAAAGTGGACATCATGATACTACCAGATATACGCGTAGCATTATACATTGCAAATGAACGTTGTCAGCCTAGGGAGTTTTCTATATTAATGCATTTATTAGTGATACTTGCACTTACCCATTTCATTACACTTTATTGATTCACCTTAGCACTTTTACTTTTCTAAAAACAGCTTTCAATCCGTTGTAAACGTTGTACTTACCTCAATATTGGTTGGTTATCGTATGCCGACAACCACGGGATGAAAACGAAACGAAGTCGATTTTCCCGCTCAACCTGGAGGACAATTGTACAATTCAATAACTATACAGCCTAGTTCAGACAATGTGTATTTATATATATATCAAATATTTAACTGTTGAAACATTATTAACTTGTAGACAATCTACGATTTGATATTATATCATACTTGATCGTGCCTGTAAAAATGGCATGCATTTTCATGTAAATTTATATGTTTATATGAGAATATATATTATTACTGTTATTACTGTATAATGTTAAAAATATTGCGAAATATTATAAAATTATGCGTTTTAGAAAAGTATGTGAGAAAAGGTAGTTATTGACTGAGTTATGTCATTTCGACACAAAAAGAGTATTGTGTTATTAACTGTGTATATATATGTAAAATATTAGAAGGTAAGGTTGCTAATATAATTGTTTCCAGAGCTAATTATACGAACACAACTTAGTGAAAATTATAAGGAAAAGAAAATCAGTAAATTGGTTAAACGTTCGCTGCGTAAGTAGCAGAGTCGCGGTATACGCATGTGACTATACTGAAGACTGGACCGGCTTTCAATTTCCGTTCTACCAACAGTCGTGGTTTTTTAGATGAGTTAGGGTGGACATGTAAGTGTGTCTTTCTAGGTTCCGATTGAACCCATCGGGATTTGCACAACATCTAACTTCATATGGTAGTTGGTTGCAATATTTAATGGTGAAAAAGTTTTCCCTGACGGATTTTCTCTGGGTAACCATCTTAACAAGTTAGTCGTGGTTGTACGGCGTATATGATTTGATATTTTCCCACCTTATGGATGAGTTACTATAACAATATTTCCTAACGACTTCGAAGAGCAGAAAGAAGTTGCACTTCACTCTCCCTAAACACAGAGGTTCCAGTTTCAGAGGTATACACCTGTCGACATATACCACTTATTGGTCAAACCCTATTATGCGTTACTTGAGGAATCTCTGAACATCTTCGGCTAGTCTTGCTTCTTGGCTGTAAATGTTACGCAGTACAAAGCCAGTAAGTCGTTTACAGTCAGATACTACCATATTTGCATGGTCGGAAAAAGTTTAATCTGAGTATGCTTTCCCGAAATCTGTGACTGTTCAATTTTGAGAGGAGCTTACCGTACATATATAGACACATTCTCGGTTTCTAGCGTCCGAGGTGGGCTATACAGCACTTGTCTGGGTTGAAAGTCAGTCGTCATTTTTAGCTCCAATCGTCTAGTTTGTTTAAGTCATGTTGGATCTTACTTTCGACGAGCATGTCATTGTACCCATAACCATATTCTATCTTGACATCATAAGCAAAGAGGTATGGCTTGCCGTACTTGATCACAGAGACCATGTCATTGATGTGTAAGAGGAATAGAATAGGGCCAACAAAGCTACCTTCTATTACACTACTAGTTATTGGCATTGGCGAAGATAACTGGTCGTTGATTTTCACTGGCTGCTCTCTTTCTGTGAGAAAGGAATTTATCCATCTGAGAAGATTTCCGGTTATTCCGCAGGATTGGAACTTTGTTGGAAGCCTGGTATGTGGGGCTTTATTAAAGGCCTTGCTAATGTCGAGATATAATGTTGTTACTGAATGCCCATTATCTATGTATTGTGTCAGAATAATCTAAGTGGCAAGTAATGCACGACCTTCTACTTAAGAAACCTCATCAGGATGGCGATAGTAGGTCATTCGAGAGAAAGTACTGAATGATTTGAGTCTTTACTATCTTCTCTGTTACACATGAAACTACAAAGGTGATGTTGATGGGGCGGTAGTTGTTGATACAAGCTGTAGGCCCGTATTTACGCATAGGTACAATATAATGGTGTGGGCTCAATTGAATGTACTTCATTTGTGAGCCTGACGACGTACAAGTTGTAATGAGCAGCTGACAAGAAACGGGAAATGGTATAATTGGGACATATATCAAGTCTGTAGCAGTGCATTCCACACATTCCTTTTACTGAGGAAAAACATCTCATTTAAATGCGAAGAGTTTGATGCTGATAGCACAATATTCAGCCATAGGTGGAAGCAGTCTACCATAATGTTCGCCCAAGGATGGTAGAATGTTGTTATGAAACTTACGCCTACTAGAAGCCTAGGTGAGGATGAAAATAGGTCACCTCCAAATTGCTGCTTACGATCGGTTGTTTTGGAAAACAGACAACCGAAATTCAGGTTGTATTTTCCCACGAAAACAAGTTCGGCTATTGTAGCAGACATATCCTTGCGGGAGCACTTGTTCAGGCCATCAGGTGAAGTGATTATGGCGTGACAGGGTGTGGGCGTATACAAAGGATTCTATAGAAGGTTCAACCAAATCTATATGGAGGTGGTCAAGGCGGTTGCTTGGGTGGGTGGGGGGTAATTTAGAAGCACATCCTCAATATTTGAAGAGGACAGGAGGATAAGAGCAATGCACTTATATTTCAAGCAGGTCTCAAAAATCTGTCACGTGGATTATAGGGGTTGGTTCTTCCACTAAGTACAGAGAAAGGAACGTATGCTTGTTAGGAAGGGACTTACATATTCGCGGTTTTCTAAACTGTAAACCTAAATAAGCGCAGTGATGTTCCTATGCATCGAAGGTTCTCAATCTTTTATTGGTAAGCTTCAGGAGAGTTCCGTCATACATCGTGGGGGTTTTCAAAAAGATTAATATGCTATCAAGGTATGCTATCTTCAATTGTGAAATCGAAAGTATACTGAACATTGAATATTGATTGAAGGCGGACTACTTTGTGTTCATCTGAATTCATCCGGCTCTACTCGGTTTGTATGTATGAAATTACTTGCTGCATTTGGTCGATTTATATTTTTTATGGGTTAATTAAGACAGTTACTGTGGCTCTAATTAGGGATTAGAAGGAGTTTTGACAAACACTTGACTCCTAGCAGTAACTATAGCTATATATAACTTCTGGATATCCGTTATATAACGGATATACATATATGCATGTAGTTAACCCTAAAAAGGCTTGTCTGCTGTTGTCGATTACAGTACTCATATTTTATACAGGCAGTAAGTTTAACCTTCTAAGGATAGTTAGAGAAGACCGTGCGGGGTCCCCTCACGAATTTTCAAGTGTCTTCAGACTGTATTTCGAAGTCTGCAAAGTCTAGGTGTTCTGTGGAAGGTTTCTTGTGATTAACCCATTGGAATCACCATAATGAACTCTCTTGGGGATGCCGTTGCTAAGATTCTTGCTTTCCGATTCGAGATGTCTCCTCGTACACAGTAATGATACATAAATCCAGATTCGCACTTATGACTGAAGAAAGAGGGGTTAATTCGATGTAAAATCTTTTCTACTGAATGTTTGTGCTTGCCTATTCCTTTCTATAACAGGCCGATTGTGTGCGCAGACACCTGGGAATTGGTTCGAAGAGTAAATGCCTCCTACAGTTCCTCTTTTACTTCCAAACTCTTCTGTTATGTCCTCTGAAATGTTTTGATCTTGTGCAGAAGAAAAAGAATAAATGGAGCAGATCTATAGTCATTTCCTTAGACTTTCTTAAAATATACTTGGATCTCATCTTTGCCTATGGCATGGCAAGGTGTTCGTTGTATGACAAAACAGTCATACCAGGAACAATGTGTGGCATTTCTTTGATCTCTTTTCAGTTTGTATTTGTGTCGTTATTGGCGAGATCTGGCCACTTGGAGGCGGTTTTGTTTAGACCTCACCAGCAATATAAATATTTGTGAATATTGTGGGTGGTTGTAAAGCGGCAAGGTAAAAGTGAGGCAGTGTGACTTAATTTCAAGTCATCAAAAAAGGAATTGTCTTTCAACATTTAAAAAAAGTGCTTATTTTGTGGCTTTGATTTTCGGGACGGTATAAATATTTGTAGACTTAATAACAAAGCTCAGAATTGTTCACATTGTAGAGAGGTATTCATTCTTTAACGTCTTAGAAAATTCTGAACGTTTCGATGGACCTTTGTCCAGTTATTTGGTCTCACTTACTCATATTTGTATACCGTAATCTCATGTGTGTTCCAATTTAAGGTGTGGCATACATTGACTGCTGCAATGTTATACAAAGTCCTGTATTGATTTATCCATCTGTTTCCCCCAGATGCTAACCTATCTTACCATGTACACTTAATTTGTATTTATTTGTTGTATTTTAGATCTTCCTGAAATAGAAGATGAACAGTCGTATGGGTTATTATGGACCATCTTCATCATACTCTGATCCATGGGGTACGTTTCCGCGGGTTTTTCTTCGTAGTAGTCAATCTCAATTCACTTATTCTGTGCAGCTAAGCATACGATTTTAAATATTGTCTATTTATTATTTTCTGTTTCAATAAATGTTTAGTTAACTTTGATTTTACCTTGTAGGTTCGGCTCAAATGAACAATTCAACACAGCCACCATCATCATCATTTGGTTTCAACAACCAAGGAAATGTGAGTATTGGAATAAATTTTGTCTTTTTAAAATACTACTATGAAGTGTTTATTAGAGAGAGAGAGAGAGAACTCAAAGAGTGTAATACGTTATAATGTCACAATTTGAAGCAGAAATGAGTTGCAAAGGTGTTAGTAAGGGTGGTTGTGTATCAGGATGATCGGTGTTTAGAAGTCTAAGTGTTGTTTTTTTGATGTCTTCAATATAACAGTTAAATGTTTCAGACTTAGTTACATTATCAAAATCACTAACGCCATTATTCATTCAGTTCATTCTCTTGCATGTCTCTCTCTATCTACGGTAGCATAAATCAATCTCTTTTCTGTATTGCTTTGCAACTTCCGTGGCAACCGGCAACTTGAACTGTGGTATACATTGACTTACCAGTTAGTTACCTTATTGTTTTGTCTAACCACACCCATGGTAACCGTATTTTTCTTCTTCGTGAAATGGTTATAGACCACAAGCATTGCAGATGTGATAAGCTCAACGATTATCCATTGTTATCAATAGGACACGAAGTAGTAATATCATGGAGGCAGATATTGTAGGAATGCCACTGACCTGTAGTGTATTGTAAGATCAAACCACTCTCTCTCTCTCTCTGTTCGCTAGTTTGGACTTCAGTACACTTAGTCTGATGAACTATGAATCTTCAGTAGTGAAAATCTTGGTGGATATCTCCGTTTCCCCATTATCTCAGGGGTGAGACTGTATACCACTATGCTAATAGAAACTACTAACCCTAAGGGTTCTTCCACAATATTGGATGGATAGTTCTTCAACTAAAAACAGTAACTTGGTATACAAGATGACCTTTCCGTCAGTTGGTGTTCTGGCGAAACCGTGTAAAGACTCTTGGAACTCTGGGTGACTTACAGTGTTGGTTTTCTCTGCTCCAAAGCACATTATTTAAGGGTTTTTTGACAATGGCTCATCTTGTGTACTAATCTTTAAGAAATGCTTCGGCAATACCTGTTGGTTTCGTTTCGTTTAAGCTGTCGACACATCTCATGTATTTATCCTTCATCAGTGGTTGTTAAAACACGTTTTGTGGGTTTAAAACCGATATATGAGGGCTTCCTTCAGGACGAGGCTGTCTTTCGCAGTGATGTGTTATCTGAATGTGTCCCTGAGAAGTTTTCCAATATTATGAAGGCTCTCTACTAAGCTATATTCGAATATAATTCCATTGTGGATAAAATTTTATTTTGATAAAGTCACACAGTGGTATACAGTAATATTTATCGCTCTGCTACACTATTCTAAGCTATCAGTGACGCTATATACAAGATTGATTGGTTTCACCATTTCTCTGGAGGTTTATCATCAGTGGTAGTTTGCAGGAAGCTCCGAAGGAAGTGCACAGTGGTTAAGATCTGTTACGTGGAAGAAGACTTTAAAATGTGGACAGTATCGGCCTGCTTTGTAATGTCATGAAGTCTACTCAAATCTCACTTAGTCTGTTAGTGGTTAATACCAGCCCTTATAGCGTGTCGCTTTAAATCATTTATGTAGTCTCATCGTATGCAAGATGGTCTATGCAAAAAGATGTATTCTGGACATGTTCGGTGGCGACGCTACTTAGCATTGTAGATATTTGAATCAGATTGAGATAGATATTTTATAAGATAGGCTATATTTAGAAGTTAGTTGGTGGATGGTAACTTGCAGTGGAATCCGGGATGCGCATTTCGTCCTCTTTTGGACTCGTCGTCTGGAAGTGTCTGCATTCTGCAGCGAGTGATGATGTTCCCACTGCTAGTCACCATCCACCAATTAACTTCTAATTACATGCCCAGACATCGTCGAAGCATCTGCACAAAAAGCCGACATGCCAACCTGAGACCGAGCACTTCGGTCCAATAAATAAATCGACGGGAAAATCTAAAATTGAATCAAGCAAAGTTATATTTGTTTACATTGCAGCATGCAGCAAACCCATGATGAAATCGGTGACTTGTTAATCGAAACTGAATATAGAGGTGTAGGTTATCTGGCTGTAATCGTTGAAATGTTAAGGACCAGTTGTTAGTGGCGACTCTCTCTCGAGATGGTTGACGATACCTATGTTCATTTTTTATCATTGAAATTGTGACTGTTTTCAAATAATCTTTAATAAATTTTCTCTTACTTCACTATCATGGTTGTGGCATCAATTTTTTTGTTGCTGTTTTTGGTTCCCTGTGGTTTAAAAAGTGGCTGATCTCTGGATATTTTTTCGTCACTCAATTAACCACCTTGTTGTACTAACAGTGCTTAGGGACTTGAACGTGATCTTGGAGAAAGATTCACCGTTAAGATAATTTTAGGTGTCTTTCTGTGGGCGGTAGGATCATTACCAAAGGAGGACAAAGTCCCTATGTTGAAGATTTTCAGCCAGTTAACGTTTAACATCTAACATCGAATACTGATAACATCATTAAGTGTGGTAAGGGTTGTAACTCGTCCATATCTACAGAATGTGTTTCTTTAATGGATCTGCGGACTAGAATTTCATTTCGTCACCATTTATCACAGTGGAGTATAACGTTCATAGCTAATTCTTTCTAAGGCACTTACTGATAAAAGTCTGCACCAAGGTTCTGACCCATGTAGAAGAACTGACTGACTGATTTCACATTGGTGTTGAAAAGCCGAATCATGTTGTCAACACTGAGTTCAGAAGATTTCCAAACTGACTTCATAGTGATTGTGTGCCTTGCCTTTCCACTACTGACTGGGATTGACATACTCCTCCGTGGAGTTGGCTGTAGTTGGAACGACGCTTCCTAGATAAGCGAAGGAAGTAACCTGTGTCAAATCTCTCCCTTTGATGGTGATTGGTCGGTTATCTTTATCACATTCGTCTTCTCAATTTTCACTTGAATTCCTGTCTTTGTTGCTTGCCTCTCCAGCCAGTTTGTGTGACATTAAACATAAATCATCTGTGAAATCCAAATTTTCCAGAGTCTTCTTATTGGTCTGGCATATTCCTGTCTTCTCACTCCCCGCACACGGTGTGCCACATAGTCCAGTCCAACACAATTAAGAATACTATTGGTAATAAAAGGCAACCAGCTTGTCTTACTCCTGTATTCACTTCAAAGGCCTCATTGAATTTTCCGTTGTGTGTTACCTGACACGTGCCATTGTCATAAAGCTATTGAATGAGGTCACTAACTGAGGTTACTAAAGCTGTCACCAATCTGAAACTAGGCAAAGCAGCGGGACCTGATGGAATGACGCCAGAGGTATTTAAGTACGGTGGAGACAGTTTACTGTCCGGATTAACTGAGGTACTAGGCAGCGTTTGGGAATCAGAAGAAGTCCCATCGGGTTGGTGTAAGTCACTGATTATCCCCATATACAAGAAGGGAGACAAGTCTTCCTGTGATAATCACAGAGGGATTAGCTTGACTAATATAGTATCTAAAGTCTTAGGCTCAATAATCATGCGTAGACTGAATGGTGCTCGGGAAGCACAAACACGAGAGAGCCAGGCAGGCTTTAGACCAGGAAGAGGGTGTATTGATCATATCTTCACCCTCCGACAGATTCTAGAACATAGGCATTCCTACCGGCGTCCAACAGTCATTATATTTCTTGACCTAAAGGCAGCATTCGACTCTGTCGATCGGGAAGTTCTCTGGAGATGCTTGGCTGTAAAGGGAATTCCAAGAAAATATATTGCACTGATTAAGGCACTCTATTCGTACTCATACAGCCAGGTGAGGGCTTACGGCGAGCTGTCATCTGAACTGATGACGACCAGTGGTGTCCGTCAAGGATGCCCATTATCTCCTTTTCTATTCAACTTCATCATAGATGTGTTAATGGACTTAACCCTAGGTGACTTCAGCGATTCAGGGATTGACTTGCTACCTGGGAATAATCTCGTTGACTTGGAATATGCAGACGATATAGTCCTTCTAGGCGAAGACGCTGACGAAATGCAGAGTCTTCTAAACACCTTGAACAGCAATCTACGAATGTTTGGCATGCGATTCGCTCCCGCCAAATGCAAGATGATGTTACAGGACTGGACTACATCGACGCCTAGTTTAAAAATAGGAAGTGAAGTGGTAGAGCACGTTGACCGCTTCACTTATTTGGGAAGTACCATCAGCCCCAACGGGTTGATCCCTGACGAAATCTCACCACGAATACAGGGGGCTCGTTTCGCACTTGCCAGTTTACGCCGACTCTGGCGTAGACGAGATGTTCGACTATCGACCAAAGGGCGGGTGTACTGCTCATCAGTCCGCTCCGTCCTCCTTTATGGTTGTGAGACCTGGCCACTGAGAGTGGAAGACATGAAAAGACTAGCTGCCTTTGATCATAGGTGCCTGCGTTCTATTTCCCGTGTAAAGTGGCATAATAAGGTGAGCAACATGGAGGTTAGGCGTAGAGTTCTAGGTAAACAGGGGAAATCAATCGACGAAGTCGTAAAGCTACATCGACTGAGATGGTTAGGACATGTGTTACGTATTCCAAGTCATCGCCTCCCTCGACGAGCTATGTTAGCGGATATAGGGTTAGGCTGGAAAAAAGCTAGCGGCGGTCAAACAAAAACTTGGCATCAGTCAATGAAATCCACAACAGTTGGTCTTAGCCACGTAGGAAGGTGTAGACTTCCAGGCTGGGGTCCTCGGGACGGTAAAAATCTATGGTTGGAAACAATTGGTGACATGGCTCAAAATCGTTCTCAGTGGCGCAGATGCATCCACTCCCTGTGACTTATGATCTTCAATGAAATTGTTTTGTATTTCTTTATTACTCCTTTGTCTCACACCTCTGCTCACTGTTTCGATTATGCTGTTCTTGTACTTTCTTCTCTTGCTTCGCGTGCTACACGGAATGTGGCGACTTGAACTTCCGCACATTTGTGCAAAGTTCTATGTCGAAAACAGACAGACAGACAGAATGAGGTTGATAAGAATTTGGGGCAATCTATAGTGTTGACGTAATTTCCAAATTACTCGGTTAGTTCTTTTAGCCTTTTCAAAGTCAATGAAGTTGAGGTAGAAGTTTGACTGTCATACTATGCTTTGCCCGATGATGATGCGTAGAGTTGCAATTCGATCAGCTTATTCCGGTGGGTGGTGGAGTTCTGTATCACGTGAATCTTTTATTCTCTCCAGGATGACGCGACTCAATATGTTACGTTGCGTGTACAAAAGCATGATTCCATGCCTGTTGGTGCGGAGACCCTAGCCATCCTGATATGTATCCATTTATATATATATATATATATATATATATATATGTTGGTCTCTCTTTCTGTTTACTCTCTTAGTCTGTGACCATTTCACTTCTATGAACTTGTCTCCTTTAACAATGTATATTCTCCCTATATTATATATAATATAATCTGAGTGTTTGTTGACAGTCCGTTGCTTAGTGACATATATCCATATATGGTGGTTGTTGACATGTCTGCTATATTTTGCCATAAATATATATTTCGTTCTCACAATTTGTGTGACTGACTTACTTACACTTACTTACACTTTGGTGTGATACCACTTATTGCATTCTCCTTGTGTTGGAAAATAGAAGTATCATCGCAACCCTAGTGGTCTTCTGATTTCCGCCTTCTTGCGTCAGGACTATTAGTTTCTTGACCAGTCCATAACAATAATTTTTCGACGAGTACATAACACATCCTTCGTTGGCAGTTTGACACAGTAGCTGGAGGATATCCACTGTGGTCTCTGGGTCAGTTTTCAGTGCTCCCGGTGAGATTCTGTTCGGTCCTGCTGCCTTTCCGACCTTCACTTGCTTGAATACACTCAAGACTCCTGCCTATATTGGATGATTGGTGTCCACTGACAGATCTGTGACTGCTTTTGGTGGTATTTGTGGACAAGTTACAGATGATGATTTGTCCTTTGTAGAGTGATCAGTTCATTGGTTTCTATACTTCTCGTCTTTAGTAGCCGTCAGGTCCCGTTGACTTTTATTGGTTTCATCTGTGTTGAAGGTGTATGCACCGTCGTGTTTGCTGACTACAATAGTAGTATGTGTATAATCCTTACTGTTTTGTTTATTATTGTTTTGTAGCCTCCATTTCCTCAAACGCTTCCTGCAAGACAGAATCCAATGTTTTCACAAGGTAAGTCTTATTGACAAATAAGTTTTTTGATGAGAATTGTTTCTTCAGGGGTTTTTGGTACATTATTATAGTCTCGTGCACTTCATATGCAAGTTAAGTTTACAGGTACAGTGTTCTGGGAATCCTGCCCTTAAGTTTTTATGACTCAGGACGGATACAGAAGGCTCGTTTCGCATATGTCATAAAATACATCATGTGGTTTAAATGTGATATCTGTCTGTCAACCAAAAAGCGTGTGTACTGCTCAACAGCAGTTCGCTTTGTCCTCATTTATGACTGTGAAACATGGCCATTGAAAGTGGAAGACATGAAAAGGCTAGCTAGCTGTCTTTCATCATAGGTGCCTGCGTCCTACCTCCCATGTTAGGTTGTTGTATAATAAGGTGAGAGATTTTGAGGTTAGGCATCGGTCGAGTGCTAAGTGAGGGGGGGGGGAAATCAATAGAAGAGATTGTGAAGTTACATGTGCTACACATGCCTAATCATCGCCTTCCTCGACAGTGGGCAATGTTAGCTGAAATGGGATTCGGTTGGAAAAGAGCTGGTTGTGGTGGTCAAAGCAAATCTTGGCATCAGTCCATGAAATCTTTGGTAGTCAGTTTGAGCCAGACACGTAGGGATATGTGTAAACTACCAATCTAGCTGTGGGGTGTTCGGGATACTAAGTCCCCAATGAAGACTGGTGACAATTGGTGATGTGACGCAAAATCGTTCTCAATGGCCGGCGCAGATGCATTTACTCTTTGTGATTTGTTATATCCAATCAAAGTACTCTATTGTTCTTCCATATTACTATTTCTCTCTCCCTCAGATTTCTGCCTACACTCGTTGTTTCGGATCTCGTTTTTTTCTCCCTCTCTCTCATTTTGTCTTCCTATATTTGGTACATGGGGTGTAGCGAATCTAAGTTGATGCACTTCTGTGCAAAGTTCTATGTTGAAATCACTCAGTCAGTCAGTCATTATCTAACCCTGACACTTACCTAATTCTGATCCCAAACATAACTCATAAAAAACAAGTAATTTTCCTGATCCGAAAACCATTCCTAAACCTAATTCTAACTGAAAGGAAAGATCAGGATCAAACCTCAGAATAGTCCTTGATTAAAATGGGTTCTAAATGAGGTACAGTCTGATTGACTTTTCAACGTGATTTGACAACTCCTTAGTTTTGACTGTTATTGTTTCCAGTTATCCACAAAATAATAGTTGTTACCCGACTGATTACTTTTGAGACGCAACAAAGTCATTGCTGAGTTGCATTCTTTGAGGCAAATTTTCTTGTTTCGCTGTTACCGTCAGTATGCATATTTGTTCTCGAGCTGTATTAAATCTCTATGAGAAATCCGCTGGCACATAGCATGATACTTTGAAGAAAATGTTTATTTAAAGTCAATTGGTGGATGGTGACTAGCAATGCAATCGAGGATGCGCATTTAGTCTTTTTTGGGACTCCCCAGTGAGTTGAGCTGTTCTCACCGAGGCTCGAACCCCAGTGCTCGTGGTTTCAAACTCCAAAGCGTTGTCTACTAGACCACTTGGCCACGAGAGCCCACCCCTTGTGCAACGGGTCTTATTAATTTCATTTAATTCAATTTAGATTTCTTCGTCGATTGATTGAACCGAAGTGCTCGGTTTCACTGGGGACTGCAAGCACATCCAGCTGATTAGTCCTAATTAGGACGAAACGCGCATCCTGGATTCCATTACTAGTCACCATCCACCAATTGACTTCAAGGTACATGACCAGACATCGTCGAAGCGTCTGCACAAGGAGTCGATGTATCATTCTGAGACTGAGCACTGTTGAAGAGAATTCATGAAATAGAATCAAGTCATATTGTCCTGCAAATATGTATTCGTCACTTCGTTATTCAAACTAATAAAGGGGACCGGATGTATACGATTTTCTACTTTTGATTTGATTTCACCGACAATTAAAAAGTATCATGTATCACATAGTTTATTTATTTTATTCCGTCTTTTGAAAACATGCTGTCGTAAACTACTGGCAAGAATAATAAACCTGTCAACAGTAGTCCCAATAGACTCCGCAATGGAACACTGTCAACTCGACAGAATACGCAAATTGAATTAGATGTTGATTTTAGTTAAGGGAGAAAAAATGTTCCTTGTTATGTGTTGCTGTATACTGTTAGTGAATTACAGCAATGTTAGCAGGCCCTCTTTTTCAGTTTAAAGCACAGTTGTATTTTAATTTTGTTCTACTTTCCCTCTTTGATAATGCGTCTAGTTCTTTCTATGTTTTTGATGCAGACTGGATCCTATTAGTCAAGTTTGCAATGTGGTCGCCAACAGGCTAGGTCGCTACGGGTTCGACATCACGGTGCACTGTGATATATCACACCACAATGAACACCTCAGTGGTGGTTACGTTTCTGACATCAAGCAGCACTGAATGACATCTGAGTTAGAATCTCAAACAGGGGACATGAGTTCCTTGAAGACTGAAGACGATCACCTTGTTGACTGATTGGTGAGAGTGCCAGCCAACAAACACAAGCTATAACAGGCGGTTCTAGGGGCTTCCTATCTGATTGCCTCCAAACGTCTAAGAAACTGACCCCCTCTTTACTAAGACACTCATTGTTAGCTGGTTTTTCATTTTCATATTGTGTCATTTTCTCTTTTCACTTTTCTGCTTTCCTTTTAGTCTCAAACCAGAGACATACTGCACAACCATTACAAACATCGTCTTCACCTTCTTATCTCGTCCCTAGAGGACATCAAGGTTCAAATCAGCAGGTAATTTTTTAGTCAGTGATGATTGTCATGTTTTGTTCGCTTGTGTGTGTGTGTGTGTGTACATTCGCCATGTTAGGCTGACGATTCGCTAAATATGATTTTTACTAAGCTTATTATAAACTTATCTAAACTGTGAAAGTAGTGAGAGAAATCCGAGGTGTTAACACAGAATGTCGTGTCCGCTGTTACAGAAAATGCTTCGCATTCAAGTTGTTGGCATGTGATGTAAACATAGCCAGCAATTGTCGTGATCGAAAAAGATCCTGGCACTACCGCTGTCTCAGAGAAAAACAAATTGGTGGTTGGAGGATTGTTTATTTTATCGAGGGCTGACATCGGTTAGGGAACCATTGGAAAACCATCAGGGAGTACTGGACAGCTGTTCCATCCTGGTTTGGGACTCTGCATCCGTACGGACCTACCACTGGGATTCGAACCCTGGACCTTCCGATTACAAGACGAACTGGTAGACCACTCATCAGTCACTGGGACCCGATCCAATGGCTAGCCCATCAATTAGAACTTCTACTAATTCATGACACAACACGACTGGCACTAACGAATGTCATCTGTGGTGAGTATTTGTTCTTACTCCCGACCTGTTGTACCGACAATGAACCACGACTACAGGGTTATCACAACACAGTGCCTATGTATGAATAAACATCAACATAAATCACAATAATACTTATCATCATTTTTCTGTCAATCTTCTGCTGAACATCATATGATTAAGTCACAGCCGCCAGTTTAGTCTCCCGCCAAAATTTTTTTTTGGGGGTGGGGCGGGAGAAAGGTCAGTTCGAATAAACAAATCAAATTGTTACTCATTTAATATTTTCAATATATTAAATATTCCCATAGTAAAATTTAGAACAACACATTTAAGCGAACAATATTGTGGTTTTCAATTAGATCTCATCAGGCTTAACTCTAATATACATAAGTTTACAAATAAAAATTCAAATATAAACCAATCGTAGTGTTTTGTCTATAGGATAATAAGATGGTGCATATAAATTGTGCAATTAGTCATCATAGTAATGATAATAGTAATAATAATGATAATAATAATAATATGGTTTTATCATTAATAAGGATGAAAAAGTGAGGCAATCTGTGATAACACGAATAATGCAAAACAGCCTGATTAAACAAACAAATGTGTTCGGGTGGAAGTAGTAGTCGATAAAGGCTAGTAAAAACAAATGAACCGATTAAGTAATGTTAGATTGTAGGGGAAATAAATGAAGTATGTTTTTAATGATGCAATAAGATTAAGGGATGATGCTTCGAAATGGGGAAGATTCCTGGGTTGACTGACAACATACAGTCAAAATAGTTCGAAGTTCCACGAAGCCCTGATAAAATATACAGCCTTCTAAACACACTGATTAGCTACAGGATTTCATCATGAGCTGACATTGGTTAGAGAACCATTGGAAAACCAGTCAGGGAGTACTGAGCAGCTGTTGAAATCCTGTAACCTCAACCAAATCCCTACAAACCAACACTTGAACACTGATCAGCAATTTATTAAGAATATGTTGTTATTAATGTGGTTTCTACGCGTAATGTACTCAAAATTGTTAATTATAAACTCATCTGCACTTGTAGTATTGATTATTTTTAAAGGTTTTCGTGTTTACTTTTTACTTTATTATTATAATTATGTTTTCTTCATTAGGATCTGAGTATGAGACCACCATTTAAACAGATGAATAGTCGACCGCCTGTTCTACATTCGGCGTCTCCAGCTCATGGAGGTGAGTAGTACTGACGCATAATTGATAGTTAATTTTTTTTAAATGGTATTTTGGAAATAATTTCAGTAAGGTCCACCATGTCAAAGTAGGTGATGAACAACTGGATGTGCTCGCCGTAGGCATTGTGGTGGGGGAAGCTTAGTATTCCGAGTCTGGTTTGCCATACCACCACAGTGACCCAAAAAGTTACACTGTCTGGGACTTATATTCTCCTGCGGGTTCGACTATGTCAAGAAGGTTGTTTTTTGCATAGAGGTTAGGCTCTGGAAGCGGTTACTATATGGGTTTGGTACATGGACCTCAGAATCCAAACGGGTCGAACCTGTATTAGACACTGGCAAATATAGGAATGTAGCTCCTGCGGACGCTGCCCCGCCGCCTTGTGGATGAGACTTTAAGTCAGGCTCAGTAGAAGGGGGAGAGATGTCCCTTAAGACAACCATCTGCTTCGGCCTGGGCGCCTGTGCATTGTCTCAGCCCTCACACTAACTACATTGCCAGTTGACAGAATTAGAATTCAGACGTCATCGAATGCCAGACCAAGTGTGACTGAATGGTCGTCAACGGACTTGATCTGGTAGCCTGGAGGTCCCTTGCGAGGTAATGGATGCGCGTTGCTGAAGAGTCCCAAGCACTAGAGCGGAACAGCTGTTGGTTGTTTTATGATGAAAGTCTAACGGTTGTGGAGTTTAGCTGATTAACTTTACGCATATGAATTCGCCTAGTCAACTGGTAATCTCGATTCAGTCACTCTTTGTACTTGGTCAAACATACTCCCACCACGTGTTATGTGCATTGTGAGGTGAAGAGGATTGACTTCTTTCAATTTCAAATTTGCCCCTCTCTTGAATGAAGTTGCAAACAGGTCCTTCTGTTGAGGAGTAGCAGCAACTACGAAACTTTGATGAAGCAAAGTTTTCTGCTCATCAGTTCTTACTAAGTAGCAAATATCGGTTAAATTTGTGCTGTGGCCCATTGATCTAGAGGCTGGACTTCCAACAGCAGGTGAATGTCACGTGTTGGAATCCTCGCGCTCCACACACTGAGGTGTTTGGGTAGTCTCGAGTAGTATGACCACACCTCATGCAATAGGCGTATGTCGCTGATCGCCAACTGTTTAGGATTGTAATCGGTTGTTGGTTAATATTGATTGGTTGGTTGTCATTTTATTTTTCTACTGTTCATGAAATACCATGTGTTCACACCATGTTGCGTGTTCTACAACAATGGTAGTAGTAGACCTCTTAATAGTGAGTTATATATTTTTCACTTGGTCACATGTCATCAGGTGACTTGTGCACATTTCATTTGCGTGATATTACCGCGTTGTGTAAATCACCTCTTCTGATGTGTTTTAACTGTGCACAAACAGTGAAGCTGTGCGTCGTCGCCAACCACGCTTCACGTGGTGTGGAGTTCGATTCCTGGCCACCAACACACACACACACACACTTTCACCCCATACACACCTCCTTTAGGCGGTTGTAAGCCCCGACAACATAGATCGAAGGTTGGATGGCATGACTGAGGCTAGGAACCCTCTGTGTTCCACTCGAGGAATAAAAAGTATTTGAAAAAATAAAGTGGAGCCGTGGCTCACTGGTGCTTACTTACCGTTGGTTTTCCGTCAGTGACTGAGTCTCGGGTTTGAATCTTGTCCCACAATCTGACTGGCAGTTGTATCATCAGCAACTTCGAGGCTAGAAAGCCTATGGTTTTTTATATACTATATGTATGTATATATAAAGGCATATATGATTGATTTTTCAGTATGCCTGCTTGTATATATCGTCATATATTGAATTACAAAGAGTTTTATTTCCTCTGTATATGTATACATATATCCACTTAACCATTTAGGTTCATCGCAGCAACAACATCCACCACCACCGCCTCATAGCGGTCGATCAATGTCAATGTCACGATTTGAACTTAGTAATACACATCCTAATTATAACGAGGGAAACTTCTGTGACGATATGATGGAACAGGTAACTTTTTCTCTTTCCTACAAAGAGTGCACTTTCTAAATCCATTTATCAGTAATAATAATAATGAAGTGCATTCATCATCACGCTCATTCATGTTTTCCTAAAGGGGCGGGTGTGTTTGAAAATATACTGAGAGATTCTCTTTTTTTTGCTATATTTGTTCAAAGATACATTTAGTGAAGATGTATTGCGCACATTGTCTGACATGTTGTGTGCACACATTCGCCCCTCCACTTCTCGCTTATGAAGACAGTTTTCGTGATGGTGATGGTGGTGATGCTGATTGGATTAAGCTCTCTTGTCGCTTAATCAAGGTGAGGGGGGGAGCGGTTCAAGTTCGTTTGCCCGCCCCTTCCTTTTTTGTGGCCTGAATAGCTTATGAAACGTACTGCCGGGTACATCTGGGTACGTAACATTATTGGGAAGTTGCGACTCAATAGTTTGAGGAGTCTATGGGCTCAAAACCCTCCTCCGCATACACTGACTTGCACTAGTGTGCATACAGTCAGGGAGGGGTGATGTAAGCATTCGTCTCTTCGATTTCAGCAGTCGAATAGTATCACACAGTTTCGAATGCTTCGTAAGCACAGTAATTAAACGAAAAGATAAGATTCAGAATAATTGTTATTTGGTGGTTAGCGGCAGTCGTCAGGCTTCGTGTTTGTTGGTGCCCACCAGTCAGCGAGGTGTGTATCTGCAACCCTAAGGGAATTCATGTTCCCCCCTGTTGGAGACTAGAACTCAGTGCTGCCCCTACAGTCAGAGACACGTTACTTCACTGAGCTATTCAGGCTACCTGACTGACCCTCGTGCTCATTGCATCCAACCATTATCTAATACCAACGATTCAGATGGTTGGTTGTTTTTGGCGGTCATACTGCAAACGTGACTGAGGGAGAATTCAGTCTGCAGTAGACAAATAAAGCACTAGACAGATGGCACTAATTTACATACTACCTACCATAATTGTTGTGATTATAATAGCTACATTAGAGAGGTTCAGTTCATTGATTGACCTCTGTTGCTGCCTTTTTGTCAACAGGTCACAAGTTCAAACTCTTTCATACGTTTGAGCTGTAGGCCCTATTACTGACTATATTATTGTCTTCGTTTTTGCGATAATCCAAAATTTCAGTTTCTACATTAATATATGTGTAAAACTTGGGCGCTATGGTAGTAAGTAATTCCGTATTAGTTTGTTTATTAGATGTATCACACAGTGAGTGAAACAGTATTATTTAATGAATGACAAGGTTCCGAACAAAATCTGTTGTTCATAATCATTTCATCAATTATAATCACACAGCTTGGAAACTTGAGTTTTATAGTTTTCTTTGTCCTCTCCTATTTGTCTTCGTAGGCGTGGTAGTAGAATTTTCCAGATATCTGGATGGACAGGTGTTGAATCATTCCTATTACATATATTTGCAGTTGGTTCGATAAACAAAGCTTCTGTTATCAATCTCTCCCTCCGCCCTGCTGTGACATTAGATTTTAAAACTGTCATCCTATTCCATCCCAACCTATTGTATGGTTGTGTGTAACTGCATGATGACATGCATGTCAAGCATGCGCAAGACAACACCAACAATAAGGAATCTAATTCATCAGTACTGATTCCACACAAGGAAGGAACCTCGGAAACCGCCTTACGCAGAATTCTCAACAAAGCAGGCGGTAATAAAAGTGGCTGGCATTCAAACCAACCACAAACTCAATGAGAAACAAACTTTGTCGGTTAACGGATCAATCCTGACAGTGGAGCCTTTAAAACAAAACAGTTTAGTTTAACTTATACTCTGCTGGAATGATTGTCAAGTCAAACTAGTAGAACAGGGGCAGCAAAATCTAAATTGGTTGACCCGAAGAAGATAAGAAATCTAGGGAACAGTTCAGCCGTACCACTCACTGCATGCAGTTACACACAACCATACAATAGGCTGGATGGAATAGGATGATAGTCTTTAAATCTAATGTCAGAGGGTGTAGGGAGGAGAGATTGATAACAGAAGCTTTGTTTATCGAATCAACTGGAAGAGAATACGTGTAATAAGAATGATTCAACACCTGTCCATCCAGATATCTGGAAAATTTTACTATAACCCTACGACAAATTGGAGAGGACAAAGAAAACTATAAAACTCAAGTTTCGAAGTCGTGTGATTATAATTGATGAAATGATTATGAAGAATAAATTTTGTTCGAAACGGTGTCATCCAGGAGATAATAGTGTTTCCCTGACTGTATGATACATCCAATAAACAAACTAATATGGGATTCAGTTTTCACAGTTCGAGGCGATGAAATTTCACCTGAGTGTCCTTGAAAAATCGCGATTATTCAGATCACACACACACACACAATATATGATCTGTTTCATGCCATAAATACTAACCATGAAGCCAAACGTAAATGCATTAAACTGTGTACATACTACTTACTGATTAATTGAGATGAGTAGTAGTCGGATGCCACTCACGCGAGCAAACTGTAGTGCTTGCCAACCAGCCAGATTGTAACGACTACATCACAGGATAGTCGTTTCACTCCCCCCCTGTTTACATTTGCGAATTTGATTTATGCTATAAATAATTTGCTAAGTAAATAGTTGGAAATCAGGTGGTTTGAACTGAATTCGCTCTCTGAATGACAACGAGTCGACCCGGATACACCGCTACTGATGATAAGCTGAGCTCCAGAAGTACAGAACGACCGTCAGGTGTTTATATCCCTCGATCTCAGCACGGATATGAAAAGGTGTGTGTGCGTCGGTGGCACAGTGGTTAGGACTCTCGCCGACCATCCACATGGTCCGGGGTTCGAGCCCACGCCGGCGCACACCTGATATCTATGGTTGGCCTGCAAAATTTGGGCTACCGATATCCATGCTGAAAATTCTATACTTGTACCAAAAATACAGTGTGCAATCAAGCTGTAAATCAAAAATCAAAATAAAATAAATCTTTATGGTGGACGTGATATCCAACTGGCTATCGACCAGAGGCCGTGTGTACTGGCTCAACAGCAGTTTACTCCTCACCGCCTCCTTTACGGCTGTGTGTGAGACATGACCATTGAAAGTGGGAGATATGAAAAGGCTGACTAGCTGTCTTTAATCATAGATGTTTTCGTTCTATCTCCCATCTTACGTGGTAATATAACAGGGTGAATGATGTTCACGTTAGACGTCGAATGTTGTGCACTTGTACAATATTTACGTTTCATTATTTTCGCTGTTTTCACCTTCCCTTTCTGTTTTTTTTTCTCCAGAGAAATCCAGATCATGCTCGTCGTTTTGGTTCATTTAAACCATTCGTAGGACAAACGGATTCTCCTGATACATGGATTAAGTGGACATTAAGATTTTGTTTTTTATTTTTATTATTTTCTATTTCTATGACCATTATAGAGTTGTTTTACAGGAGGAGGTGGTGGTGGTTAATTGTGACACGAGTTGTCTACGACTACAGTGCGCTTGCGTCTGACTCTCAGTCCTTTCAGAATTACAGAATTACTATTGATTATTATTATTGTAATCCTTAGCTTTCCTTGAGTGGAGCATAGAGCTTCAGGTTTTAGTTCTGAAGTTCCATTAGAAATGGTGTTTATCTCGGTTTTTTATGAGATTGAGGTTGCTAGTCTCAGTCATGCCTCTACCACCTATCAACCAACCTCCCCTCTTTGTCGGTGCTTATAACCGGCTAAGGCAGGTAAGGTGAAGGTTGTGGACGTTGGCAACTAGGAATCAGACCATGGACCAAGTGAGGCGTGGCTGACAAATATTCTACAGTTGAACCTTCAACCCACAGGACTACAGATATGTATGAAAAATTCTCATTTCATTTAGTTAGGAATATGGAAGTCAGCAAAGTGAACTCTTTTCGTATCTTCACTTCAGAGCTGTGCAGCTATCTATTTAGGCGGTTTATATGTGACTGTTATATATGACTGTGCTGATACTTCGGACTAAAAGTAATAATATTGTGCTTCAGAATTGAACTGTTGACGGTTCCACGTTCTTTTGACAACCATGCTGGTAAGTCTTCATAAGCGCATGTCTAGACGATGTCCTGCTGGCACGGTCTGTGTATTTAGTTCCGCGGGAGCAAGTAAGTATTGGTGAATACACACTCAAGTTGTCGACAGCGAGATCTTGTTTTTGACATTTAGGTGAATAAAATCGTGTTTAAAGAAAATACGGTAATGAGCATTCTTCGAATTTCTGTCGGCAGGTGTCTTCGGAGAATTTCACTAATTGTATCTGCTTTTAATTTTAGACAGACATTTAGTTATTTCTTCGGCACATCAAGGTTTCACGGAATATTGATCTTTCTCTTGTTTAGATATTTGTTGATTAAGGAGGCTGGTTATCCATTCTTGACCAGAGTGTTTCTGTGAAGGTTTTCAATTCCTTCTTTGCACATGCGGTAGATTCTCGTTGCAAGTGGAGATACGATGAGATTTATTTTTCTGCTTATTTGAACAAAACGGTGGAAGTTTGTCAGCTGTCCATTCTATTCTGGATTATGGTAGATCAATCTTTGTAGACTTCCATCTTATGGTCTTGGAAGCTGCACATCTTGGAAGGATAATTTACCTTCGCATTCCGCTTCAGTTTTCAATTCATTCGATCTATCAGGCTTGTTAACAATTTCCACGAAAGATTCTGCTTTCTCCTTATTTGCATCGACGATGATACATATATATTATCCATGTACCGCTTATAAACTCTGAAACGATTGATTATTGATTGTGCGAGAACATTTCACGCCATGAAGCAATCAGCGAGTAACGGACTCAATGGAGAACCCTTGGTTGCTCCATCTTCCTGTTGGTATTTTTGACCATTGAATAAAAATTGTTCCTGTTAAAGGGAAGTTGGTGAATAGGGGAACTACGTCTGTCTGGATGAACAATGTCGTCGGTGAACGACGATATAGTAGGACGGGGAAAGCAGAACGGTTGAGCGTGTGATTAGAAATATTACCTCATAGAAGCAACAACACCACCTCTATTGGAGCATCAGTTCTGAAACATAAACTCCTGTATTCCACTTGATACACAAGGAGTACAGATAACGTTATTCTTACAGATTAGTGTTTAACTTTTCTTTTTTATTGAGTTTGATCAGTGTTCAAATGTTCAAATGTGGAAGCTAATAGTGTGGTGTTGTAATTGTATTGATTAATTGCGAAAACTAATAATAGTGAATTCGGACAGCTGCTGCTAAAGACATTAATTAGTTACTTAGTAAACACCTGTGAGCCGTACTCATCATGTGAAGGTTAATGATATAGAGTACCTAGTCGGTGCTGCTGAATTAGATGAAGTGAATATCGATTCGAGGTGTTGTTGTCTGAAACGCGTGTGCTCAAGTCAACAGATCACATCACCATGAAGCATGAAGAAGACCGAGTAGTATTACTTATCTTTTTTTAAAAGTAAATGCGTCGGAGTGTAAGGTGTAGTGGTTTATGCGTGTAACTTACCGGTGTGTATAGTGAGGGATGGGATCATTGATTGGAGCCTTCAAAGTTGTATCGACTGAAATATTGGGCGAATGATTTAAATTATCCTTGTAATATTTAATGGCCTCCATCTGTCTGTTAGTCAGTCATTGTTTCTCTACAATTTTTTAGACGAAATTTTGTTCATATTGCATAATCTACCTGAAAAGACTTGCTTGCTTCCCCATGGTCAGTATATACTTAATTCCACTTATTTTGACGTTGAATTTACAGGCCCAAGTCAGTCACGATCATCACTAGCAAGAAGACCAAGTCAGATGGACGAGTCTTTAGAAAGACTACCACTTCCAGCTGCTGCGCAGCATCATCACTCTGAGGAAAAGCAAAGATTTCAGGTAATTATTATTGTTATTATTATTCATAATTGGTTCTCTTGAGGGTTCCGAGTCAGGGATATAAAGCTTCATGGTAACTCCATAAGCTTACACTACTTCCCCGACGGTCTCCTCACACCATGTGTATCTTATCCATCTCCGGTTTCTCATTTTCGTATTTGTTGGTCAATAGGTTCTTGGTTGGTTCGTCACCTGCAGGAGCTCCTTGTTGTTTTTCCGTTCTTACCATTTAATCTTAAGTATGGAGTGTTGCCAACTGTGATGGAGGTCTGCTGTGACTTGTCAGATATTCGCGTCGTGACACTCCAAGTTTCTGACTGAAGCCGTACAGAGAAGTACTGACTTGACACATAAGTGTTGAAGATTTGGATTTTGACTCCGAGTGTAGTAGAATTCCGCACTGATTACAAATGATACTACAGGACTGACTGGATTACATTGACTCCTAGCTTAGAAATGGGGAGGGAATTGGTAGAGCACGTTGACCACTTCACTTATTTGGGAAGGTGCATCAACCAACACCAACGGGTTGATCGCTGACGAAATCTCAGCACGGATAGAGGAGAGGCTAGTTTCGCATATGCCAGTTTAAACCGTCTCTGGAGTAGACGTGATATCCGGCTAACGACTAAAGGATATCCTCCATAAAGATGGCTGTGAGACTTGGTCATTGAGAGTGGAAGACATGTTTAGGCTGGCTAGCTGTCTTTGATCATAGGTGCCTGTATTCTATCTCCCGTGTATGTTGGGTGGTATAATAAGGTGAGCAATATTGAGATTAGGCTTCGTTGAGTACTAGGTAGGTGGAAGAGGAAATAAATCGACGAGTTTGTGAAGTTACATCAACTGAGATAGGTGGTGCTTATGCCTAGCCATTGCCTTCCTCGATGACGGACAATGTTAGCTGACATAAGATGGGTCAGGTTGGAAAAGGCCTAGTGTGGTAGTGGTGGTCAAACCGAAACATGGCTTCATCAGTCAATTAAATAAATTCAAAAGAGTTAGTTTAAGCCAGTCAGCTACGTAGTGGGGGTGTAGACCTCCGGGTTGGGGTCGTCGAGATTGTAGGAACCAATGAAAGCTGGAGACAATTGGTGATATACCTCAAAATCGTTCTCACCGGTGTATACGCGTCCCACCTTGTGAACTTATAATACCCAACAAAACTATATGGTTCCACTATTTCACTAATCTTTTTGCTTCATGTCTCTATGTACTGTCTCTATTTTGCATTTCTTTTTACTTTTTCTCTTGCTTTGTGTGCTACATGGAGTGAGTGTGGCGACTCAAACTGCTGCACATTGGTGCAAAGTTGTGTGTTGAAATCAATCAGTTAGTCAGTCATTGATTACAAAACAATAGAGGCCTGTCTTTGACGCCCTCATCTGTGCTGCCTGTAGTTGTAATGATGATGATGATGATGATGATGTTGATGCCTAGATAAGTGAAGGAAGTGACCTCTTTCAAAATTTCCACATTGATTGTGATTGGCGCTTGTTGTTGTCGGTTAGGTATCTTCCTCACATCTGTCTGTCTCCTTTATGTTCACTTAAAGTCCTGTCTTCACTGCTTCTTCTGCCAGTATGTTCACCTGGCTCCACGACTGCCCACATGCTTTCATCTCCTCTTCACATGATCTCCTTCAAGTCACTCTTAAACTGACGACCAACTGGCCGCTTCCCTTTCGGGTTCCACTCGAGTGATGGCTTTTCTAGTGATGTCACTTTGTGATGGTTTGTTTCCTCAGAGTATGGCCACCAATCCACCTCCATTTCTTTCTGCTTATTTGGTGCATAATCGGTTCCTGGTTGGTTCGCTCCCAGAGATCCCTCTCTTTTGCTGATCTTTGCTGGCCGGTCATCTGATCTTGAGTAGTATTGAGCAAAGACAGGTATTCATTGATGAAGGTCTGTAGTTTGTTTGAGGTGCTCTTCATGACGCACTGACCAAGTCTCTGATCCGTATAGCAAGTAGCGCTGACTTCACAATGGAGTCGAAAATCTGGATCTTATTTTTCATGCTGAGTAGTGCTGTTGACCTCCACACAGACTTGAGAGTAATGAACGCTGGCTAATCTTCCCTGTAGTCATCATGTATTATTTAGTGAAAAAAAAACAGATGACTAGATGAATTTTTAATTCGATAGTTAATGCTACTTTGATTATCTTCTGTTGTTGTTGTTGTTTCTGCTGCTGCTTTTCAGTTCCCCACTCATGAAGTCAAGCCATTAATGCCGTCAAGATCAAGTTTACACGATGCAGGTGATCTAGAAATGGACAGTTTTAGTGAGTAATTTTTGCATCTAATATCTAATTTTAATTTTATCATGTCTCTGTTTCATTTGGTGTTTAGTTTGAAAAAAGTAAAACGAAAGAAATATATAGCCTGGGTCAAGCTGACCTCTATTTGGTTGATATCAAGTCTAGAAATGAACCAATCAGAATTTGCCCCCACATATTATTAATTCGTTGGGTTCCGAGTGGGGCATAGGGCTTCAACAACACATTTCCACTTGTTCTCTGGTGTCCTTTTCAGCTGGCTTGCTCCGCTATTGCCTATAATCTCTTATGTCCTCCTCCGCCCCAAATGGTCTCTTCCATGTCATGCTTGCACTCACTGACGACCCACTTGTCGCTTCCCATTGGGATTCCACTCGAGCGATGGCCTGGTCGGCGTGTGATTTCATTCGATAGCCGCTCCTCAATGTTTTCCCGATCGTTCTATCTCCATTTTCTCCTACATATTTGCGGCGGCGGTGGATACGGTTTTTTGCGTAGAATAACAGATTAGTTTGTGTGACAAATGTGCTGTGCTGAATTCAGTGACAAAATATTGTGAAATGGGTGACAATGTTGGACACAATCGTCATAATAGATTCGTAGAGTATGGTGTAGGAAAAATTAACCAGTCAGTTCTAGATTATAAAAGCTGTGACGTGAGTGGCTAGTACAAAGTGGTATGTATTAAATAGGCGGAGATAGTAAGACTGCAATGACAAGTTCATCATGAAATAATTAATATGTGAAATGAAACAGGTGGAGGCATATATTGAGATGGTCAGAGGCAATTGGAAGGCAGCCTTGGACCTAGGTTTCGTGCTAGTTGGCACTCACCATCAGTAAGAAAGGCGTATTTGTAACCCGGTGATGTGTACTGATGAAGAGTCCCAAACTAGGACGAAACAGCTGTCCCGTACTCCATTGCAGATTTTCCAGTGGTTCTCCAACTGATGTCCGCTCATGATGAAATCCTCCAACCGATCAAACAGAATCCCTACAGAACCAATACTTGAAAATTAATCTGATGCCCACTATCGACTGGCCCTATTCAGGCAGTTAACCTGAAGTTCTAATGGGACGCCGTGACCAGTAGGCCGCAGCAGATTGAAAGTTAGGCAGCAACTCATTGAAGAAGAAGACATTTCGAAGTGGTCGCGCTACGTCGTGAATTGACGAAAGTTGGGATTTGTGAGCTATGGGAAATGGGCCCCAGTGACTTAATGGTCTACGAGCTCGCCTCGTAAACAGAAGGTCCTGTGTTCGAATGTCAGGGGATGCGTCCTGTCGACGATCAAACCCAAAAGAGTAAGACGAAAGAGCACTCCTGTACTCCCGGCTGGCTTGCAAGACCAACAGTGATAAGGGAAAGAGGCACTCTTTGTGGCAAGAAGGAACATTAATCCGAGTTTGACCACGGTAGGAACAGCGTCTGGACTTGTTCTTTTTGGGTAAAAAGTTTCCGTTTAGTCGATCTTATTGCAATATCTTCAGTTGGGGAGACGCAAGTGAATTGTACGTGATAACGATTTCGGAATTTAGTATATAACCCTAAAGGCTGTGTTAGCGTCGATACGATGTCCAGTTTCGACCGCGTGTGACAGAATCGAGCTTTTTATGCATCTAATACCCCCCCCCCCCGCCTCCACGCCTGGTTGAACCAGGCTGTTCTCGAGCTCATAGACAGACCTGTCTAAGTGTGATCTAATGACATCCATCTGTACTGTTAAGTGTATTTCTAGCTATAAGACAAAACCTAGTAGTGAGGAATTCCCGTTGACCAGCCAGACTGATTTATGCCAGTTTAGTGAGAAGAGAAGTACACTTTTAGTGAACTGCATGTAAGTTGTAAGATTAATGACCCAAATAATGTACATTATAATGATACATGTAAACTCTGTTATCTGTTTGCCCACTTTACAGATCCAAGTGAACCACAAAGTGTTGCAATTCATCGTCCTTTACGTCGTTCTGAAGGGATACCGAAGTTTCAGGTAGATTTTGTGATGAAATTGTCTTGTTGAAAAATGATGATAAAATCTTTTTGAATTTTCATGTGCTAAACAGCTGTCTATGTATCTGACCGGTGTTTTTTTATATTCTCCTATCTTCTAATGCATAGTTTCCAACTCATGATGTTAGACCGCAAATGCCACCGAGGCGTATGGAGTCAGATGTTTTGGATATGGACGATTATTGTGAGTAGTAAGCAGTGGTATTGTTGTGGCATTGGTTTTGTTTTATATTATAGTAAATGATCATTAGAGAAGTGGTATGAATTGGTGTTACATTCACTCATTCACTCACTCTGCCTTATTGCAGCTTAGTCGACCTGTATAGTGTCACACTTACCGTTTTAGAACAAATATTGGCGTATAATCACTATCATGTGTTGGTTTGTAGGGATTCGATTTGTGGTGATTACAGGTGTGTGTGTGTGTGTGTGATCATCAGCTGGATGACATCAGTTAGAGAACCGCCACTGAGAAACCTGGGAATACTTGGCAGCTGTTTGCGTCCTAATTTAGTACTCCTCATCAGTACACTCACCGACCGCGGTTTGGATTCAAGGCCTTACAGTTACAAGGCGACGTCATACGCTATTGAGCCACTGAGATCCGTTCCCCAATGACTCTGTCTGTCTGTTTTCGACATAGAACTTTGCACAAATGTGCGACAGTTCAAGTCGCCACACTCCGTGTAGCACGCGAAGCAAGAGAAGAAAGTACAAGAAAAGCATAATAGAGACAGTGAGCAGAGGTGTGAGACAAAGGAATAATAAAGAAAAACAAAACAGTTTCATTGGAGATCATAAGTCACAAGGTGTGGATGCATCTGCGCTATCACTGAAAACGATTTTGAGCCATGTCACCGATTGTTTCCAACCATAGATTTTTACCGTCCCGAGGACCCCAGCCTGGAAGTCTACACCTTCCTACGTGGCTTAGACCAACTGTTGTGGATTTCATTGACTGGTGAAGTCAAGTTTTTGTTTGACCGCCGCTAGCTTTTTTCCAGTCTGAACTTATATCCGCTAACATTGCTCGTCGAGGGAGGCGATGGCTTGGCATACGTAACACATGTCCTAACCATCTCAGTCTTTGTAACTTCACGACTTCGTCGATTGATTTCCCCTGTTTACCTAGCACTCGACCGAAGCCTAACTTCAATGTTGCTCACCTTATTATGCCACTTTACACGGGAAATAGAGCGCAGGCACCTATGATCAAAGACAGTTAGCCGGCATTTTCATGTCTTCCACTCTCAGTGGCCAGGTCTCACAGCAGGCCATAGAGGAGGACGGAGCGGACTGATGAGCAGTACACCCGCCCTTTGGTCGATAGTCGAACATCTCGTCTACGCCAGAGTCGGCGTAAACTGGCAAATGCGAATTCCCCAATGACTGGCCCATTAAATCTATTATCTGCTATTTCACGATATATGTAGCACAGCCGTCAGCCGAATGTCATCGGTGGGTGGTAGTTGTTCTCTTATCTGAGTTGATGAACCCCGCTGGTTACGACTTTTCGCTTGAAATCTAGGTTACTTCTTGTAATGAGTCTGTCGCTAATGAGCATCAGACTAATTATCTGGTGAAGAACACAGTTCATAACCTAGGCGTCTCACTCGGTGTAGCTTCACAACCTTATCGATTGATTTTCCCTCCTTACCTAACATTCGACGTCTAACCTGAATATGACTGACTGTATTATATTACCACCTAAGATGGGAGATAGAACGGAGACATCTATGATTAAAGACAGCTAGCCAGCCTTTTCATATCTCCCACTTTCAATGTTCATGTCTCACACACAGTCGTAAAGGTAGCAAAAGTGCGGAGCAAAATGCTGTTCAACAGTACACACGTCCTTTGGTCGATAGCCAGTTGGATATCACGTCTAGATTAGAGATGACGTAGATTAGCAACTCCTACACTCACATCTTTTGATATCCGTGGTGAGATTTCATCGAAAATCAACCAGTTCGTTCATTAGTGGTGACACAATTTTCCAATTAAGTGAACGTTATCAACATTCTCAACCATTTCAACCTGATCACACTGTCAGTGGTGAAATGTCAAATTACCATAAGGTTTCGGTGATGTCTAGGTCGAGATCTTTCAAGTTAATTATCACATATGAATACATAAAACTGTGTACTACTGATTGATGGAGATGAGTAGTAGCTGCATCGCTTTGATGTCAGCCAGTAGTGTTAGTCAGCCAGGTAGCCACCTAGTTAGATCGAGGGGATCTAAATACCTGAGGAGGGTCTTTCTCCACGTTTGTGGCTGAGCTCATCAGTAGCGGTGTGTATCCGGTTCGACTCAGCTCTAATTCAGAGAGCGGATTCAGTTCAAGCCACACTTGATTTCTGGCTAGCTATTTGTTCAAACTGGTCGTACGAAATGAGAGACTGTGGGGAATTTTCACCGCTCAAACTGTGTAGAGATTTCAAATTGTCGATGCGTTTGCAAATGATGAATTTGCTCTACGCGTAAATGTGCTCTCTCTCTCTCTACATATATTTGTAATGATCGCGTTTTTCTGTTGCATATTTTACAGGTTTACGAGAACCACAATCTTCGTTTAGACAACCTGTTCACATCGATGAACCTTTAAGACCTTCTGTTCCTCGTCGAGTTGAAGGGAAACAAGGATTTCAGGTAATAATGTTATATACAATCCAAATAAGATTGATACATTCTGGGCAATGTCTATATATTTATAATGTGATTTCGTTATTGATAATTTTTCGAATGCAATTATTAATTAGTTGTATTAGTTGTTTTATGGTCAGTGGGAGTCTTCAGGAAGCTTTACCTGATCTAGGTTTCGTGCTTTTTGGCAGTTACTAGTAGTTAGAAAGTTGTGTCGACAAATCTTGAAGGAAGTTTTATCCCTGCTGAGATTCGAACCTGCAGTACCCAGTGATACAGTCAGAGACATTAACACTGAGCTGTTCGGACTTGCGGTTGACTTTCTTTAGGACTATATTGGATGCTTTCATCGAACACTACTAGTTAGTAACTGATATTATTTGTCTGGTGTTCAATCAAAGTATCCTCTACACAGTCCCATAAGTGATCAATCGCCAACCTAAATAGTTCGGCGGTGTAACCTGTCTCTAACTCTGTAGGCAACACTAGGTTACTCGGGTTCGAATCTCAGACAGAGGAGTTGAGTTGCAATTAATAATGTTCTCTGAGCTGGTTGGTTGAGTTGTGGAGCTTTCGTTGTCCTTCTGGGCAACATCTTCAGCGCAATTTGTAACACAAGAGCAACAGCCACAACCAACGAAGTAAGAAGACGAAGAGGGCGAGAGAGAGAGAGGGATGTTTATTTGAACCAAGCAAGGCTTGAATTAACCGGGTACAAGGTTAATTGCCATCATTTATTACAAGTTTGGACAAACGATCTTCCTCCTGCTCCAGTAACGCCACGTCAGCGTGTCTTTCTGAAAGAGAAGAAGAAAACTTATTTAGTGGCATTATGGTGGTTTTTATTCCATTAAATCGCCTCCTCCTTTCTGGAGGCACTGTCCTCAGTGCCTGGCGGTGGTATGGGGTATGCACTACCTCCATCGGTCGGCAGTGCCTCGCCGTAGCCAGTAGCGGGCGACGGTTGGGAGGATGTCGACGGTTCCTTGGCAGCTGCTGGGTGGGGCGGTTTCAGCTGGTTATAATGCACGGAGATAAGATTGTCTTGAGGTTGTCGCAAATTCCGCAGGACATACGTTGTGGGAGGTCGGTGGTGTACAATCTCAATATCCTTGCCATGGAGCGTAAAATTTAGGACACAAACCGGCAGGAATGGATGGTCGATGGAGCCAGACATAGTCACTAGGGGAATAAATGGGTCCGCGGGCGAACCGCTCATAAATGCTCTTCTGGTGTTCTGACGAAGACTGTAGGACTTGAGTACCTTTATGGTTGTATGTATACACCTTGTTGACTGGTGAGTACCACCCAGCAAGAATGAAACCTAGGGGGTCCAGAGGGCTTCCTATCGATTACACTCTCCAGCCATCTAATGACAACAATTCAGAAAGCATCGTAATGTCTAGTCCACCTAGTGGTAGTGGCATAGTGGTGGCCACATTGCAAACTTGACTGATTGAGAGAATTCAGTCTGCACTGAACAAACGAAGAACTAAACACATAGAAATAATAATAATACTGGTGCATTACTGGTTTTCAATCGTATCAACGCTACTTTTTATTGTTTTTATTATTATTATTATTATTTTTTGGTGTATTCAAGTTTCCAAGTTATGATATGAGATCAGCAGCACTACCATCACCAGCAGGCCGTTTGAGACGAAGTGATCAATACGACAATAGTGATATGGATATGATGAATGGATTTGGTGAGTTCTGTTATGTGCATACGCATTATTTCTAATTATTATTATTTTTTTTATCATAGCTTGATTCCATACCGTATTTGCAGTACAAGTATGGAATTTTCAGCATGTGATATCGGTAGCCCAAATTTTGCAGGCCAACCATTGATATCAGGTGTACGTCGAAAAGTGTGATCGAACTCCGAACCATGTGCATGGTCGGCGAGAGTCCTAACCGCTGTGCCACCGATGCCAGGAAAAAATAAATTACAACATGCATAAATATATGAATATTAAACGGCGCATCGGTAGTTCAGAGGTAGAACGCTCGCCAACTACGCCTCATGTGGTCCGAGTTTCGATCCTCGGCAAGTCGATAGTAAAGTCGACTACAGGGGGATAAGGTTGGACGTGAGTTTGGCTAACAACCCCACGTCCCGTGAAAATAAACCAGAATATTAACAAGCTGGTTAAGTGGCACGTTGCTTACCCTGGTGACAACCTATAACATCCTACGTAATAGGATATAGTCCTTCTTCAGTAGTCCTGGAAAAAATAAGGTGGGGGGGGTGGGGAACAATAGAGAAGGATAGGCAGCATGCAAGAGTTAACGAATCGTGAGAGTAAGTAAGGGTTGGGTTATTCCATAATGTCTTGATTTCATGATGTAGAAGGTAAGGCGGTATGTTTTCTTAGAAATCATCAAGATATGAGGCGGCCAGGAAGGAAAGATCTGTAGAATGACGCCAAGATATTTAATTTTCGACTTGGTATCTATTTCAGTTAGTTATTCTCCCCCTCCCCCCCTTCCAATGTGTCTGTATTATTTATGTGTAAGTCAACTAACTGAACTGATGAGTGATGGATGATTAACGTCTTTAGTCTAATCTCCATCTTATTTTTCTGTCATGATGTATTTTCAGATTAAAGTAGAACCGAAAGAAAAATGAACACTTTTGATGACATAAACACACTTCACCAGCCAGCACGCATCTCCGTTTTATCTTATTCTCTTTGGTTCATATTAGTTAGCCCTAACATTGCTCATAGTCTCTCGTCTCCTCTGTATCACATGACGATCTCTTCCATGTCACCCTGCATGCGTGACGCCTAACTCGTCGTTTCACATTCAGATTCTACTCGAGTGATGACTTGCACTGAGGATAATGTCATTCGACGGTCTCCGAAGCATATCCACTTCCTTTTACATATTTGTTCAACAATAGGCTCCTGTGATTGGTTGGTTTGCTAATTACTTTCTGGTCATCTGATGATCAGCAGTACAAAGTGAGTGAGGACAGCTGTTGATAAAAGTCTGCAGTAACCTGTAGGAATGCCTTTGCTATTGTGGTTTTAACATCCCCATCGGTGCCGCCTATGGTTGAGATGATGAAGCTAAGATGAATGTAGGAAGTGACCTCTTCCGAATTTTTTCCATTGATAGTGATTTAGGACTTGTTGTGATTGATTGGTTATCTTCATCATTCTCGTCTTCTGTGTGTGTGTGTGTGTGTGTACTTGAAGTCCTTTCTTCACTGTCTGCCTTGCCTCTTCAGCCAGTTTGTTGGTTTTCGAATGTAAGTCTTCGAGTTGGTGAAATTGTGTGGAGTCCACATCTTGTAGTGTTGTTGTCTTCTTATCGATTCAACGTATTCCTGTCTCTTCGTTGCACACTCTCAGTTTTCCGCACAATTCAGTCCATCGCAATTAGGAGTATGATAAGCGGATAGTACTCAGCCTTGTCTAACTTCTGTATCTTACTTCAAAAGTCCTCACTGAGTTTCCGTGCTGGGTCAGTTGGTACAATGGCATTATGTCATAATACTGCATAACAGAATCGAACATTATTTGTTTATTTTGATTTTTAGAAATTTTTAGAAATTTTCCACTTGTTTTATTCTACTTCTAGGAGTTGAACATCCAGGACCATCAATTCGCGATGTTGCTCCTACAGACTATAGCGTTTATCATCAGCGTCATGAAGAGAGGTCAAGATATGAAGTAAACTTACTTTTACTTCTACTTTTTGCATCTTGTTGTTATGTAATGTTTTTTGTGAGATGTGAGAGTATTTTTTGGCATCACTTTGGTTACATGAAATTAATATCGGCGAAGTTAAAAGCATATCAGGTGATTATTCTAAGCTATAGCAACCCAAAACGAAACCATCCAATGAACGAACGGTTGGTTGACCTTGATAAAACTTCTGTCGACCTATGAAATGTGTTCGAAGTAAAGCCGCATAGTTTGAAAAAAGTAGTTATATAGGATAACATTCTTGTATATATGTTCCAAGGAAAGCTCCCAATTACTGCATATGGGAGTCCACATCGTTAGGTTTAACCAATTTCTGGACATGAATTCCTCGAGATAAATATAATTGTTGTGTTTCTTGACCTGTTCAGCGCTTTAAACCTCTATTTTATGTGATTCCAGTGCCTTTCGATGGAATTGATGTGAGTCGTATCGAGGGAGAATATAGACCAGAGATAACAGTTGGTCTGTGTGAATCGTTATGCCGGACAGGAAGGACTAAACGTTGACACCGCGATCAGAGATCGTCTCAATTTATCCTCTGCGGAGAGAATAGTGCCACATAATCTCAGTACCCACTGCTAATTGGTACTCAATTTACCTTGATTATATTTCCTTTTTATAAGCACTGTCTCATCCACACGAACAATGACCAAAAGAGTTGACTTTGAGGAACAAATAAGATTTTAGGGAATGCTATGAAGAAAGGAGTGTCATTCCAAATCAAATCATGTCTGCGTTTTGCCATTTTGGTGAGGCCAGATACAGTATTCGAATTAATTCCCTGTGTAGTTCTCTTCTGTAAGTGTATACTGTTAGGTAGGGTTATGGTTTCGGGAGATTAATGTTGGAGTCTAAGTTTAAGACTGTGGTTACTGTCAGTGTTATTAGGGGTAGGTTAAAGAACATTGTTAAAAAATATCAAAGGATATATAAGTGAAATGATCTACAGTTGCCCGTATGGATACATCTAACGTGCATGCTTTGATTTCTCTATAAGGTTATCCGTGTAGAGTGACTTGAAGAAATTCTTACAACACATAAATGACAAATTATCCACTGTGTAATATCATGTTTCGCAAGGTTTTCAAAAAATGTCCTCATAGGGTGTGAGGACAAATACTCTCCACGGAAGACGTTGGCTAGTGGTCGTGAATTGGCAGAAGTTAGAATGCATGGGATGGCCATTAGATCGGGTCCCAGTGGCTTAATGGTCTACGAGCCCACTATTTTTTTAAGCAGAAGGTCCTGGGTTCGAACCTTTGTGGTGGGCGCGTGCTGCTGAAGAGTCCCAAACTAGTTTGGCGCGAAACAGCTTTCCAGCACTCCCTGGAAGGTTTTCCAAGGGTTCTCCAATCAATGTCAGCCCATGATGTAAATCTTGTAACCAATCAAATCACAACAAACCAACACTGCATTTCAAGTATTATGTTATTCGCTTTTGCATCTGAATTGGGATTGGTTGTTCAAGGTTACTGTGACCTTTTGGCTGTGAGATAGTTTGACTTTGTGATTTTGTCATTTATTTTTCAAGATTTTTTTGGTGGATCTTTCATGTTTTCATGTTTTTTTCTTTTGAAAATTGGTTTTTGCTTTTTACAGGGTTATGAGGGTGAAACATTTTTGACGCCAAGACCGGTTAGAGAGAGTGGAATGATGCAGATGGATGATCAGGGTAGGATGATGATATTTTACTCCGTTATTTCTTTTTACGCCTCTTTCTGTTCACATTCTTTGTGTGTGTGTGTGTGTGTATGCCTTACGTATTGTGGTAACTTGAACTTCTGTGATTTAGAGTGTACTGTTAATTCTACGGTGGGAATTCAATGCAGTGTGTGATATGAGATTGATGTGTGTAGCTTTCATTTGAGGTGAATTCTACTGCTCTGCAGTCAGGGATGTTGTCACTGGGCCGTTCCAGACCTCAGGACAACTGTAATGGATGCACATATGAGTCTAGGCTAGTAACCAGCATACTTGATGTTGGTGATGGTGGAATGCTGACGGTCATGTATGAAATATTGTAATCATCACCGTGGTGCACTCTCAGTCGATGTTTGGCTGTTGGAGACAAATGCCAGGAGGAAACCCTGTCCCCCCAGGTGGAATACTTGTTGGCACGCGCCAACAAATTTGCGATATTTTTTATTATTATTTTTTTTTTTGATTTACAGCTTGATTCCACACTGTATTTTCGGTACAAGTATGGAATTTTCAGCATGGATATCGGTAGCCGAAATTTTGCAGGCCGACCATAGATATCAGATGTGCGTCGTTGCGGGCTCGAACCCCGGACCATGTGCATGGTTGGCGAGAGTCCTAACCACTGTGCCACCGACGTACAGGTGGTGAGTGGTTCTGTCTCCCTCTCTCCCTGAGACTTATATCCCTGTAGATTGGGAGAAACTTTATGGTCTTATTATTACGCTGTTAAATATAAGTTGAAACCATACGATGAAATGTGGGTTGGCTTATTTGTTGATATGATAATTAATGTCCAGTCTGCCTATGGACTAATCAGAATTGGCTTCCTACTTGAGATGACTGCCACTGTTTTATTGGTGCTGATTACATGTCGGTTAACCGTTGCATACACTTAGACAAGTGATACTCGTGATTACTGTGGCATGGGACACCAGCTCGGCGTCCATATTCCACTCTCAGCGCTTTGTGCTAAATATAATAATCGTACTGTGCGTCGGTGGCACAGCGGTTAGGACGCTCGCCGATCATGCACGTGGTCTGAGATTCGATCCTCGGTGACAGATGCACTCCTTTACTTCGCTAAGCCAGAAATAATGCTGGTAAAGAGGAAAGGTTGGCCATGAGGCTAGCAACCCCGTCTTGTAAAAAATAATCCACACTGCTACAGAAACTTGAAAACCACTAGCTTGAGGCCCTATGTTCCACTGGGGAACGTGAAGGGCAAAAACTGTGACACTTGTGATATTTTCCTATTGTAGGTGGAGGTACTGATGGTACCTGTGACCAGATCATCACACAGTGTATCTGCAGAATCCCAGTTGATTTCATTCACTCACTGACACATAGTGATAAAGGCATTTGATGTGTGCTTTGTCTTCTGAAGTTCTTCTGTGAACTCTTAGCTATGATGTTATAAAACGGCTATTTGCTTTCATCGATATGATCACCGTCATCATGTTTTCAGTTAATTTTCTTTTTCTTTATCAAAATTTTTAGGTTTTTACCGTCCCCTGCCTGCTGCATCATCAATACGCCAATCGAAAGTTGAGCGTAGATCTTCTCTACATGAAGAAAGTGTGCAGATGGGGATGGTGCCTCCACCAATGACACTACCAACAGCATTACCACGACGTGCTCGTGATAAATTACCGGTATGATTTCAATCATTGTGTGTGTGTATGTGTGCGTGTGTAGTTAATTTTGTTTTACCGAGTGTGCCACAAGTGTTTCAAGAAATTATATATTTGAAATATATAAGGTAAGGTGGTGTCTAACAAAGGGTGTTGGGCGTCACTGTATGATCTCACCAGTAGTGTCAGGTCCATGTATCTGTGTGTTGTTACCGCTTATTACATAAACCGTTCTTTCGAGTTATGACGCGTTTTCCTACAGACTTCATGCTTCAGCAGAGATTAACCTGTAACAAGTATCCTTCAGAACACTTGATCTCTGAAGAAATTCGACTCTTTATCCTATTGGAAGTTATTCAGCGTCTATTACGGCGAGTTGTCACTTGAAGTGGTGTCGACTACTGATGTCTGTCAGCCACGGATGCCCATTATCCCCATTTCTATTCAAATTCATAAGATATGTACTAATGAATTTAACCCTAACTCACTTCGGAGATTCAGGGATTGACTTGCTACCACCAGGGAGGGAATAATCTCGTTGACTTAGAATATGCAGACGATATAGTCCTCCTTCTAGGCGAGGACGATGACAAAATGCAGACACGGTCTTCTGAACACCGTAAGCTGCAATCTACGAATATTTGTCATGCGAGCGTTTCGCTCCTGTCGAGTGTAAGATGATGTTACAGGACTGGACTGGACTGGACTGGACTACACTGACTCTTAGTTTAGAAATAGGGAGTGAAGTGGTAGTGCACGTTGACCGCTCCACTTATTTGAGAAGTTGTATCAGCCAACGCCAACGGGTTGATCACTGACGAAATATCAACACGGATACAGAGGACTAGTTTCGCATATGCCAGTTTACGCCGTCTCTGGCGTAGACGTGATAGCCAGTCGGCTTATCGACCAAGGGGCGTGTTTACCGCTCAGCAGTCCACTCTGTCCTCCTTTCTGACTGTGAGCGAGACCTGGCCATTGAGAGTGGAAAACACGAAAAGTCTCGCTAGCTGTCTTTCATCATAGGTGCCTGCGTTCAATCTCCCGTGTGATATGGTGGTATAATAAGGTGAGAGATATTGAGGTTAGGCTTTGGTCGAGTGCTAGGTAGGTAGGTGGGAGGGGAAATCAATCGACAAGGCTGTGAAGCAGTTATATCGACTGAGATGGTTAGGACATGTGTTACGTATGCCTAGTCATCGCCTTCCTCGACAACAGACAATGTTAGCTGGTGTATGGTCAGATTGAAAAAGAGCTAACGGCGGTCAAACCAAAACATGCCACCAGTCAACGAAATCTACAACAGTTAGTTTAAGCCAGCCACGCAGGAAGGTGTAGACTGGCTTCCTGGTTGGGGTCCTCAGGACGGTAAAAACCAATGAAAGCTGGAGACAATTGGTGGTATGGCTCAAACTCATCTTTCTCAATGGCTGGCTGGCTGCGCAGATGCATCCATTCCGTGTGACTTATGATTTCCAATGAGACTGTTTTGTTCTTCGTTATTACTTTTCCTTTGTCTCACACCTGTTTATTGTCTCTATTATGCATTTCTTTTACTTTCTTTCTTTGTGTGCTACATGGAGGGAGTGTGGCGAATTGAACTGGCGCACATCGGTGCTAAGTTCTATGTTGAAAACAGACAGACAGACAACAGAGTTTATTGTTGTCATTTATGTCTGTCGTTCTACTGCAGAAGCATTGACTGTAAGGAGGCACTGGAACCTAATGCTGTAGTTATATTATTATTTGCATATTATAAGCATTGGTTCCGATTGAAACCTAGGGACTCATTGGTGCAACTTCATTGTACTTGGCTCTCTTCCCGTCATTCTCAAGTATCACCCTCTTATCATCCACCTTCAAATGGTGAATGCCCAGGTGTGTATGATGTGACTCACTCTTTCCTCCTCTTGATGGTTGTGCGTCATCGCCGTTGAAAGTGAAAAACATGAAAATTTTAGTTGACTTGGATCATAAATGTTTGCGTTCTACCGCCCCGCCCCCCACCCACCCACCTCATGTTAGGTTGGGTAATATTAGGGATAGGCGTCGAGTAATAAATAGGTAAGGGGGGATTAATCGATGATGAGGTTGTCAAGCTACATCGATTGAGATGACTAGAACATGTTGTTACGCATGCCTAGATATCGCCTTACTCGACCAAATTTAGCGGTGGTCAAACGAAAACACGGAATCAGTTCCTGAAATATTTTTGACAGTTACTTTGAATCAGTCACGTAGGCAGGTGTAGACTGCTAATATATGCTTGGGGTCCGTGGGATTCTAAGGACCAATGGCTAGAGACAATTAATTGCTTGGCTCAAAATCGTCTTCAACAGTGCGAATGCATTCACTCTTTGTGACATCCCATATCCAGCTTAACCTTCATGTTTTTGCTCACATTTCCGCTCATTATCGTACTTTGGGATGTCTCTTCAATTTCTTCTCCTTCCTTTGCGCGGTGCTTGTGGGGGGGGAGTGTTGTAAATCAAATTGGTGCACTTTGTGCCATTGTGTTTTATGTTGAAATCAGTCAGTCAGCTGTTCCTCAATCCCATCCTGTCTAATTGGGTCAGCTTGCATTGTCCTTTAATCTACAGAACTAGTCCTACCTGAGTGAGTTTGAAAGAGGAGTTTAAATGTCACCCTAATTCCTGCTTTATTTAGAATCCTACGTAGACAGGGTCTCAGCTGTTCCCTCCTTATATGGTATAAAAGTAGACGCCTTATATTCTCTCTTATTTAGGTTATCATTACTAGTTTCCCGATTATTTTTATTTTGCTTTTGGCATTTTCTGATCCTCCTAATAAATTTTATAGCAGAGTTATTTGATACCAACGCTTCTTCTATCTGTTTTATTTTGCCATTAAGGTCTTTTCTTGTACTACTTAGTGCCACTGCTCGGTTTGTTAGACAGTTAACTAAGCCGCCTGCCTTAACAGTTAATGGATGGAACGAATTAAAGTCTAAGTATCTATTAGCAGAATGTGTTCACCCTCTTCTATTCATCAATTGCACCGCATACATTAATACACAACCACACAAAAGGGTGGGTGGGTGGTAGAGGGTTATGGGTGTAGAGGTGGAGAGCGTGAGAGGTTGACTACTGAATCTTTATTCCTCGAGTTTACACCACCCAACACAGGCGAAAATGGCTTTTAACTAGTTAACATAGCGTTCGAATTCCATTCCATTTAATTCTACCTGGCTAACTGAGAATAGTGGTATCATCAACCCCCCTCAGACAATATGTGTGTGTGTGTGGGCGGGGGGAGCTTCTGTCAAACTGTTCCATGGACACTGATCAGCATGAAAATACAAACGTTTTCAAAAGAATGGATACTGAACAAAGAATACGCTTTTCGATAACCCCCTCCATCATCAGGCTCCGCAGTTATATATCCATCCATTATAGTGAATGAATGAATGAATTAGTGTTATGAACACCATTAATGTTGCTGTTTAAATAACGTCGAATCAATAATATTGATAGATTACAGCTCAATAGCATCAACATAAAATAATAAGTTGAATGTCAGAAGAATTAGGAAAGATAATATTACAAATTCATGAATTGACAGTCTCTACTGAAGGCCGGCCAGGGAAGTAGTAGAGGCTAGCTGGACTTGCTTCTTTTGAAAACACAGAGCACTTGTTGTTTGAGGCGAATTACAATAGCCTCTGCTGTTTGGAGTTTAGCTGTGATTTCGGCAATTTATTAGGCACCAGATAGATTATAGAGAAGGATTCTTCAACGCTGGCTGGCTTTGTGGCCAGCCGGTTTGCACTAGATGGTCCAATATCGAACTGTTGATGGTGGTTTTCCCTACATCTTTAATTAGCCATACTGGGAGATGTTGCCAAGTGGGTAAGAAAAATCCTGTTCCTAGAGCGATGGCCGTTATAACCCGCTCCATCACAAACGCAATTGAATTGGTAGATTCAATTTGAAGTGGCTAGGTAGTCTAGGGACGTCATCTTTCAGTCGAGGTAGCACCATCGGTCGTGTAAAGAATAAGAAGTGTAGTTCGCCAGCATTAAAAGCTGTCTGAACTGATTTTCTCAGTTTCTTCGCAGTTATTTCGCTTGGTATATCGCCGTCGCATTGCAGTCCTACGTATGCCAAGCCATCGCCTCCCTCGACGAGCAATGTTAGCGGATATAGGGTCAGGCTGGAAAAAAGCTAGCGGCGGTCAAACAAAAACTTGACATCAGTCAATGAAATCCACAACAGTTGGTCTAAGCCACGTAGGAAGGTGTAGACTTCCTGACTGGTTGGGGTCCTCGGGACGGTAAAAATCTGTGGTTGGAAACAATTGGTGACATGGCTCAAAACCGTTTTCAGTGATAGCGCAGATGCATCCACTCCCTGTGACTTATGATCTTCAATGAAACTGTTTTGTGTTTCTTTATTACTCCTTTGTCTCACACCTCTGCTCACTGTTCTATTATGCTTTTCTTGTACTTTCTTCTCTTGCTTCGCGTGCTACACGGAATGTAGCGACTTGAACCTCCGCACATTTGTGCAAAGTTCTATGTCGAAAACAGACAGACAGTCCTATATAAAGTGTCTTCTTGTTCACGGATGGATAGTGAGTAGTCCTTTTCCACCGCTTTCTTTATCATGTGTTTCTTTATAAATTTTTCGGGATAGCTAGATATTTTCGATCAAAGTATCGAAGTATACAATGCTTAATTCATCTTCAATTGCTTCTGCTGAGCATATAGTTCTAACTAACCCTGTGGGTGAGTGAGGGTCTTCACTGAATTTCTTTTGCACTTGATAAGAACGAATCTGTGAAAATGTGTATAACATTGTCCTGTCCAAGTACTTTTTCTTTACAACCTTTTTGGTTATTCAACTAGTCCCGTTTTGTTATTATAATATGACATTTCCTCTTTGTTTTTTCTTGTAACACTGATTGCTATTTAACCAAAAAAACCCATTTTACATGCAAATTTTTTATAGTTCGAAGAATCGTCAGCACCATTGTATTCTGATCGAAAGGAGAGAAGAACACTGCCATTGTATTTCTTGATAAAACAAGAACGTGAAAAGAAAGCTGAACGGAGAGCAGCACGGCAAGCGACTCGAAGAGAACGATTACGTAGAAATAAAGTAAGCTGGGTTTATTTTTAAAATTAATAGAGTTCCTACTTGTTGAGTTTTCCCGTCGATCGATCTCAGAGTGATTTTCCACTTAATTTGAAGTTGTGTGTGTGTGTGTAATTGAATTTTTGGTTTTCCCGTCGATTTATCGATTGGACCAAAGTGGTCGGTGTCAGGTTGACATGTCTGTCGGCTTCTTGTGCGGATGATTCGACTATGTCCGCATTTAATTAGAGGTTAATTAGCGGATGGTGACTAGCAGTGGATCCAGGACAAGGTGCATGTTTGGGACTCCTCAAACCACTGGGTGTACCTGCATTCCCCAGTGAGTGATAAAGTTCTTCGGTTCAATCAGCCGACGGGAAAACCAAAAAATCAATGAAATAATGAATATGACCCGTTGCACAAAAGTTGGCTAGCTGTTGTAGCCCAAGTGGTCAAGTGCATAACCTTTAGTTCATTATTTATTTTTGTTAGTTATTTGATACTACTGATAAATCTTGTCAGTAGCTGCGCCTTAACAGTCTTTTTTGTTTTTTTAAATGTATATCTATAGAATAGAAGAAGAATGCGACCAAGTCTTTACTGTTTTATTTGTGAAAGAAAATTTGATAATAAAGAAGCTCTAAATGAACATTATTCACTTGATTCGCACAAAAAGAATTTGATGTTATTCAAAGAAACTGTGGGAAATATTAAAAAAAGCGAAGGAGATAATGATGTAGAATACGATGATGAATATGTCTCTGTAAAAAAGAGGGTAAGTTTTGTCGTTGTTGTTGATTTTTCAATCTATTCTATCAGCTTTGTGTTTTTCTCTCTTTCTATTGCTACTTTGTTTGTCTGTCTGTATGTGTATGTGGGTGTGTATGTGTCGTCATATATGATGAACGTGTCGCAACCCTTTTATTCATTCGGCCAGAGAAAATAAATTGTCTCCAGCCATTGGTGCTTATCGTTCCGAGGACCCCAACCAGGAAACCAGTCTATACCTTCCTACGTGGCTGGCTTAAACTAACTGTTGTAGATTTCATTGACTGGTGAAGCCATGTTTTGGTTTGACCACCATGTACTAGCTCTTTTCCAACCTGATCCTATATCAGCTAGCATTGGCCGTCAGTCGAGGAAGGCGGTGACTAGGCATACGTAACACATGTCCTAACCATCTCAGTCGATATAACTGCTTCACAGCTTCGTCGATTGATTTCCCCTCCCACCTACCTACCTAGCACTCGACCAAAGCCTAACCTCAATATCTCTCACCTTATTATACCACCATATCACACGGGAGATAGAGCGCAGGCACCTATGATGAAAGACAGCTAGCGAGACTTTTCGTGTTTTCCACTCTCAATGGCCAGGTCTCGCTCACAGTCAGAAAGGAGGACAGAGTGGACTGCTGAGCGGTAAACACGCCCCTTGGTCGGTAAGCCGACTGGCTATCACGTCTACGCCAGAGACGGCGTAAACTGGCATATGCGAAACTAGTCCTCTGTATCCGTGTTGATATTTCGTCAGTGATCAACCCGTTGGCGTTGGCTGATACAACTTCTCAAATAAGTGGAGCGGTCAACGTGCACTACCACTTCACTCCCTATTTCTAAACTAAGAGTCAGTGTAGTCCAGTCCAGTAACATCATCTTACACTCGACAGGAGCGAAACGCTCGCATGACAAATATTCGTAGATTGCAGCTTACGGTGTTCAGAAGACCGTGTCTGCATTTTGTCATCGTCCTCGCCTAGAAGGAGGACTATATCGTCTGCATATTCTAAGTCAACGAGATTATTCCCTCCCTGGTGGTAGCAAGTCAATCCCTGAATCTCTGAAGTGAGTTAAGGTTAAATTCATTAGTACATCTATAATGAAATTGAAATTACACATTGACTTACCCCCAATTGAGTGAATAGATGAAATACCATTGTGTCATACGTCAAAGCTAACAATCGGTTGTTACAAGTACTCGTAATACTTTGGCGTGCGCCAATATTTCTTGCCTTAGGTCTTCCGGAGAAAAACAGTAGAGATGTAATTCAATGAAAGGATTGTACACAGACACTAAGTGAGGCAAAAAAAGGAGCGAGAGTGGGTTGAACAATTAAAGTGATCATCAAGGTGGTTTTGGCTTGAAAGACAATGTGAAATCTTTGTAATTGAACCACCCATCTGGTTAGGGTTGGGTTGGCACTCACCAGTCAGTCAGTCAGCAAGGCGTATCTGAAACTGCCCTGAAGGAACTCATGTCCTTTTTTGAGATACCCGCGTCACGCAAAGAAAGGACTAGACATGTCACATTAGTTACTGGTGTTAAATCAAGGTACCCACTACAGTCCTACAGAAGGTCAATCGCCAGTACAAACAGCTCTGTGGTAACATCTCTGACTGCAGCACTGGGGGGGGGGCATGAGTTGCTTCAAGTCAGTTGGAGATACGCCATACTGACTGGTGAGTGCCAACTAGAGCACGGAACCTTAGGTCAAGTAAGGCTTCCTGTGGCCGATAGTCTCCAACTATCAAATATTATCAAGCCAATGTGCATCGTGATGGCGAGCTACCTAGAATGGTGACCACATCGCTGGCCACCTGATTGACTGACAGTTCAGTCTGCACTTAAGAAAGTACTAGACACATCACACTAGGTACTTACTAGTGTCCAATCAAAATTTGAAACCTGTTGAATATCTTCAATCTAGTTGTGCAATAGTAAATATATTATATTTATTATTATTATTAATGAATATTTTTTAGATTTTTTGATATATATGCGCGTTGCAGTTTCTGTAGCGATTTGGTTATTTGTACGGGGGTGGAGTTGCTAGCACCACGACTCAACCCTCCCTCTCTATCCGGGCTTGGCCTGGCAAAAAAAACTAGCGCGCTAGTAATCAAGCGAGCTAGTAATCTAGGCGACCAGAACAAGCTGGATTCAGGAAAGGCAAATCATGCACTGACCAAATTGCAACTCTGCGCGTCATCATCGAACAAAACATAGAATGGCAATCAAACCTGTACCTCAACTTTATAGACTTTGAGAAGGCCTTCGACAGCGTTGATCGTGAAGTAATTTGGAAACTACTCAAGTACTTTGGCGTACCCGAAATATTCATCAACCTTATTCAACAGCTGTACGACAACGGTCACATGTCAAATGATTCACAACGGAAAACTCAGTGAGGTGTTTGGAGTAAACACAAGAGTCAGACAAGGGTGCTTATTACCACCAGTGACAAACTAGTCGAAGAAGCAGTGGGCGAAGACAGAACTCCATGTGAACATAGGTGAAAAAGACGGAGGTTATGAAAATAACTAGCCAACATCAACAACAGCACCAACATCCAACGCCAATCACCATCAACGGGAGGGATTTGAAAGAGGTTAGTTACTTCATTCACTTATGCATTGAGCATTGTCTCAACTACAGGAGGAACGGACGAGGATGTCAAATCGAGCGAGAATAGGGAAGGCGACAAATACATTCATCAACCTGAAACAAATCTAGAAATCTTCGTCACTCAGCCAGCATCAACAACAAAATCCGGTCAGATCTCCAATACAAATGTCAAGTCAATCAGTTCTTCTATACGGATCAGAAACTAGGCGCTTGGCCGGTCACAAAGAATATTTCCATCAGCCTGTTGCAGACCTTTATCAACCAACAACTGACTGTCTTCGCTCTCTCCATACTGAAGATCAGATGGCCGGGCCGTAAAGAATCACCAACAAGAAACTATGTGAACAAACAAACAAAACAAGAACCATCGCCCATCAACAGCAAATATGCAGGAGAAAGTGGAGATGGATTGGACACTCGCTGAGGAGACCGCCGCTGAGTGACTTCGTGAGCGCGTCAGGCCATTGCTCGAGTGGAACCCGACACAACGGGCAGCGGCGAGTGGGAGGTCAGTACAAAAGTGACATGGAGGAGATCGTGTGAAGAGGAGTTGAAACAGTATGGACTAACTAACATGGATGAATGCAGGTGAAAAGTACAGCAGAAGGAAGACAGAAGCAAGTGGAGACGTGCAGTTGAAGCCCTACGTTCCACTAGGAACCTAAGAGAGCAATAATAAAAAAAATAATTATTAATGAATATAAGATTCCCCTCTCTTCTCCCAGTAATTTCTAATCTTATTATTCTTCATTCATTCATTAACAACAGGTTGATGGAAAAAACATGAAAATCTATTGTGGCCTATGCAAGGAGACATTCCGTAAGAAATCGTTGTATGCAGAACATTTGGTGTTTAGACGGCATAAACTGAAGGCTCGACTTAATCAGTTGTATAAAGATGCAAAGGGCGATCGTAATCAATTATCGCCTGACGATCCATTAGGTTCATTCTTTCACTACATCAATTCTGGTAGGTGGTGGTTGTGTTTTTTTCGCTTTCATTTGCTCTCGCTTTTTCTTTTTTTTTGAAAGTTGAGTCATAATTTCAATTTATGATTTTGCGTAAATACTTTATTATTTAAAAAAATGTTCATCCGTTTGTTTTCCGAGTTTTGTTGAGTTCTAGTAGCTCAATTTTCTTTCCTCTCCTGAGCGAGCCTACTGACGACGACGGGGTGGGTGTAGACGAGGGTCTTGGAGGTTTCCTCGTCTGGGTATCAAACCAACACTGTTCCTTCATAGAATTCCGCCAATTGAGCCCTCGGCCCCCTTCACTCCCACTGACACATCCAGATTCCCAAGTGGACGAAGTTTATGATTGTGTGTGTGTGTGTGTTCGACTGAAGAGCGAAAAGGAGATATTTTCGTATGTCGAATACCACGACGCATGTTTCACTTCATCATCAACATTGATGTGTGTGTGTGTGTGGAGGTGGTCGTATAAGCCCTGTTGTAATGGTGTGATACGGACAGTGTGATTCTCAAATATTCCCACAGTTGAATACCTTGATTTCCGTGTCTTGCCTTCTGTTGTTACATTTGGTGTCTCTACTTGTCGACAAATGGTAAGCTCTATGTCTTGCAGTTTTTGAAGAAGGGAAACATATTGATCTTCTTGGAGGACTTCGAGGCTTTTGCGCAGTTGAATAATGGCGTTCAAAACCTGTCAGTGATGAGGTTGTTTTATTTGGAACGTTGCTGAGAGAGGTTTCGCGACGGAGCAGCATATCATACATAGCCTGAGGTGAAACACCGGCGAATACGTGCCAGCGTTATGCAAACTGCTTTCAAAATGGAAAGGATCATACAACACGGTCACCGTGAGATGGGCGGGGTCACGTGTGTATATACAATCAGAAATGCAAGCAATGGGAAGCGAGTGAACGTCAGCGAACTCTGGAATTCGGCACATTCAAGACAAGCTGGCAAAGTGGCCAACATCAAGGAGATTGAACCGACTTCAGTCGAAAGTTCTTGACCGGTGGGGGAAGGTGGGGCGATAAGTGTGTTGGTGGTGTGAATATTATCCTCACATATTCTCGCAGTTCAATACCTTGACTTCCATGTCTTTCCTTCTGTTGTGTTACACTGTGATTTGCGTAAAAATCACGAAGACGAAATTCACAAGCAAACAAAAATACAACTTGAAGGGAGACAAGTTTATATATTACTTCTGTTACTGGAGTAAGTTCCAGATGTAATTTGAATTCAATACAAATGTGTGACACTTCACTGAATATGTATTGTTGTATTTCTGCAACGTTTTCTACAAGGTGGATTGAAAGCTGTGTCGTCTCCAGGGGATTCTTACAAGGACTGTGAGTGGTTTGCGCTGATTTAGTTCTCTCTCTCTGCTTAGTCGAAGTACCGGCTACACTGTAGATAAGCTTAACCCCAGACTAGCGAGACGGCTGTCTGGTGCGTTTATATCACTCACATACACTACCATTCGTTGCGGGTGCTTTCTAACTACTTATTTCTGTATATATCAGTAGTATGTATTCGCTATCGTGCAGTTACCAGTGATCTGTTTTTTATTTTCATTTTATCCTTATTTGAAGAATAAAAGTAGCCGAGAAAAAACCGCTTATCATGCATGCAGATAATAAAATTAATTATTTTGAAATTATTATTATTATTACTAATTTTTTGTAGATACGCAAACAACCCTGCTCGGTGAGAAAGAGGAGAGAAATATGAGCCTTGTGAAATCCAAAGAGAATTTATTCTGTCTTAAATTTTTAGACCTAAGACATTTGTTATCCGAAGAACCGGGTCCTGTAGGAGAAGAATACTTAGAAGAGGTAAATTTCTACGTGTATGTATGCATGTCTGTCTATCCATCCATCTATCTATGTGTACATTTCCTCTTTGTATATGTGTTGTGTAAGCATACTCGACGTGTGAAACAGTGAGAAAGAAGCGTGGATTAAGAAGGGCACTGCTAAACTACGCATGCAGTCGGGCAATTTTCGACTGCTTTTTATCGGTCTGTACCTATACACTACTACTGATAAATCTTGTCAGTAGCATAAGGCGTACCCGCCCCCACCTCGACTCTGTCAAATTGTTTCGATATGAGCCGCTCCAACCTCTTTTCGGTGTATTACACACCCACTCTTCTGATGGTGACAGTGTGTAATCCTTCGCATTTTGGAAGGCGTTTCCGCACTCGACCGTGTACACTTCCTTGCTTGTCAACTTTACCTCATCTCTCACTTCAAAGATTACGCCTTTCATCTTTTTTGTTTGAAAACTCGTCATACACTCCATTCTCGGGGAGAAGGCCAGGTCATGTCGTAGTTTCCTACCGTGCGTCAACTGGAAAAGTGACTCTTTCTCTGCTTCCTGGGATCGAACGTGTATCACTGAAAGCTCTGTTTCACAGTTACGCCACACTAACACAAAGGGTTACCTACCTTCATTGTAATGGATAATGAGGTACTGTCTTAAGTTGATTGAAGACTGTCCTATACTTCTGTGAAGTGGTTGTTCCCACTCATTTTGTCCACTGTGAAGCGACTTATGATGATCTTTGCCGGAATGTGGATGGCTACATTTTCATGAGTTTGTTGTCGTCATGATCAGCACTTGTTGTAATATGCATTCTCACCTCCGCCCCCATTGTCTTCATTATAACTACTTATGATGAACAGATTCGTTTCTCATGACATTTGATCTGGATTTTCCCCATCGTCAGTACTATCCAGGATAATCAGATCATAATATACACTGTTAGCGTTCTGACCGTTTTTCTGCAAAGTTCAACGTTGATTTAGTGTGTCTAATATCCTCAATTTAGCAATGTCTATCGATGGTTGAATGACGCTAGATTCTTTTTCTGTTGTGATGGTAACGAAGCCTGTCATCATCTGTTTCGTAGATCGTGAGATGTGTTAGTATTCTGTGATGTAACATTTCATATTTGAAAAGTGTTCTACATGAGTTCATCAAGTGAAAGTTGTATGAGAGACAAATTATCATTTGGTCAACTTTTGTGTATAGATAATGACATGGGATATCGACTGTTGTCTGGCATGTCATCTAGTGTAGTACACACGGATTTAATACCTCCAGAACATTGCAGATAGAGGCGAACCATTTTTAAATTCTGGAGAATGGCGTTGTTGGTTTTTTTTGATTAAAGTGGATTAATTTTTGGATCAACGAGTTTATTCCAATCGGGACAGCACAATACCGACCGACGCCCAAAGATGACGTCTCCATCATCCTGCTCCTGTTGCCTTTGTATTGCTTGGCATTTCATCAAACTATCTCATTACGAACATGACATCTGGTTTCCTGAGTAACATCCCCATTGAGGGAATTGATGTCGGGGTTGCCTGCGAGACTAAAGCCCTTCACGTGTAAGGCGAAAACGTCGTTCATTAGACTACCCTCGTTTGAGATTCCCCTACTGGCTTACCTAGTGAGATTTTCTTTACTAGGAACTGTCATGTTAACTGAGACCGAGCGAGTATTACGATTTGAATAAAAACCAAACAGCGAAATAACCTAAATGGACAACTGTTCACTTGATGATGTCAACTGCCTTTCTAAACTCATTCAGAAATATATTGACCCTACACGAAACGTATCAGTCAACTTGATTGAATTTTAAGTTTAAACATGACAGAGGGATCTTTTGTGTTTACATACCTAGTGTGGATATGGTAAATGGTGGTATATTTCTAAACCTCTGATCTTTCTTGGTCATCCCATAATTTTGTCGACTTGTAAGAAAATGTTCTGTCTGACCTACTTACTCTACATTATGAAGTTAAGGCAAGCACGAATCATTCTGTAACAACAGAAGACAAGGCCAGCTAGGCAACAGATCGTTTATTAAGGAAATCAACACATATTTATGGATTTTCATGTATATAATTATAGATTATTATTAACAGACAAACACAGTCTTCTGATTGGTGGTTTCTCGCTGAAAGTTAATCTGTCATCTGTTTGTGGTTGTTTCTTGAATGTCAGATCATCTATATGAAAAAACTGTATCCGTCTACGCAAGCAAAGTCTGCTGTGATTGGTTGTTGAATCAGTCTTTGTTCTTGTTATTTTCTCACGACCAATATTGGGAGCGTAAACATTGACGTAAATTACTGTCTACCAATCGGCTAGCAACAGCCAACTCTCACCACAATTCACCCTCTACTTTTACTTTTTTCTCATTTTCCTCTTTTTCTTTCTTTATTTTCATCTCACAAATAAAGTTGGATGTGTTAACAACGCCAAGAGATAAACGACCTTATCGTTGTTCCCTATGCAATGAAAATATAACTGGTGTCGATAATTCGGAGAAGCATTTGTATAGTGTTAGTCATCAAGAAGTATTCAAGAAAAATGTGAATCCAGATTGGGAGCTTCAAATACCACCGGAGTCATCATCATATTTTGATGTGTTAATGGATCTTTGGAGAGTTTGTAAAGATAAGTATAAAAAGGTGAGTCCTGCTCCCCCCAAACCTTCTGTCTCATTGGTGCAACACGGTGGTACAGGCAGCAGGCGGTAGAATGTCCGCCCCTCCCCCCGACGACGTACTCCTTTACCTTACTATAAGCCCATTAATAAGACGACTGGTTAGTAGGGAAGTTTGGGCATATGAGGCTTGCTAGCAACTCTATCTATCCCGCGAAAATAGACACTACTGCTATCAAAACTTGAAGTCTCCAGCTTAAAGCCGTATGTTCCAGTGGGGAACGTAAAGGAATTCAAAAGCAAACATTGACTATCCTCTAGAATATTATTGATGATTTGTCTTACTCTTATAGACTTCTGGAAGGTAAGCTGATGGCTGTCTGTCTGGTTGGCTTGGTTGTATTAGTTCAAGCTATTGGCGTGCTGTCAGGCCGTTTCGTTTTTCTCTCGCTATCCTCTGAGACACTAGTTTCGCATTCATACTTTCAGCGATATTTTGTACTATCACAACACTGTTTTTCTCTGACGAGAAGGAAACGGATGGGGGATCTTGGACACCACTATTGACGAGGAATTCGACGCCAAATGAGCGAAAAAGCCATCCAGTGTTTAGACTTTACTGACTAGCTGACAAGCACTAGTGGTTTATTCAAGTGTTATACAACTACTTATTTCAATCACTCAGTAGTATGTAGTTTACTCTATTGATTGATTACCACTTAAAGTATCTACGTGCTCGCTATGTAATTGGAAGGTCCTTAGTGTGAAATCTGGTAGGTAGAGGTTCGTAGTGTCGAAGAGTCCCAGACAAGATGGATATATATTTAGATGTACACAGTGTAGGAAGCAAACAAGTGTTTGTACTGGTAAGTGATACTCTCAGTTGATTGTCTTTTAGGAAGTTTCTTTAAAAAAGTCGAAACTTTCGTTGACCAACATCGTGGATTTTAAATACCGGTGTGAGATCAACTGCCGCTCAGACAGATAATACGTGAACGTCAATTGTGCGATGGTTCCAATTTCGCCGAGATTTACCATCATGAAAAATGAACAGTATTACACAAGTGTTGGGCGGAGTCGGTGTCGTAGTTCATCATATCGATGAAACGGTGCTTATAAAGAAGAGGTACAATCTAGGACGTGCTAGGGCAAATGAGGTTTGAGTTCTGGATATTTACTACACCCAGATTCTCAAAGGATTCATCGAACTTATTCTGGATAGAAGTGGTGATACACTCCTCCCTATTATTCAAAGGCTGGTTTTGCCAGGCACTATCATTCATACGGATGAATGGGCAGGATATAATCGACTATCGGCTTTGGGATTTATACATCGTCGAGTAAACCATTCGGATGACTTCGTCGACCCTAGAACTGGTACTCATACTAATTCAATCGAAGATTTCTGGGGAACACTAAAAAATAGAATTAGACCTATAAACGGCTCTCAAAACCAAGTTATTTTTAGTCACCTGGACGAATATATGTCTAGAAATTGGTTTAATTTAAAAACTGAAACTCAATATATATTTTTATCTCATATTAGACAGAAATACCCTGTATTATGTTTTTTTCATGCGTTTTTGTGAAAATATACGTAAAATTTTATGCAAAAATCCTCCTATTTACTGATTGGTCGACTGAAGGTCACTTGTGCGTTCGCACCCCTTGGGACGCTATTGTAGAACTTTGCCCATCAATCATTATCAACGGGATGAATTTCGATAAGTTCACTTTCTTCTCCTTCTCTAGGAAGCGCCGTTTCGACTACAAGTAGACGCTACAGGTGAGAACGTCAAAACCAGAGTTAGAAATGTCAGGTCACTCTGAAGTCAGTTTAGGAATCTTATGCACTCAGCATAAACGAGAAAATTCGGATTTTCAACACCAGTGTTAAGTCAGTCAGTCATTTCTTCTGTATCTGTCAAAAACTAGGCTACTGCAGACAGACACTTGTGTCAACGGCTGTCTTCCATGGCTTCATAGTGAAAATCAAAGGCCAGCCAGAAAAGAATTATCAACAAGGAATTCAGGTGTTGGTTTGTAGGGATTTGATTTGTTACAGAAATTCGTCATGAGCTGACATCGGTTAGAGAACCATTGGAAACCAGCACTGGAGTATTGGACAGCTGTTTCGTCCTAGTTTGGTATTCTTTAGCAGTACACACCCACCACCAGGGTTCGAACCCAGGACCTTGTGGTTACAAGGTGAGCTATGGTGGTCGCGGTATGTCGTGAATTGGCAGAAGTTAGAATTCATGGACTGGCCATTGGATTGTCGGGTCCCAGTGGCTGAATTAATGGTCTACGAACTCGCTGGCTTGTAACCGGAAGGTCCTGGGTTCGAACCGTTGTGGTGGGTGCGTACTGATGAAAAGTACCCAACTAAGTTGATGCGAAACAGCTGTCCAGCACTCCATGCAGGTCTTACAATGGTTCTCTTACCAATGTCAACTCGTGACGAAATTCTGCATCAACAAGAAACTTTGGGAACGAACCAACCGGAGTACCTGTCGCGCTTAGCAAAGGAATATCCCATATAAAATAGAGATGGATGAGACACGCACACGTTAGGAAGGGACTGTCGAACGACACATCGCTCGAAGGGGTAAAAGCGAATGGAAAATGATGAGTTATGTGCGCTTTGGTTGAAGTGTGACACGGAGGAGACCGTTTAATGGGTGGGGGAGTAGATGAGAGATTTTGGGCAAGTGGTGTGTAGGGTTAGCTAAAAAAGATCTTAGACATTTCAGATTTTTTGCTCAAAAACTGAGGGAACCATAATAATATTGTTATTACTTTCACTGTTATTAATACACTTCTTTCTTATATAGGAACTGAGAAGAGTAGAAAAATGCAGGGAAATTGCTTCATGTATATGTGGTTGTAAAATTCGAAGTTTTGATGATTATAAAAGACATTTCCGTAAAGCATTTGTACAAGTTGCCTTACCACCAGTCGATTCAGAAGCTTATGCTGAAGCGGAAGAGAAACGGATAATATTGAATCTTAGAATTACTTACCGTGAATGTATGGTAAGTTGTTGTTGTTGTTTTATTCATCATAATTACCGATGTGAGTGTGTGTGTGCGATCATCAATGAATAGTAGGTGTGCGTGTCCTTGAAGGTTTTTATAGAATGCATACGCGCTTTGAAAGCCTTTTTCTTGATATGACTGAGACATATTCACATATGCTCATATATATGCCTCCAAGTGCTAGGTAAGTGGGCGCGGAAATCAGTCGTCGACGAGACTGTGAAGCTACATCTATTAAGATAGCTGGTTAGGATATGTGTTCCGTATGCCTAGTCATCGCCTTCCTCGACAACAGGCAATGTTAGCTGGTGTAGGGTCAGGTTGAAAAAGAGCTAGGGGCGGTCAAACCAAAACATGGCTTCACCAGCCAATGAAATCTGGAACAGTTAGTTTAAGCCAACCACGTAGGGATATGTAGACTTCTTGACTGACTGGTTGGGGTCCTCAGGACGGTAAAAACCAATGAAAGCTGGAGACAGTTGGTGGTATGGCCCTAAATCGTTCTCAATGGCTGGCTGGCGCAGATGAATCCAGTCCGTGTGACTTATGATTTCTAATGAGACTATATTGTTCTTCGTTATTACTATTCCTTTGTCTCACTGTTTACTGTCGCTGTTATGCATTTCTTCTACCTTCTTCTCTTGGTTTGTGTGTGGTACATGAAGGGAGTGTGAGGACTTGAACTTCCGCACATTGGTGCAAAGTTGTATGTCGAAAACAGACAGACAGACAGATGATGGCTTGATTCCACACTGTATTTTGTGGTAAAAGTGTGAAATTTTTAGCCTGCGTGATATCGGTAGCGGAAATTTTGCCGACCGACCATTTATATCAGGTGTGCGTACGTCGTCAGGGGATCGAATCCCGGAGCTAACCGCTGTGCTGCTGACGCACAAACCAGCGTTGTTCTTGTCTTATTCAACTTTATAAAGGGATATACATATATATGAAGATACATTTTGTTGTAAGCGCATCTACAACTCGTGAATATCGATTTTCTCGTTCACATCTGCTTTTATCCTCATCTTGTTTATTTGCATAATATGGAGAGGGTGACTGGAGGTGGTGGTATGAATGAGGATAGGGGTCAACTGATCGAATAATTTAAGCTTTATTTTACACCTTTATGTGAAAACATCCGAGTGCGTTAGTTATATAAAAAGGATGAGTACTTCTTAAGCTTTCCGTATAAAGAGAAGCGGAGAAAAGTGCTCAAATTCGAATTTCACTGATAGACACACATACAGTCGTGACACTGTCGAAGTGAATCGATAAGCTTTGACTTGATCACTTTGAAATGTTATGAAGAATAATGAATTCATATTGGAAGTAGTAGTACCCGTATCACGACAGAAGACAAGGACCAGGCAGTGGATCGTTTATTGAGGAAATTAATAGGTATTTATATATTTTTATGTACATTATTATTAGCAGCAGAGAAACAGGGTCTTCTGATTGTTTGTTTTTTGGTGAAAGTTAATCTTTCATCTCTTTGTGACCACTCCTCTGAAGGTCAGACCATGTATCTGCGAATCTTATTTGCACCCGCTAGGTCTGCTGTGATTGGTTGTTGAATTCCTCAAGGTTAGGCCCCGATTCAGGACGTAAACATTCACGTAAATTGGTGTCTACAATTTTGGTTAGCTGACAGCTCTCACGACACCCGTACCCAGTCTCTACTGTTTGTGGTTACACAGCGTTAAAAGATTCTGAGTTTGTGTAAATTTGTATAATCAGAAGTTAAATAATGGAGACTTGGTCGGTGTTCACTTCATCCCACTTTGGAACTCATCAGCGGTTAGGATGCGTAGCTGCTATCTCAACACGAGTGATGGTGTTCACCCCCATCATTAATGATCACTTCAAAACGTGAATAGGTTTATTCCCACTTGCCCCTACAAAAACAATCCTTTGTGCTACACCTATGATCTCACGTCTTTTCGTCTCCCCCACTCCTCATCCAACGTGTTTGATCATTCACCTGATCGAAGTGGATCAGTCAACGTTATCTGAATGTTTCTTTCTCTCTTCTTCTTTTTTCTCCTTTCTGCCACCTAGAATTTGATTAAATTATTCACTCTGCCGGGAGATGTCATTATAGCGAAAAGAACAAGTGCAATGGAATTGGTTGGAGATACAACTGACGAAACTCCCAATGATACTGCGACCACCGAGACTAGTACCGCCGCTTCTTCTGCTGCCGCTGACGCTGTTGGTGGTACTACTTCTAATACTACGACTACTACACCTCCTTCTGTGAAGATGGATGAGTCAGTTAAGAAGGAGGAGGAGCAGGCAGCAGCAGCGACGGAGGAGGCAGTCAGCGCGATGAAACAGGAGACATCGAATTAGTTTCTTTTTCTGTTTTAACCCTCTAATGTGTGTTTGTTTGTGACTGACTGATTGACTGTAAATTGACTATCAGTGCATTTAATAATTTAATTGTGTTCATCAGTTTTAGTAATTGTAATTGTCTCTCTCTTCTGTTATTTCCTATTACCTATTACCCATCGGTAGTTATTAAATATCACCACAACTTCAGTTTTAATAATGAATAATCATAATTCTGTTATAATGATGAATGCTTCATTGAAAATGAATAAAAATGCATAATTGTCAGTCTTGATCAATTTTCTCTATTTTTTGTTTTGTTTACTGACTTGTTGTATGTTCTTTTGCTCCCTTTTGTTTGATGGTGATGCTCAGTAGCGATGAGAGCTGGGGAAATACCGCTGTGATGATAGTCGCTTAAAACTAACTATTCTGTCAACTGTAAGTTGGGAAATTTAATGTCAGAGAAGCCTTTGTTAAATCGGGCAATAGGTATCTTGAGTCCTGGATGTTTATTGTGTTTCGGATACGCATACACATAGAAGACCCCAGTGTGATTATTCACTGAACCGCACTCGGCCATTAGAGTGAGTAAAATTCACCTTACCGGTTATGTGGGGAGATTCTCCGATTAGTTCACAAGAACCCGTAGGTGTAGGGATAGCCTTGAGTGCTAGCAAAAAGAAATCCCTACTTGACTGAATCTCAGTGTGTATAGTCGCATGTTGGCTGTCCAGCTGACCATGTATATTATAAGGAGGGATGAATATAGCACCCATCGATGTATTTCCGTAGCCTCCGCTAACACCTCTCCTGTTATCATACTGCAATTCAGATGAAACAAAAGATTACTTCCGTCAGAATCATCTGTCCAGTTCTATGTCGGCGAACTGTCCCTGATCTGCGCTAACTTTAAACACAAAGGGAGACATTGCTTGACCTGGCGACATCCATCATCAAATTGACAGTGGGCTAAAATAAACCGCATAGCGATAAGCTGTTGATGACTGGGGTTGGCTGAATTCTATCGCTTCTTTTGAGACAATTGCGTCGACTCCGATCGTGTTTTAGGACTTAACGAACTTTAAAGGACTGACAACAATGATGCCGTTGCATCTCATCTTGGTTGTGACACTGAGTCCCTATTTAACGAAGTAATGGCTAAATGCGTATCTGTGATTGGTGGGAAGACACATTCTAAAGAAGCTTGGCGTAATTTCAAATCAGCTGTGGGAACAGTGATAAAGACTGCTGATTATCTAAAACCAGTGGTTAGTAGGTGCAAGTTGCTTCACGCGAACTGATTGACACAAGAAGACTGATTCCGGCGGGCTTCGAACATGATGAGGGGTGAAAGCTACTGGATTACAAGCTAACCAAAAGTCTCCGCAATGACTGCAAACAGTGGTGGGCGACAGTAGTGTGAAGGGGAGCGTCGGCGAAAGGCAACACCGGACAATTACTTAGGCTTAATATGGAAACTGGTTATAAAAGACAGATGATAAATGAAACAGTTTCCAGGAGAAGCCAATCCTTCATTAGCTGTCAGAGTAGAGAGCTGGAGGTAACATTTTGAGGAGCGAGCGATTCAACTTCCCCATAATCACACTCAACTCACCCAACACCTGCTTCAATGGAATGTTGACATTGGTCTTCCAACCGTAACTCGGGGTACAAAGGCTGCGTGTAATCTGAAACGAAACAAATCACCAGGACCCGATGGGTGGGCAGACTGACTAATATAGTATATAAAGTCCCAGGTTCAATAGTCACATGTGGACTAAGATGATACTTGGGAAGACCAGTGGAACTTGGGCATCATGATATTATGTGGTTCTGTATTCATTTGTATATATTACAGTGAAACAGCATTAAACGCACTGGGAAAAACGTTCCAAACACAATTTTGTTGTTCGTAATCATGTCATCTATTGTAACTATACGACTTTGAAACTTGACTTTCATAGTTCCCTTTGTTCCTTCCCATTCCTCGTAGGTGTAGTAGAATTTTCCAGATGTCCGGGTCAGAGGTTGAATCATTCCTATCACAAGTGCGTCGGTGGCACATTGGTTAGGACTCTCGCCGACCATGCACATGGTCCGAGGTTCGATCCCCTGCCGACGCACACCTGATATCTTTGGTCGGCTTGAAAAATTTGGGCTACCGATATCCATGCTGGAAATTCCATACTTGTACTAAAAATACAGTATGTAATTAAACTGTAATCAAAAAAATATTCAGTTGATTCGATAAATAAAGCTCCCGTTGTCAGTCTCTCTCCCACCTTTTCGTTAGATGATAAGATTGTCATCTTAGGGTTGTGTGTAATTGCGTGTGGTGTAGTGCTATAGCTCAACTATTCTCCAGATTTCTTATCTTATTCGGGTTAACTAACGTAGATTTTGCTTGGTTTTTGTGCCCCACTAGTCTGACTGACCCCATCCTTCTACTTTGACCTATCTGTATGTTTGACGTGGCAATCATCCCAGCAGGCAGGGTATTAGATAAACTAAATTGTTTTGTTTTAAAGGCTCCACAGGATTGATCCTTTAACAGATGAAGCTTATTTCAAATTGAATTTGTAGGTTTGAATACCAGCTACTTTTATTCTTGGTTTGTTAATAATTTTACATAGGGTTTCGGAGGTCCCTCATTTTAAAGGCGTGTTACTGGTGCTTTGAATTCCAAACAGGTTTTAAGGCCAGGAAGAGGTTGTGTTGGTCATGTCTTCATCCTCCGATAGATTCTGGAACTTAGGCATACTTACTAGCGTTCGAAAGGCACCAGATTTATTGATCTGAAGGTGGAGTTCTACTCCGCCGACTTAGAGGTGTTGTGGAGGAAGTTCCGAGAAGGCATATCACACTAATCAAAGCCCTTTACTTGAACTCCTGCGGCTATTTTAGAGATTATGGAGAGTTTTCATCTGAAATGATGACAGTATTATCAAAATTTCGTAAAATGGTCTGTGAACAACATTAACACTTGATCTGCATAGATGTACTACGTATATTTGGAGATTTGAAGAAACAGTTCATCACCTAACATCAAAATTCTAGCGAGGCCTGAATCTATAATCACCAAGCAATAACGGATGCAATCCATGGAAATCTCTGTAATGGGTTCCAAAAGGAATGTTATTCGAAGGGACGTTCTACGGGAAGTTGTTTCGGCAAAGTTAAACTTTAAGCACCACTAACTACCAATCAGTGAACGCCCTTCAACGGACCAATCACATGAAAGGGGGATTTTCGATCATAGAAAACGTATATTTGTGAAAAAAAAACCATCAAAAATGCATAAAACTGTTACATAGGCTATCCTTCTCTAACATGTGACAGAAACATCTCCCAGTTCAACATAGGAGTGTCGATAAGCAGTTACACCACATTCTGCACATATATTCATCCAAATGACTATAAATGAGATCCATTTATAGCCCTAATCCTATTTTTCAATCTTCCCCAAAATCCTTCTATAGAATTTGTGTGTGTCCCTGTAATTGGATCCACAAAATCACTGGAATGGTGCACTCTGTGATGAATATATCCAAGAGATGACAACGAGTTATATAACCTTTCCATTTATCAGTATGTACTCTAAATCCCTGTTTCACAAGTCTAGTAATAATAGGTACTAAAGTAGTTGACTTTGTCGCTTCTCTCCATGAATCCTTTTGGCAGGGAGGTGCCATATAAACCGATCACCCAAACATTGGTTTACTCACGGACACGGCTATTTTTTTCTTCAATACAACAGTTTCGTCCACATGTACGACGACACCTTCACCACCTAATGACGAAGTAATTCTCTCCATGATGCGGTATCTCTGCAGTGTTGGTACCACTGAACTGTTGACACAAAACTATTTTCAGTTTCAGTAGCTGCGCCTCTCACAGGCTGTTTTCAAACCCATTGGTTACAAGTATACAAAATCTGGGTTACGGAGAGATGTGACCTAGCAAAAAATGTTCCTACGAAATATTAAAATTATCAGCTTACCTTTCCTAATACTAACTCGTCTCAAACAAATTGCACAACGATGTACATATCCATCAATCGACCTGCTAAAGCTTTTTAAACTCTACATGAACAAGTCCTCTCCTTCTTAAGCAGCCCCAATCCCAGGCAATACTGCAAAACCTTATCCTCATCGAATTGCAAGTGTAACTTTGTTAGAGCATGTATTTGACGCGAATCAAGCGCAACACGACCTTTAACTTACGTGGAGGAACCTCATTGGGCTATTCGAGGTCATTCACTGATGTGTAGTTAGTGGTGCTTAAAGTTTAACTTGGCCGTTGTCTCTGGAGGAAGTCTGATGAAAGATTCCTTCTACTTGGTGATCTGTATTCACTTAGACGCGATTTGTAACTAAGGTATTCAGAAGGACTGGGTGAGCGATAGGACAGGAGCTATATCTTGCGGAAGGTTTGTAAGGTTGTCTTTCCCTGGTGAATGATATTGAATGATGAATGCCTTCCTGCGTTTTTGAGTATCTTTCCTCCTGCATATGCTACCTAGTGTGCCTTCGGCACAAATATTGAAACTTCACAGCTTCCTTCCGTGATAAGACCTGTTGTCATAATTACTTTGGCAGAATGATCGGTCACTAACATTTCGTTATTTTCACATATCACAAAACTAACTTACACCCGCCGCACTGGCACTGACAGTTACTCCAGTTTGAATTACGTCGTTTAGGATAAATCCTGCAGCTTTAGTAGGACATCCATAATGTTTCCTGTGGGAAAAACTTCACCGCTCATATGTCATCTAATATTAGCACCATGGGGTTCCTCCGGTTATCATCCTTAGGAAAATGGAGGAACTGATTTTCGATATGAGTGAGGAAGAAATTTATGATTACGCTTACCTGAAGGTGAATCGTGTGCCTCTTGTCAATAACTAAGGACTACGCTCCGAGACATATCCACAGTCACCTAAAGATCTGTCCGAAACACGACAACTTCATGTGTACTATGCAATCCCTCAAAAATGCATAAGCAATAGTCTGTCCATATGGATCAATCGTCACACCTGGTAGATAATCTAGCCAAGTTGACCTGGACATCGATGGTGAACTACGCCTCTCCCAATGGCCACTTGCATTCACCTACGCACGTGAATCGCTTTACTTGTTAACCAAGGGCTTTTCTCATGACGCATACCACAGCAAGTATCATTTGTTGAGGACTTGATTGGTTGTACAGTGTCTGGAGAACATGAACAGCAGTTCGAACAGATAATCTTGAAGAGGTTTTCGAAGCTACTAGGATATGAAAGCATTGAAACCACGGCATGTCAGCATTTCCACTTCTCTGATGGCAGTTAACGATGCTAAATGGAAGGATTCTCTACATTTATGCTTCCTCAACATCCTGTCGCCCTCAGCATGGGCACCTCGAGTAGGCCGGTCTACGTGATCATAGTCCGCTTACCCAGAGAACTCTATGGTCTGCATGAAAATTCTTCTGATAGAATATGGATCAATAGAGGAAAACAAACAGAGGTCTTAACAGATTTCTGCATTAGGAGAAGGGTTGCATCTAAACGCAAAGTTAAAATTCGCCAAGGTTGTTAGTTGTCTTTCTCACTGGTGTCTAAAACTGTGTGTATCCTAACAACCTACTAGGGGGAGGATACTTTGCAGTGTGCTCTCCACGTCACTAAAATAAATGTGTAGCTGAAATTGAGAGAGAAACCGAATCAACTCGATGTTAACCCAGAAAGTGTCTGGCTCGCCTACATATGCTCTATCTGTTTTAAGTTTTGGTTTCATGAGCACGCATCCGACCAGGCTAGGACACCAGTTTTTACCGCTTCCTTGTACTATTAAAACACGCAGACCCTATCAGCGGTGTGTTGTGCAAGGTTGCAAGAATACATTTCACACTCTATGAAAACTTTTGCAATCACTGTTATTGTTCCAGAAAAGTTTTGTCACTTATGAAATCAGAAAGTAAGTGTTTCATCTGACGAAACATTTGTGTGTACTACACGCTGCAAGTCTTTGAAGATTTATTGAACCATTTTGTCGACCAGCAAGTGCATCTCTCTTGATTAAGGCCGCTTTTATACGGTATTCTAGATTCAGTGTGTGGTTGTCAAGATTATCCGAAACGTCCCCCATGATATTTTCAGAAAGACTCTCTAAGTTAACCTTAGTTTATGGTGAACGAATAGTCCACTGTGAGAACTGTACCTCAGAGTGCGACAGTCATGAAGATAGTCGCTGCGATGGAAACGTAAGCAGCTGCATCGTAACTGCCACCTCTGCAGCAGAGTCGTTATCAGCCAATGTGAGATATATATATCACGACGATTGACGGCCATGAACATACAAGTAATAGAAGCTGTTTGTAACAAATACTTTTATGCATGTATCCATGGATAAAGGTGGTACTGTAAAGAATGTCCTCAGGTATTGATGTATCTCGTTACCTAATGGGAAGCACTTGTCATGAAAGTCATGACCAGTAGGGTGCAGCAGGTTGGGTTTGAGGACAAATACTCGCCGAAGACATTGGCTAGGGATCGCACTATGTCGTGAATTGATAGAAGTTAGAATTCATGGGCTGTTGTATCGGGTCCCAGTGGCTTAATGGTCGAGGTCGCCTTGTAACTAGAAAGTCCTGGGTTCGAATCCCGGCGGACGCGTACTGCTAAAGAGTCCCAAACTAGGATGAAACAGTTGTCCTGTACTCTTTGGTGGTTTTCCAATGGTTCTCTAACCAATGTCAGCTCATGATGAAATCCTGTAGACGTTTTTTAGTTGACATCAAGTTGATTCGGTTCCATTATATGGAAATTTACTCCCATACTCCCTACGGTCTGGAAACCTATAAACTATAATATGTACATGAAAATCTACAAATAAACGTTCTGTTACCTGGCCCTTGTCTTCTGTTGTTACAGAATTACTTTTTCAACTAAAAGCGGTAATACTGCTTTTATTAAGTGTGATTTACCTGTAAACTGACAAACTCTAGTGTAACACGGCACATATCCCATATTCTTTGTGTTGTAAAATCCCTACAGTACAAGTAGAATTCTTGAATTGAATATCTGTTAAATATGGAAGTGTCTCATTGAGTCAATTAGACGAAAGGCTGGGGGAATGCAATACCCTACACACGCACTTGCAGATGAAGGCATGTGTTACTTCACATGAACTCTGGGCCACATCGAGAAGGCATTCCTTTAAACTGACACTCCATTGTACGCTCAATTATCGTTCGTGTATATGTAATGACTTTGTGCGCTTCCTAGTTCGCCTGTAATTACGGAATGTACATAATATTAAGCAACACTTTGTGTGGATTTTTTTAAAGTCAGTGGTGTTCCCTCTCTAGTCTTAACTGACTTCACATTGATTGACACTAATAAAGAATGTATTGTAAAATGATGCGTTCTGTGGCTGCGAGTCATAATTACGTAGTTCTGAATCAATATCATCCGTCTAATCTTATTAACCTATGGATGTAGTTCTTTCTCCATCTTACACGACAATATCTAGAAGACAGGAGCACACTGTCTTTGACAGATCTAGTTTTACTTTGTGACTGTAACTGGTGAGTCGGCTGATGTTGTTGTTGTAGTAGAAAAAAACAACTTCAAACCGAAGTATTTTCTAGATATGAATATATTTACTTACTTTGGCGACAATTTAATCTTTTTTCCCAAGAAATCCCACGGAGAGGAAAGGTTGGCGGCATGAAATGGGCTAGCAACCTGTACTGTAAAAATGAAATTCAAGCCTCTAGCTTGTAAAGCCCTATGTTCCACTGGGAACGTGGAGGAATACAAAAACAAAGTCCATCACAATGACCGAAAACAGCACCTAATTTTGACAAGCGAACGCCTAACAACAAAGTTCTAATTAGGACAATTAGAAAGCTGTTCAATCTCAATAAAGCATTTTACTTAGTATCCGAGCCTTAGTGTCTCATTGACCTGAAAAGCTGGCTCATCACTTGATTTCCTCGAAACAATTTGATATACAAAATCTAGATACATTCCGAAACCTGATTTCACATCTCGTAATTAGTAGAGTCATACAAATCATTGTAACCAATGCGCTACTATTTCGATGACACTCATGATGTTACAGACATCATGTCATGTGATATGAACAAAATTCCAGAGGTTTTTTTTAACCTGGAGAGATTGTACTTCAAGTGGATGCCCCGAAAGTCGCTGGAAGGTGGTATCACTGTGTGCCACCCATTATGAACATCACAGGTAATTGTTGAATTCAAAATGAAAAGTAAGCTTTTAGAAGTCTCCCAGAACTTAATAAAACACACCAAGGACCATCTTCTAACCCCTGGGAGGCATTTTATCATAACGAACGATTGATTTCCCCTCCTCCTCACCTATAGCACTCGACGCATAACCTCAATATTGCTTACCTTATAATACCACCTAACACACACGGGAGATAGAGCACAGGAACCTATGATCAAAGACAGCTAATCTTTTCATGTCTTCCACTCTCAATAGCCAGATCTCACAGCCATAAAGGAGGACGAAGCGGACTGATGAACAGTACACCCATTCTTGGTCGATAACCAGCCAACCGGATATCACGTCTACTAAGCTAGAGACGGCGTAAACTGACATATGTATCCGTACTGAAATTTCGTCAGAGATCAACCCATTGGTGCTGGCTGATGCAACTTCCAAATAAGTGAAGCAGTCAACGACTTCACTGACTCCTACTAGGAGTCAGTGTAGTCCTATAACATCCTCCTACATTTGGCGGGAGCGAATCGCATACTAAACACTTTTATTCACATCGTTTCATCACTCAAGCAACTATTCCAACCTCGAGCATTGTTACTTATTAAGTAGTCCGTTCAAACTGTCGACTTAAGCTCGAAATATGTTACACCATTTATGTGGTGGTTCAACAGGAGAACCCTCTCTCTAACTACTCCATCCAAGTGGTTCGGGATTGGATCCTCGGCCGCCGCCAATGGACTCCTAAACCTCGCTAAGCAAATATATATTAAAGTGGGAAGATTGAACTAGTTAAGGCAGGTCAATAACCACCACACCACTCCCATAAGAATAAATAAACACCACTGCGACTGCTGTAAAACTCTAGCTTCGAAGCCCTATGTCCCTAAACGGGGGGATGGATACGTAAAAGAATAAAAAATCGTGGTGCACAGTACACACAGGATATTACTACCACTACTACTTCTTTACCTAATAAATTAAAATGACGTAACAACAGTTGAATGCATTTGATATTTGACAAAAAAAGGTGAATACTACCATACAGATTGTAGCCAAATAAACAGTATATGAAACTGGACTAAATATCATAAAATATTTACGAAACATATGACCATTAATTTATTGAAAATTGATTAACATTTAGATAGAATATGAAAAAGAAGAAGGCGTAGATATTAGCATACTATTTCATACAACAGTAGCATAAAGATAAACACACAGCAAGAGAAAAAAGAAGGAAAGAGGTGATGAAGTAAAGACAATCCTTTTCTTCGTTGAAGCACTTATCATTCACTATTCAATAATGATGATGAGAACAAAGGATCATTTTTACAATCAATGCGTATACTGCCTGGGTGTATGTTTGTGTTGGTGTGGATGTGTCGACAACTTCATCAAATGAGATTACGTCACTAGGATGCTGACGACGACGATGGGTATGGTTGTGTGTTGTTATCAGGCAGACATTCGATATTCGGTGCAGGGACAGTGGTTGCAGAACCAGAGTTATTATTTGATGAACCATTATTATTATTATTATTATTATCCGCTGGTTTCTCCTGTTCCTGTCCCCGTTGTTTCGGCTCTTCATCATCGTCTTCCTCATCATCATTCTCATCATCGTCGTCCTCATCTTCACCATTCTTGCCTGTTGCTGATTCATCATTAGCAGGCGGTTCTCGAGTAATTTAGCCTTAGCCACCTCTAAAGCGCGATCTCTTTTTGCATCAATCACATGACTAGGCAGGGCAAATAAATTGAGTATGGTCTAAACAACACACAAAAGAAAGCGAAAAAGCGAGAAAAAATTGAAGACAACATTAGACAGAATTAAAAGTTATTGAATTGAATTTTTGATTTTCCCGTCGATTTATCGACTGGACCGAAGTGCTCGGTTTCAGGTTGACATGTCTGTCGGCTTCTTGTGCAGATGCTTCGACGATGTCTGGGCATTTAATTAGTATGTAATGGTGGATGGCGACTAGCAGTGGAATCCACAAGGATGCGCATTTCGCCCTATTTGGGACTCGTCAAACAAATGGATATACCTGCATTTCTCAGTGATTGATGATGTTCCCACCGAGGCTCAAACCCAGTGCGCATAGTTTCAAACGCCAGAGCGTTATCCACTAGATCACTTGGGCCACGAGAGCCACGTCTTGTGCAACAGGCCATATTAATTATTGAATGGAATTTTTGATTTTCCCGTCGATTGATTGGACTGAAGTGCTCGGTCTCAGGTTGACCCAAGTGGTTACTAGTGGATAACGCTTTGGTGTTTGAAACTATGGGCTTTGGGTTCGAGTCTCGGTGGGAACATCATCACTCACTGAGAAATGCAGGTACATCCAGCTGACGAGTCCCAAATAGGACGAAATGCGCATCCTGGATTCCACTTCTAGTCACCATCCACCAATTGTATAAGAATTAAAAAGTGCTTGTGATATATAACGAACTGGGAGAAGCTGGGTCTCATGACTGGCAATCGGGTCGACTCTTGCGTTGTTTATCCAGAAGGTCATGGGTTCGAACCCCAGTGGATGCGTTCCGATGAAGCGTCCCAAGCTAGGACGCTGCAGGAAGTTGACAAGTACTCCAAGGTTTTTCAACGTTTCACTAACTGATGTCAGCCTGTGACCAATCCTGTAAAAGCACCAATGAAATCATTGCAAACCAACACTTGAATTTTAATCTATTTTCATCCTTTATACACCTAGAACTGACAGTACTTATTAATTACAATAACTAAGTGCGTCGGTTAAGCATATTGTCCGGGGTTCGATCTCCGGCCACAGATGCACTCCTTTACCTCGCTGAGCCAGAAATAATGCTAGTAAAGAGTAAAGGTTGAGCATGAGGCTAGCTAGAAACCCTGTCCTGCAAAATTAAACACTGCTTCAGAAACTTCAAGCCACTAGCTTGAGGCCCTATGTTCCACTGGGAATGTGAAGGAAATTTAAAAAAAAGTGATTGTGACAATTTTGATGTAAAAATGATGTCAGTATAGAACACATGACGAAGAACTAATTGAAAACGAATACATATTTGGTTACTCTAAGGATCAGTGAGCTTTTACCGTATAACACTCTGCTGATGTTCCTTAATTGCTACACTAAACAATTACACAATCTAAACATTTTTAAAAAAATCAATAATTTACACCAGTTGAGAGTCTATGAAATCTAAACTAGTTGTTCTTGATGTGGTTGTGTTCTCTGAGCTGGATAGTTAATTTGCGAAGCTTTCATCACCCTCCTACTAGGCGACATCTTCAGTGCATACTTCAATGTGTTGAAGTGAGCTTTTAGATCTCTCCACGAGATTATTAATCATCTCTCCTGGTCGACCAACTTGAAGGTGATTGGTTGTTTTTGTGTGTTTTCACACCTTCTAGGTTATTTGTATTCGAACTAATTGTTTCTGCGACTTGAACTTTGACCTTTTGTGTGTGAGGTCACCTTCTTATCGGTTGATAAATTTTGTCTATCTCTAAATTATTCAATTCTATACAGCAGTAGATAGAAATCTAACACAGCTCGCCCTACCTGAGTGAGTTTGTAGGTTTGAATGCCCCACTCTAACTGCTGCTTTACGAAGAATCCTACGTAGGGTTTCAAACGTCTCTTCCTTATATGGCAAAACTACTTTTTTATATTCCTTCAGGTTCCTAGTGGAACATACAGCTACAGGCTACAGACTTGAAGTTTCCGTAGCAGTGGTGTTTAGTTTTACAGGATGGATTCGCTAGTCTCATGCCGAAACCTTCCACTTTACCAGCTTTTATTTCTGGCTTAGCAAGGTAAAGGAGTGCATGTGTGACCGGGATCGAACCCCGGACATGTGCATGGTCGGCAAGTGTCCTAGCTGCTGTGTCACCGACGCACAAAAATGCTACTTACCTCCAATTATTAACGTAATCATTTCGGTAAAACTATAGATTATTATCATCATTATTAGTTCCATCACCATTATTTTTATTTGCTTTTGACCCTTTCGATCTTCCTAATGAATTTTATAGGGTAATTTAATAACAATGCCTCTTCTTTCTATTTTAAATAGTGAGAATTAGGGTGGCACTTAAACCTACAAACTCAATCAGGTAGAAAAAGCTCTATAGGTGAAAGGACTCTGCAGGTTGACCCAATTAGACAAAATAATATAATCTACAACATACCTTGCAATGACTGTGAGTAAGGTCAACTACATAGATCAATCCAGTAGATTGGGTGTAGTCAGATTATCAGAACACAAGAATTTAGCTAAGTGTAGAAAATGATTGACCCGACGAAGATAAGTAATTTAGAAAAAAAGCTCAGCAACTGCACTGCATGCGTTAACAGACAACCACACAATAGGGTGAGAGAGAGAAGAACAAGATTCTAGAAAGTATTATAGGTAGGTGGAGAGCGACAGAGGTTGATTACTGAATCTTTGTTCATAGAATGATCTGCACTCAACATGTACACCCAATAGGAATGACTCACCACTCATACCAGAAACATGGAAAATACTGCTACCAATCGTCAAACCAAACGATGGAAAATACTGGAATTATATAAACGAAGTTAGAAAGTTGTGTGAGTAATGTCTTGACATGATTATAAGCAGCAGTAAAATTGTGCTCGAGACCTGGTCATAAATAATAAATATTACTGTATAACACTCTGTAAGAATTGACACCAAAATAAATTTAACCCACAATGAAAAGATAAAAAAACTGCTTGAAAAATCAACAGACCCTAGACAGTTACAGTTCACACACTGGTAGACATCTGCTGGAAAATTTGTACAAAAGCTTCTCATTTGTCGTATATATTTCCCCTGCCCTGGTATCATAATAAAGTTTACCTACAAAGATTTAGTATGATGACGAATTGTTTTTGAACACATAAAGATGGTGGAAACTTTCTGATTGCCAGCTAGAGCTTTCACAAACTTCATGATAAACATTTTATAGGTAGGCTTCATATTCTTAATTATTATGATCTTAGTTAGCTGAACACAAAGTCTTTTTACCCGCAGCGTTCTACCACTGTAGAGTTACCAAGTTACAGTTTGTGTCAGTTTTCTTTCTTCATCATCAAGTGTGACTTCGGTGCATATTCGTTGGATTCTACTGAAGAGGCACCTATCACACTAAGGCTCTTTTATGCCGAACAAAGCAGAAACTGTAATAATTAGGATACTTTAAAGCAATTAGTTCCCTTTATGAATTTCAACAACACAATAAGTGTGTCGGTGGCACAGTGGTTAGGACTCTCGCCGACCATGCACATGGTCCGGGGTTCGAGCCCGCACCGACGCACACCTGATATCTATGGTCGGCCTGCACAATTTGGGCTACCGATATCTATGCTGAAAATTCCATACTTGTACCGAAAATACAGCGTGGAATCAAGCTGTAAATCAAAAAAAAAAAGTAAAATTGCCGGATGCAATTGATCCCGGGAATAGATGGCTAACATCATCTATAGGAGGAGCACATTATACAGACGGGCCATAAGGTCGATTTCAATAATACCTTTAAACCCATATATTTAACAAGGTTGGATCACACATACTTAAATTCGTTAAAGTCTCGGCCATAAAAAGACTTCATCTTGTATGTCTTGTGTCCAAAAGTTATTTGTTATTACTTTAAACCTGCATTCGTAATCCAATTTAGAACCAAGGTTCAATTTACTTCATAATACTTTTCAACCCTTCTTTGTTTTTGTTTTTTTCTTTCTTATCAGCACCTTTGCATCATATTCCTTCCTACCCATTATTTGTGACCTTGACCCGCACACAATCTAACCCGTATTGTAATGATTCATATTTTCTTACCTTCTATATAACTGTGTGTATGAAAAGTATGTGTGTGATCAGAATGTCCGAAATGTTTTGCACAAATACATTACTCGTTTTAGATAACCTAAGTCTTTTTATCAATATATGTATGTAAAACTTGGACGCTGTGGCAGTAAGTAATTCCATATTAGTTTGTTTATTAGATGTATTACACAGTCAGTGAAACAGTATTATTTACTGGATGACGTTTCGAACACAATTCATCACTGTTCATAATCACATCAATTGTAGTCACACGACTTCGAAACTTGAGTTTTATAGTTTTCTTTGTCTTCTCCTATTTGTTGTCGTCGGGGTAGTAGAATTTTTCAGATATCTGCGTGGACAGGTGTTGAATCATTCCTATTACATGTATTTGCAGTTGATTCGATAAACATGCGAGTCAAATGTGCGCAAGATAACACCAACAATAAGGAATCTAAATCATCAGTAGTAATCCCATACAAGGAAGGAACCTCAGAAACTACCTTTCGCAGAATTCTTAACAAGGCACGAATAAAAGTGACTGGCATTCAAACCAGCCACAAACTCAATTAGAAACAAACTTTGACGGATAAAGCATCAATCCTGTGGAGCCTTTAAAACAGAACTATCTAGTTTATCTAATATCCTGTCTGCAATGATTGCTAGGTTAACTACATAGGTCAAACTAGTAGATCAGGGTCAGTGAGTCAGACCAGCCGAACATAAAAACCTAGCAAAATCTAGATAAGAAATCTAGAGAATAGTTCAGCTATAGCACTACACCACATGCAGTTACGCACAACCATGGGATAGGATGACAGTTCTAAAATCTAATGTCACAGGGTGGAGGGATAGATTGATAACAGAAGCTTTGTTCATCGAATCAACTGAAGAGAATACATGTAACAGGAACGATTCAACACCTGTCCCTGATATCTGGAAAATTCTATTACCCTGACGACGACAAATAGGAGAGGACAAACAAAACTATAAAACTCAAGTTTCGAAGTCGTGTGATTATAATTGATGGAATGATTATGAACAGTAATGAATTTTGTTCGAAAGACGTCGTCATCCAGTAAATAATACTGTTTCACTGTGTGATATATCTAATCAACAAACTACTGTGGAATTAAGTCTTCTTATTGTGTTGTCGAAATTAAGATATTGTAGTATCCAGGCAGGTTCTCTATTAGAAAAAGATAGTTTTATTGATCCATGTGATCATCGATTTTTTCATTCCTTTGTATTCCTAATAAGACATACAGGTTCGAGCCAGAGGCTCGAAGTTTCGGTAGCTGTGGTCTTTATTTGTTTTTACGGGATGAGGTTGCTAGCCTCACGTCCAACCTTCCCTCTTAAACAGCCTTGTTACTGACTTAGCTCGAGGTGAAGGAGTGTGTCTGCAGGAGACCACATACATGATTGGTAAGCATTCTACCAGCGTGCCACCAACGCCGGTCATCGACTACATATATCCACACATGTAAATAGGTGACACACACAGTAAATATGATAAACAACAAAATTGTGTGAGTATGTATTGTAGAACAAACAAAACAAGAAAATAAACAAACAACACTTACATAACAATCACGATAATCAATACGATGACGATCAGCTCGAGAACGAACTGTCTTCTCTAAACTTTTTTTCCATGAACGAATTCTTTGATGAATTTCATAGTATTTAATTGGAAAGTGTCTTCGCATATCATCATAACATGTGATACGGAAACCACAAATGCATAAATGAAATCCTTTCTCCCCAATTATTCTTGCTAATTCCTGATTTATAAAAAAAGAAGTATGATCAACAATGTTTCACAATAAATTTTTTTCCTTCACGTTCCCCTAGTGGAACATAGGGCTTCAAGCTAGAGTGGCTTGAAATTTCTGTAGCAGTGGTGTTTATTTAATAGGATGGGGTTGCTAGCCTCATGCCCAACTTTTCCTCTTTACCAGCATTATTTCTGGCTTAAAGAGGAAAAGGAGTGCGTTGATGGCCGGGGATCGAGCCCCGGACCATGTGCATGGTCGGCGAGCGTCCTAACCGCTGTGCCACCGACGCAATAAATCTTGGTGGACAATTATTTCACAAGACGATTTCCTTCAAAAAGTGTAATTCTCCTCGAAGATAATCAAGGCTGTAGATGCATTGGATATGAGTTACGATAGATACATATAATTAATTATATATATAAAGGATATCTCAGAAATCACTACAAGACTCTTCAAACCTTTAGGAATTGACGTCGTACACAAACCAACAAAGTCACTTCACTCAGCTGCTTCTGTGTCAACCAAAAGACTCAACAGCGAAAGAAGATAAAACCAACATCATCTACAAAATAAATTATAACAACTGCGAGAAACACTACATTGGCCAAAATGGATGTCCCCTTCGTCTTCGAATCCACGACCATAAGCTAGCCGTCAAAAGACATGATATCCACTCCCTCATTTCACTCACCACATACAGACAACCACGGACATCAATTCGACTGGGATAAACAGCGTTCAAATATTAGACAGAGGAAACAACAACAAGAATGCTAGAGAATTTTTAGAAGCCAGTCTGGTATTACAGTGAATCATCAATCAATAGACACATAGAGATGGACAAAATTTATCAACCGATAAGAAGGTGACCTCACACACAAAGGGTCAAAGTTCAAGTTGCAGAAACAATTAGTTCCAATACAAATAACCTAGGTGTGAAAACACACAAAAACAACCAATCACGTCCAAGGTCGCCGACCAGGAGAGATGATTAATAATCTTGTGAAGAGATCTAAAAGCTCACTTCAACACATTGAAGTATCCACTGAAGATGTCACCTAGTAGGGTGATGAAAGCTTCGCAAATCAACTATCCAGCTCAGAGAACACAACCACATCAAAAAAAATCCATCTGAGCTACAAATCTTCTCTATCATATCTACAACGTAAAACCACCATAGTATATGTATATATAGTGAGGGATATAATCAAGTGTAAGTTTGCAGGGATTTGATTGGTTACTACAGGTCTGTTTGACCACAAGTTGGCATCAGGTAGAGGATCAATGGAAAACCACCATCAGGGAGTACTGAGATAACTGTTCTGTCCTAATTTTTGGGACTCTTCATCCGTACACACTACCACCGAGGTTTGAAGTCAGGACTGTTCAGTCACTGGGACCTGAACAAATGACCAGTCCATGAACTTCGACTTCCGTGGATTCGCGATGAAATACTGTGACAGGGGAGACTGACGATGTGTTTAATTATAGAGCTTTGGATTAAATCAATGGGGGTCTTTTTCTAGTCATGTTGGATAGTGTTCCCAACACCTTTTGAAAGGACGCGCATAAAAACGACTTATGTAGATACGTGGCCTTCGTGCTTTGTGGTATATTAGTTTAGGACAGTTTATCGTCGTAGATTCATACAAAAAAACATTGAATTAAGTATTTACAAAACAAAACAATGGTTTGCATTAGTTATTTTACACAATAATTTTCAATCTTAGTAGTAGTATTATTTTAATAAAAACGTCACAAAATCCAATGGGCTAAAACAACAATTCCACTGAAAAACGGAAAACAAAGACACAAAATTATGATGGCTTTCAGGGATTAGAAAGATTTCAAGTTCAAATGACGAACTGACTTCAATTAGAGAATCATTGAAGAAAGCCACAGAGATTAGTTGACAGTAGTACTTTGTCCTAAACTGAGACTCCTTAGCAGTGTGTATATAAGCATGACTTCATCTATATCTAGAACCTTCAATGTATACGAGGCAATTCATTTGCCTACTCTTAGCGAATCCAAAAGCCCATTAAACTAGAACAAACCAGTTATCCACAATATTCAATGGTGTGTGCTCTAACTGATTTTAGTTATAATTCCTAATAATTACGAGTGTGGTGAGTGCTACTTATAATCAAACGATTCCCCTAACATCCTGTCGGTGTCTTGTGGTCAGGACATAATGGCGTCCTTTCTCTTTTAAAAAAATCCAATGGAAATCAATACATTTTGGTGATGATAGAACATGTCACGCAGTGGGTAAATGTCGTGTGTTGTTTCTAGATTAGCACGCCAAGACCGTAACTGAGGCAGTAATTCTCACTTGGAGCATGATTTGGCGTCGGTGGCAACGAGCGGTAAGGACTATCGCCGACCATGCACATAGTCCGGGGTTCGATTCCCTACAGACGCATACCTGATATCAATGGTCGGCCTGCAAAATTTGGGCTACCGATATCACATGCTGAAAATTCCACACCTGTACCGAAAAATACGGTGTGGAGTCAAGCTACAATCAAAAAAAAATATTGTGGAGGATCATGGTGCACCAAAGATGTTATTGAAGGATCACAGTCCCCGTTTTGAGACTGAGGAGTTCACGAATCGTCGAGAGGCACTGAGTATTAAAAGAATTAGAGCGACACCTTATGATCCTCAGACAGGCGGCCTAACATAAAGCAATAATCGTGCAATCAAGGAGTGGCCAGCTACGAAGAGAGACATTTTTATTTATTTATTTAAACGTATAAAAACTTGGTACAATATGGCACCAAGAAGGATGCGCCACACAATAATAATAAAACAACATAGATCAAAAAAAGGTAGGAAAAGAAATATATATATATATAATATATATATAAGTAGAGAACGGATAAAGAACTTCATCTGGAAGGAAAACAGTCATGCTTAACAAGTTCAAACAGTGTTCGTTAACTATCATCGGGAAGGGAAGAAAGAAGGAAATCGCAACACATTCGCCATTGATTACGATTCTTGGCCATATCCGATAACGTTTCGAGCCATCGATTTGAGCTATCTCTCGGACCCCAACCAGGGAGTCGTGACACACCAACCGATGCTAATCTAGCACAAAAATCCTTCATCCCACGACGCCACGTCATGGACTGACCACCTCTCCGCCTTTTCCATCCCGTCCCAGGGCTAGCGAACAGAGACCTGTACGGAAGCCTCTGGGGTGACATTCGGAGCACATGTCCAAGCCACCGGAGCCGGTGTTTCCAGATGACGACATTCAATGAATGGTGATCTCCACTTTGTTCAAACACACGCCGCCGAACCTCAGAATTACTCACGCGATGATGCCATCGAACGCAAGCAATCCTGCGGAGACAGCGGTGATCGAACACGCAGAGTCGCCGCACATCCTCAGCTCGGAGAGGCCAGGTTTCACAGGCGTAGAGCAGCGCAGCCCGCACCGAAGCATTGTATACCCGACCTTTGACAGCCAGGCTAACGTCGCGACGGCGCCAGAGGTGGCTCAAGTTGATGTATGCCACCCTAGCCTTCATTATACGGTTGGAAATCTCATCCGTCACCCCTCCGCCAGCACTCACACAACTACCCAGGTACACAAACTTATCAACAACTTCAAGCGGTTCACCCGCAAGAGTGAGTGCAGGTACAGGCTCCTGCCAATCTTGTAACAGTACTTTGCACTTAGACGGCGCAAAGCACATACCATACTTACAGACACTGATCGCCAACTGATTAAGTGCGATTTGGGCAGCCTGCATGCTATCGCACAGTAAGACGATATCGTCTGCATACTCGAGGTCGAAAAGTCTATCTCCAGGTAGCAGATCTACACCACCTTCACGCACATCCTTCAGAGCTGACTCCAGAATGTCATCGATGGCAAAGTTAAAGAGAAATGGAGAGATTGGGCAACCCTGTCTAACCCCACTGTTGGTTGGGAACAGTGGTGATAGTTGGTTGTATGCCCTCACTCTACCTGAGGTGTTTCTGTATAGGGCTTTCAGGATGTTAACAAATTTCTCAGGTACACCTCTCTCTAACAGACAGTTCCAGAGCACAGTTCTGTCCAACGAATCGAAGGCAGCCCTAATATCAAGAAACACAACGATCGTTGGCCTGCAATACGTGTGGCGGTGTTCCAACAACTGACGAAGGGTGAACACATGATCAATGCATCCACGACCTGAACGAAACCCAGCCTGCTCTTCGCGAATCAATCCTTCACGTATTTTGCACAGTCTGCGAAGCAAGACAGCAGCCAATATTTTAGACGCGACTGGTAACAGACTGATACCCCTATGATTGTCACTTACGTCGACCCTTTTTAAAGATGGGGACGATAATGGCTTCGTTCCACATTGATGGTACACTCTCTGTCTCCCACACCTTCCTGAACAACCCAGTTAGAGCCATTGTGAGAGTCTCGCCACCATCTTTAAAAAGAGCCGGGGGTAATTTGTCTGGGCCGGGCGCCTTATGGCGTTTCAGAACTTGGAGTTCCTTACGGACCTCCGCTTCGGTGGGTGGGTCGGTACTAACCGACCAAGGAGCACTCGGGCTAATGATAGTAGACACTGAAGCTGGTGGCCAGCTGAACTGCTTCCCGAAGTGCTCTGCCCAGCGTTCCAGGCGTCTTTTCAGGCTGGTAATTGGAGTGCCATCTGCCTCACAGACCGTCTCGCTGACACCTTGTTTCTTGCCGCCGGTGGCTCGTATGAGTTGGAACAGCTTCCGACTGTTGCCAGATGCAGCAGCTGACTCCATCTCACACGCACGTTCTGACCACCAGGCTTCGCGGTCCTTACGTAAACACTGTCTAATCTTGCGCGTGAGCGCCTTTCGCTGATTGTTGTATTCGCTGCCAGCCGGAATGGACCGGCGTTCATCCATGAGTTGCAAGGAACTCGCAGAAACCCAGTGGTTGTTAGCGGAGCATTCTTTCAAGCCGCAAGCGGCTACACTCGCCTTTTGCATGGCACCTTGCACATGAAGCCAATGTTCATCTATACTACTTGGGGGGTTGCTGGCAAGCATTGTTTTTAACTCATTCTGATATTTCAAAGAAGTAGCAGGTGCTACTAGTTTGCTCACATCAACGCTTAGACGACGGCTTTTACGAACCCCACCAAATCGCAAGACGAACTTGGCACACACTAACGCATGATCGGAGTCCAGGCATGTGCTCCAGAAGGAGCGACAGTCTTGTATGCATCCTCGCCACCGGAAACTGACCGCAATATGATCAATCTGAGTCCAAGCTTGCTTCGCAGAGGGAGGACGCCAGGTAGCGCTACGGCGATGGCTGTGCCGGAAGTTGGTGCTAGCTAGAAATAGGTTGTGATCCGCGCAAAGCTGCAGAAGACGGTCCCCATTATCTGACCTGCGACCATGTAGTCCCCACTGACCACCTAGACGATTCTCCTCTGAGCTTAGACGCCCCACCTGTGCATTCAAGTCCCCAGCCAGCACTACGATATCCCTCCGACCCGCCTGTTTCAAGAGATCGCTCAGTTGGTAGTAAAACTCATCCTTCATTGCATCCGGGCTGCAATCCGTCGGTGCATAGGCAGAGACAACAAATAGACACCGCCTATCTGGCCTACTACCCTTACTTTCGTATAACCTTCCAGCCTCACAGCACATAAACGACTGTTAATGGGAATCCAGTCGAGCAGTGCAGCTTCGGCTCTAGCGCTCAGTGCGACACCGACACCAGCTACGCCGGATGCCGACGCCACAGGGTCCCCGGATAAGCGCAGGTGGTACATACTACTAGAACTTCCAGATGGAGAGGATAGTCGAAGCACTTCACTGGGATCTTGAATGCGGGTCTCCGAAATGCAGCAGACATCGATAGCGAGGCTTTCCAAAGTTCTTGCCAACCCTGCCTGTTGTCCGATTTGCATCAGCGTCCGAACATTGTAGGTAGCCAGCTTGAACGCAGCACGCGGTTTCAGGATATCTGTGTTAGATGTCACATTGGGAACAACCATTTTGAGGACTACTCACTAACATCTCGAAACGACACGGATAGGCTGGGAATCTCGACAAAGGCGAAAGGCTGTCGAAGGTTAAGAAGCCAAGGTTAGCAAAGGTAAAATACAGGAAACTATGTATAAAAATAAAAGTAAGGTAGGAAGGAAATAAGTTGCTTGAGGGATCATTATTGCTTGAAATCATTTTTACTAGCGCGCGTTGAGTTTCAGTGAGAGTTCGTTGCTTTAATTCATTCATTGTGTGCGGGCTGAGATACTGCCCGGGCGCCCAGACCGAAGCAGGTGGTTTTATTAAGGGACCACCCCCGAGCCTTTGACTTGGAGTCTAATCCGCAAGGCAGCGGAGCAGCGTCAGGAGCTGCATTCCCATGGTTGCCGGTGACCCATATGGGTTTTTACGCCATTCGATCCGATTGGAAACTGGAGCCCATGTACCCCATGGTAACTGCTTTTAGTTTAACCGCTATCCGAAGAGAGACAACTGGGAAACTGACCACCTACCGTTCGTGTTACTGGTACAACGAGCCATAATACAGTGGACAGCAAAAAAACCCTTCCAGCTGATGTATAGGAGGAAACCACACTTGCTGGTGCACCATAAGACTTGTCTACAACAACACCACTGAACACAGTAAGAGATGGACAAGTGAGCGAAAACAAACTATTCAGAACATACAAGTGAAGCGGAATGCAGACATTGAGAAGGCTGTCAAGAACCAAAACAAAGCTTGGAAGCCGTTTGAAGTAGGCGACAAGGTGAAATGTAGAGAACGAAAGTATACTACCAGAGGTGGACCAGGATGAGGAAAGCTACTGCTAAAGTGGGAGGGAACACATATGGTCACATCGAGACGTGGTCTAGTAAACACAATAAAGGGAGGAGATAACGAAAAAAGATTAAACGCCAGTCTTCTCCAAAGATGGATACAAGAATGTCACTGGGAACGTAAAGGCATAAAGAGGAAGTAGTCAGCCGACTAGAGAATATCACTCTTAGTATATATATATATATATATATATATATATAATCACAAAAAGAATACAAACCTTGCTAGCTCTAGATTGACAAGTTTTCCATACAGCGAATACAGGATCTGATATCGATAATTTCATTTCTTCTTCAAATGTAAACTCTTCTAATTCAAACTTTTCTTTATACTTCTTTTGATGCGTAAGACTGCGTAAATGATTTTCAATTTCATCAGCTCCAATAAAATCACCTTTGCACAAGGAACAGCTATACTCCATATCACGGGTATTATAAACTTGCTAAAATTGTTATTAATAATAATAATAATAATAGTAATGATAAGGGAAACAAAATAGCATAGAATAACTTTATGCAATATACCAGCTAGGCTGCTAGTCGACATAATAATAAAAAAGAATAACTAATTGGATAAGGCGCATCTGAACTCCAAATGCGGAGACTATTGGTGTTAAACATGAATCGCAGCATGTACGGGTTAGAAGTTTGGCGTTCACGTCGTCAAGAAAAGCACTTCCAACAGGCGACACATAACAGACTTTTATCAACAGCTGTCCATTTTGCTGGCTCCATACTGAAGACTAAGACAGTCAGACGACTAAAAAGAATTAGCCACAAGAAACTCTGAGAGGCATAGAACCAACCAAGAACCTATTGCTCAGCAAATAACTGGAATAAAATGGAGACGGATAAGACGCACGCCACTTAGGAGATTGTCGAAGACTATCACTCGAGTGGAACGAGAATGAGAAACAATGAGTTGGGCGTCGCGCGCTGAGGGTAACATTGATGAGATCATGTGATGAGGAAATGAGAGACTATGGGGCAATCGTAGGGCCAGTTGAAGAGGACTCTTGGTGCCCTATTTTTCACTCGGAACACAAAAGAACAATAGTTTAAGCATAATAATAGTGCGCAATATGACCATTCGTCATTCACATTTCGAAGGAGGAGGCAGTATAATAAGACAGACCTAAATAAATACAAAAACACTCTCATCACTGGAAACAGAGTCTGCGCCACCCCTATGTATTACTTTCAGGACTAAAATAAACACACAAAAAACTGCAGCATGGTCACCGTTGATTATCGCATAGAGTGATCCAGCACTACCACGGAAGTAATACTTCCCTATTTCTTTCGACAAATGACAGATATAGGATGCGGTGGACTGTAAATCATGGAGCCTAGTACCTCAAGATGAAATCACATATGACAAGAATATATTATGTTAATTGAAACACTATTCAGTGTACGTTGAAGACTACATCTACAACATCACATTACTCTAAAATGCAATATGAATACTAGTGTGACATATATTACTGACAAGATTTGTCAGTAGTAGATAAAAAAAGAGACGTTCATCAAAAATATTAAATAGTGGAGAGAGGGAGAGAGAGAGATTTACGTCAGAGAGAGGAAATGGACAACCAGCGCTGTGGCGAAACATGAGAGACATGAAAAGAAGACAAAGAAACACAATATGGAGGAATGGTAGAAGTAGCACAATAATACGGAAGATCTGTGGCAATGACGATTATATATAAATTGCAAATAAACATTCAGTCACCAACCACTCACTCTTGTGTTCCACCGTTGCGCTAGAAATATCAAACGTGAACATCCATCTCACAAACCGAAAAAGGCAGAGTGAAGTTGTATAGATCGAGGCTTTCTGAACAAGTCCTTTACTAACTCGTAGGTGGGGGGAGAGGGTTGCATAATGTTAACACCATAAATTACCCACCATCTTTTCAGTTGCTTTTAGCAGTTTATGATTGGGAGTGGATCCTAGCAGACACACACAGCAGTTTATTTTACAAACAATTTAGTATCAGAAATTGATCTGTAGCTTTCTTCGTGAACAATCAATGCACCAATTATGATAGATGGAATGATCACCAGAGTTGACAAGATATTCGATTATGGCATTTCTTATAGAGCCACCACAAGTACCTCTGGGTAATCATATAGTGAGATGGTGCATATATGCCACCCTACTGGACAGGATATGCATAGAACGAACAATTTACCCGGCGGCTCCACAGCAACAGGTGAACTAACATATGCACACATAGAAGTGTTCAGATGTGAGATGATATCTGCACGATTGGATAACACTTCTCCGAATGTTGCTGAGCACAAAGTTTTTCTTAAAGAAGCTGAAATTCTCTTCAACATCATTGAGTAGGTCACACCTTTGAAGTCAACGTTCATGAAAAGTTTTTTCCTTTTTCGCAGGGATGACATCTCTTGGTCCTTGGATTTTTTCGGCTAGATATTTTTGTCAATAAATTTCTTTTCCTTCACGTTCCCCTAGTGGAACATAGGGCTTCAAGCTAGAGTGGCTTGAAATTTCTGTAGCAGTGGTGTTTATTTTACAGGATGGGGTTGCTAGCCTCATGCCCAACCTTTCCCCTTTACCAGCATTATTTCTGGCTTATCGAGGTAAAGGAGTGCGTTGGCGGCCGGGGATCGAGCCCCGGACCATGTGCATGGTCGGCGAGCGTCCTAACCGCTATGCCACCGACGCAATAAATCTTGGTGGACAATTATTTCACAAGACGATTTCTTTCAAAAAGTGTAATTCTCCTCGAAGATAATCAAGGCTGTAGATGCATTGGATATGAGTTACAATAGATACATATAATTAAGTTTCGCCTACTACTAAACGGCACCCAACTGTAAAAACTTGTCAATTGGCCATTCCATGTGGTTTTTCTGTGGATGGATCTTCTTACAGTTCATCCATGGAAAATAAAGAAGCTTTATATGACCTACTCAATGCTGTTGCCTTTAAAAGAGGAGAATTTTGGTTTCTTTAAGAACCATTCGCCCAGTGATTTGCAGAAGCTCAAAAGACCAAGATCTTATATCTGACCACTTCTATATGTGCATATATATCAGTTCACCACCTGTGTGCTGTAGAACAACCGCTAGGCCGACCATTAGTCGTTCGACACGTATGCTGTCTGAAACAGAGGTTAAGAATACACTATCACACCACATGGTAGCAGAAAAGTACTAGTGGCTTTATATAAAGAATCCAATAATCAGACATCTTGTCACACTACTGGTCATTCTCTATCTGGAATAACTGGAATAAAAGCTGATAAGGCTAGTAATAATAACAATAATAATAATAATAATACCATGTACCTCAGACAAACAAAAGTGTCATTATAGTGAATGAATGAATGAATTAGTGTTATGAACACCATTAATGTTGCTGTTTAAATAACGTCGAATCAATAATATTGATAGATTACAGCTCAATAGCATCAACATAAAATAATAAGCTGAATGTCAGAAGAATTAGGAAAGATAATATTACAAATTCATGAATTTACAGTCTCTACTGAAGGCCGGCCAGGGAAGTAGTAGGGGCTAGCTGGACTTGCTTCTTTTGAAAACACAGAGCACTTGTTGTTTGAGGCGAATTACAATAGCCTCTGTTGTTTGGAGCATGCAGTAATTCGATGATGATTTTGACAATTTATTGGGCAGCCGGTAGATGATGATAGAGAATGATTCTTCAACGCTGGCTGACTTTGTGGCCGGCCGGTTTGCACCAGATGGTCCAATATCGAACTGTTGATGATGGTTTTCACTACACCTTTACTTAGCCATGCTGGGAGATGTTCTCGAGTGAGCACAAAAAATCAAGTTCCTACAGCAACGGTCAATATAACTTTTCATGCTGGAGAACATCTCCCAGTATGGCTAAGTAAAGGTGTAGTGAAAACCATCATCAACAGTTCGATATTGGACCATCTGGTGCAAACCGGCCGGCCACAAAGTCAGCCAGCGTTGAAGAATCATTCTCTATCATCATCTACCGGCTGCCCAATAAATTGTCAAAATCATCATCGAATTACTGCATGCTCCAAACAACAGAGGCTATTGTAATTCGCCTCAAACAACAAGTGCTCTGTGTTTTCAAAAGAAGCAAGTCCAGCTAGCCTCTACTACTTCCCTGGCCGGCCTTCAGTAGAGACTGTAAATTCATGAATTTGTAATATTATCTTTCCTAATTCTTCTGACATTCAGCTTATTATTTTATGTTGATGCTATTGAGCTGTAATCTATCAATATTATTGATTCGACGTTATTTAAACAGCAACATTAATGGTGTTCATAACACTAATTCATTCATTCATTCACTATAATGGATGGATATATTACTGTGGAGCCTGATGATGAAGGCGCTAGCGAAAAGAGTACTCTTTGGTTCAGTATTCATCCTTTCCATCTAGTGGAAAAAGGTATTAATCAGTAATGAAAACAGAAGGCAGAGAAAGACCCGCTTATCCTTCGAGAAGGGGTAAACAAAAATGAATGACTTACCTGACAGTCACCAGTCATTTTTGTTTATATCACATTTTTATGTATATATGATAGAGATTAGAGGGCTTTTTTTATACACGCTGTCGCTTTCATGCATATGAAAACATTCATTATACTCCAAAACTGTATATACCCACATTTCATGAAAGATGTTCAACAACGATAGTAGTAGTGGTGATAATAATAATATTACTTGAGGGGAGTATATATATGTACATACGATGAACTACATTATCTGCTGTCAAATCTACAGATTTTCTTACATTTTATTACACATATAACAGTAACATTTTATTCCTGTTGCATACGCGATTAGCACACACAACAATCCAAGATAGATAGTAGTAGCACCAGATGACCAAACCCACAACAGTTTCTAATAATATAAATAAGAAAAGTTGGTAAGAGAGATAGGGGGGTTTTCACTTCGAAATAAACACTATAAAGGCTGTAGTAACACTCACATACACAGTGTCATTAGCGATTGATGCAATGAGTATAAATGACAACTACCACCTACAACAACACCTACTAGACAATGTCGGCCGAGATTTGATGATGATCATCTTAAGTATGCAACCCAGGGTTTTAGTATTCAGTGAGGCTGTTTGTTTGTTTTTCTTTTTTTGTACACAGACACGAGGAGTGTTTTGCATCACAAAATTAAAGTTTTCGGTGAATGTTTGATATTTTTTTTATATTCTCTTTCACATTCAACACCCACCTACCTCCTGAATAAATTCCTCGCCGACTGGATTCGATTCTTGAGAGATTAAATGTTTCAAGTCGAGAAATTTTTGTAAGAATGCATTACCAGCATCCAATTCGACTTCCTTACAATCTCCATAGTTCCCATATGGAACAGAGCAGTCTGGAAGAAATTGAAAATTGAAAAAGTTTAGTGTGAAAACAACCATCAATGAGATGGTGATAGTAGTGATTTGGTGATGGTGATGTGTGTTATGAGATTTCATTTAACAAATGATGATTATGTGTGAAAGCAAACAAATAGTGGGGTTCAACCCAGTTAATCAACCTACCAACCAATCCCCTCGACGTAGGGGCTGACTGAGAATAAAGTGAATGAAAAGCATGCAGCCAACTAGTAAAATTTCAGGATTTCATCATGAACTGACATCGGTTAGAGAACCAGTCTCTCTTTCTCTCTCTCTGTTTTCAACATTGAACTTCGCACCGACGTGCAGCAGTTGAATTCTCCAGAACTAGTGGAAAACCGGCTAGGAGTACTGGACAGCTCTTTCGTCCTAGTCTTTTTGGGTTCATCGTCGACAGTACGCACCCAGTGAGGCTCAAAAACAGGACCTTTCCGTTACAAGGCCGGTGAGCGGGTGGACCATTGATTCAGCCACTGGTACTCGATCCAATGGCGAACTCATGAATCCCAATTTTGCCAATTCACGATACAGCACGACCACTAGAGAATGTTATCTGTGGCGAGTATTCGTCCTCACACCCCGACATGCTGTACCCCAGTGGTCGCCACTTCAGACTAGAGCCCAGGTCCTAAATACCTACCTGAATAGGACCAGTCACTAATGAGCATCAGATCAATATTTAAGTGTTGGTTTGCAGGCATTTGATTGGTTCAAGGATATCATCAGTCTTAGACATTTTTAACCATATTAAAAGTTGGTTAGTTCAGTGGGGCAAGGAACTATTCTGATTGGCTGAGACCATTGTTTCAAGGTTAAACGAAGAGGCGAAAAGTTGTACGGTGAGATTATTTATTTCTAGACCACACAATGTAAAGTGAATCCAGATATTTAAGGAATAAGCACTACTTATACCCCTGGAACAACTACCGACTCGAAACCATCGTCGGTTTCCCTATCGATCTGCATACGCCACACACTATGGCATGGATAGGATAAGGTTTTGAGTTGTAGAATTAGCCTAATAAACGTGATGAATGAATTCTTTGGACGACGGAATGCGCGGTGGAACAGCGGTTAGGACGCTCGCCGACCACCATGTATGTGGTCCGAGGTTCGATTCCCGGCCGATGCGCACCTGATATTAATGGTCGATCTGCTAAATTTGGGTTACCGATATCACATGCTGAAAATTCCATACTTGTACCAAAAATACTGTGTGGAATCAAGCTATAATCAAAAAACAATAAAAATACAATGCATTCAATTTTTCCAAATCCTAAATAAAATTAGGAAATTGAGTCTAATGGTGTAGTAGGACTTAAGCACAGATTTACTACGAAGCACCATACTACTACTAATTGTTTACAATCATGGGCTCGTAAGTAGTATGTGTTATTTTCATGATACAATTCAATAAACACTACCGCGTTATCATTACTATTATATTCCTTTACATTCCTAGTGGGGAACATAGGGGCTTGAAGTTTCGGTAGAAATGGTTTTATTTATTTTAACGCGGTGGGTTTGCTAGCCTCGCGGCTAACCTCCCCTTTTTACTCCGGGGCTTACTACCGGCTTAGCGAGCGGGGTTTCAGGAATACATCGACCAAGGATAAAACCCCAGACCACATGTATGGTTGGAGAGTGTTCTAATACTTCTGAACCACGAACGCAAAATCCGTACTCTTAAAGAGAGAGGCGCGTAATTAAACGTCAAATTGTTCATGCCGTTTTATAAAGACGCTTCATATAGCACTATTCACAAACAGAACTAAGTAATAATGAATGAAACTAAATATATGCGGCTAGGAATTGAAGCAGGAAATTCCACTTAACAATTCGACAATAATAATCATAAAACACACACACACCTCACGGAACTAATTCTAATAAGATAATAATATGATTGTAGAAAATAATACTTTCACATACTACTTACCTCTGTTCATATATAGAGCGAATGCGCCTAATGGATCACCGGCAACTTCATCTGGTGTCTTCTTTAATTGTCCTTTCAGTAAACGAGAGACACGACAAAGACGTTTATGCTTTTTCCATCTTAAATGAGCATAAAAATGACGACCATTTTGGAATGTTTGTTCACACACTTCACAGTAGTCAGTACGTCTAGGAGTTTTCCTCTATATTGAATAAAAACAAATAAATGAATAAATAAAACGCAATAACATCCTACTGAATTATCTAAGGTTGATAGTTCGAGAACAACAATATGGTAGGCTACATCCTTGAGATTATTTAGTAAAATGGAGAGAAATGATGATCCTATCTGATAAAAACTAATAACTTACATGCAGGAATTCATCATGAATGACACCAGTTAGAGAACCACTGGAAAACAAGCCGGGAGTACTGGATAGCTGTTTCTGTTGTCCTAGTTTGGGACTCTTCATCAGTACGTACCCACCGGGGTTTGAACCCACGACCTTCTGGTTACAGGGCTAGCGAGCTCGTAGACCACTGAGGGATTAGCTTGACTAATAGTATCTAAAGTCTTAGCGTCAATAATCATGCGTAGACTAAGTGGTGCTCGGGAGACACAAACACGAGAGAGCCAGGCAGGCTTTAGACCAGGAAGAGGGTGTATTGATCATATCTTCACCCTCCGACAGATTCTAGAACATAGGAATTCCTACCGGCGTCCAACAGTCATTATATTTCTTGACCTAAGGCAGCATTCGACTCTGTCGATCGAGTTCTCTGGAGATGCTTGGCTGTAAAGGGAATTCCGAGAAAATATATTGCACTGATTAAGGCACTCTACTCGTACTCATACAGCCAGGTGAGGGCTTACGGCGAGCTGTCATCTGAACTGGTGACGACCAGTGGTGTCCGTCAAGGATTCCCATTATCCCCTTTTCTATTCAACTTCATCATAGATGTGTTAATGGACTTAACCCTAAGTGACTTCAGCGACTCAGGGATTGACTTACTACCAATGAATAATCTCGTTGACTTGGAATATGCAGACGTTATAATCCTTCTAGGCGAAGACACTGACGAAATGCAGTCTTCTAAACACCTTGAGCCGCAATCTACGAATGTTTGGCATGCGAGCGATTCGCTCCCGCCAAATGCAAGATGATGTTACAGGACTGGACTACATCGACGCCTAGTTTAAAAATAGGAAGTGAAGTGGTAGAGCACGTTGACCGCTTCTCTTATTTGGGAAGTACCATCAGCCAGTGCCAACGGGTTGATCTCTGACGAAATCTCAGCACGAATATAGGGGGCTCATTTCGCATTTGCCAGTTTACGCCGACTCTGGCGTAGACGAGATGTTCGACTATCGACCAAAGGGCGGGTGTACTGCTCATCAGTCCGCTCCGTCCTCCTTTATGGTTGTGAGACCTGGCCACTGAGAGTGGAAGACATGAAAAGACTAGCTGCCTTTGATCATAGGTGCCTGCGTTCTATTTCCCGTGTAAAGTGGCATAATAAGGTGAGCAACATGGAGGTTAGGCGTAGAGTTCTAGGTAAACAGGGGAAATCAGTCGACGAAGTCGTGAAGTTACAAAGACTGAGATGGTTAGGACATGTGTTACGTATGCCAAGCCATCGCCTCCCTCGACGAGCTATGTTAGCGGATATAGGGTCAGGCTGAAAAAAAGCTAGCGGCGGTCAAACAAAAACTTGGCTTCAGTCAATGAAATCCACAACAGTTGGTCTAAGCCACGTAGGAAGGTGCAGACTTCCAGGCTGGGGTCCTCGGGACGGTAAAAATCTATGGTTGGAAACAATTGGTGATATGGCTCAAAATGGTTTTAAGTGATAGAGCAGATGCATCCACTCCTTGTGACTTATGATATCCAATGAAACTGTTTTGTTCTTCGCTATTACTCCTCCTTTGTCTCACACCTCTGCTCACTGTCTCTATTATGCTTTTCTTGTACTTTCTTCTCTTGCTTCGCGTGCTACACGGAGTGTGGCGACTTGAACTTCCGCACATTTGTGCAAAGTTCTATGTCGAAAACAGACAGACAGACCACTGAGCCACTGGAACCCGATCCAATGGTTCTTGAATTCTAACTTCTGTCAATTCCCGACATAGCGCGACCATTTCGCATTGCTTCTTCGGTGAGTTACTGCCTCACCTTCAACCTCCTGTACCCTACTGATCACGGCTTCCCACTAGAACTCCAGGTCACTACCTGAATACGGCCAGTCGCTAGTGAACATCAGATTAATTTTCAAGTATTGGTTTTGTAGGGACTTTTATTTGATTGAATGGAGCATTTCATCATGAGCTGACATCAGTTAGAGGACCACTGGAGTACTCCCAAGTTTTGAGCCATATCAACAATTTTTCCGGCCATCCCGAGGAACCCAAACATACTGGCACTCTCTACACCTCTCCATGTGACTGGCTGAGACTAAATATTAAACACCTCATGGATTGATTCCATTCTTTCATTTGACCACCATTAGCTCTTTTCCAACTTGATCCTATACCAGCTGACGTTTCCCAACGGGTTAGGCGATGGCCAGGTATATGTAACACATGTTTTAACCATCATCTCAATGGAGGAAGCTTCACAACCTTCACCGTAGATTTTCCCTCCTTACCTAACCTCAATATTATTACCCTATTGTACCACCTATCTAACATGGGAGACAGAAGGCAGATACCCCATGATCAAAGGCAACTAGTCTTTTCATACCTCCCCACTCTTAATAACCATGTCTGACAGCCACAAAAGGAGAAGGGAGCGAGCTGCTGCTGAACAGAATAGACATCACTTCATCGATAGGCAATTGGGTATCACGTCTACACTACAGACATGATGCAGACCATCAAGTGCCACGTGAACCTTCCCATTTCTGTCCTAAGGTTTCTTCAGGACTATAGAAATAACACGATTTTGAGACAATCATAACATACATTGAGATAATGAAGACCGATTCCAAACCAACAGAGGTTACCTGATATGTATCCACATGTGTGTTTTGTTTTTGAGTCTATTATATTTTGCTATGTGTATACGGATCGATATTTCATTATAACTGACAATATGCTTTTTTCTGTCCACTAACTAAATAAACGTGTATGACCTTGTTGTCACATGACATTACAACCAATCATGTTAAGACTGGCTATTTTTTGGTTCATGTGTATTAGCCATTTTTATGTATACTCTTGCTTTAGACACTTGTTCACACGTTTCGTACACTATGTGCCATTTCACTCACACTCTTGTGTGACATTTATTTTCCTTGTCTGGAAAATACGAGCATCATTGTAAACCTGGTGATCTTCTGATTTCCCTCTTTCCGCGTCAGGACTATTAACTACTCGACGAGTACATAACATTACCAGTCTGTATCTCATTTAAAAAAGGCTCTGGTATGGACCAGTGGATATAACGCTTTGGTATTTTTTTCAAACGTTGGGTACTGTGTGTTTGAGTTTCACTGGGAACAATCAGCCGGTAAGTCCTAAATACAACGAAATGCACACCCAGGGTATTCCATAACCAGCTACCATGATAAATAAATCAACAAAAAACAATGACAAAAACAGAATATTATTACTCATCCGTCGTAATAAGCATCTTCATACGCTTACCTGTTCTCCATCATCAGAATCTGTTTTATTATGATCGGATGATTTCTTCATATGTCCTTCTGTAGTTATATGCTCAAGATAATGCTCCTTCCTCTGAAAGTTTCGTTTACAATCATCACAATGGAAATTAGGTCTTCTATTTCTATTCTAAAATATTTTGACGAGGAAACAAAATAACAAAACAAAATTTGGAATAAGATAGATAAAATTGGGAAATTCAATATTAATTGGCATATGAATTCCACAGTCTCCATAAGTGGGTACATTGGTAAACAGTGATGCTACATCTAAGGAAAACATTTGCTTCCCATTGACATTGATATCATCCACGTTAGCAATAAATTCAAAAACCCCTTTAACACCATGACTTACTACCTACCATCCTGTGTAACGGTTGGAGGAGTTCACACCTAGCCACTTTGCCACTCTATGGTAGGTGGAGTTTGACATATCCCGGACTGGACGAAGAGGAAGTCCTGGTTTTGTGTATTTTGGGCAGACCATACAGACGTGAAGTATTACTTCCAGTAGGTTTAAGACGGGGTTATAGGATGCCTCTGAGATTACTCCACTTTTTCTAAGTTCCTTAAGCGTGTTAGTTAACTGCTTTTCAGCCTTTCCATCCAGATCTATTGGGTTAAATAAGGTTTTGGAACTTCGTTTTATCCGTTAGAAGCGAATTCATCTTGTCAAAATCTGTCTGTTTTCGACATAGAACTTTGCACAAATGTGCGGAAGTTCAAGTCGCCACATTCCGTGTAGCACGCGAAGCAAGAGAAGAAAGTACAAGAAAAGCAAATAGAAACAGTGAGCAGAGGTGTGAGACAAAGGAGTAATAAAGAAATACAAAACAGTTTCATTGGAGATCATAAGTCACAGGGAGTGGATGCATCTGCGCCACTGAGAACGATTTTGAGCCATGTCACCAATTGTTTCCAACCATAGATTTTTGCCGTCCCGAGGACCCCAGCCTGGAAGTCTACACCTTCCTACGTGGCTAAGACCAACTGTTGTGGATTTCATTGACTGATGCCAAGTTTTTGTTTGACCGCCGCTAGCTTTTTTCCAGCCTGACCCTATATCCGCTAACATTGCTCGTCGAGGGAGGCGATGGCTTGGCATACGTAACACATGTCCTAACCATCTCAGTCGATGTAGCTTCACGACTTCGTCGATTGATTTCCCCTGTTTACCTAGGACTCTACGCCTAACCTCCATGTTGCTCACCTTATTATGCCACTTTACACGGGATATAGAACGCAGGCACCTATGATCAAAGACAGCTAGTCTTTTCATGTCTTCCACTCTGAGTGGCCAGGTCTCACAACCATAAAGGAGGACGGAGCGGACTGATGAGCAGTACACCCGCCCTTTGGTCGATAGTCGAACATCTCGTCTACGCCAGAGTCGGCGTAAACTAACAAATGCGAAACGAGCCCCTTGTATTCGTGCTGAGATTTCGTCAGAGATCAGCCCGTTGGGGCTGATGGTACTTCCCAAATAAGTGAAGCGGTCAACGTGCTCTACCACTTCACTTCCTATTTCTAAACTAGGAGCCAGCGTAGTCCAGTCCTGTAACATCATCTTGCATTTGGCGGGAGCGAATCGCATGCCAAACATTCGTAGATTGCTGTTCAAGGTGTTTAGAAGACTCTGCATTTCGTCAGCGTCTTCGCCTAGAAGGACTATATCGTCTGCATATTCCAAGTCAACGAGATTATTCCCAGGTAGCAAGTCAATCCCTGAATCGCTGAAGTCACCTAGGGTTAAGTCCATTAACACATCTATGATGAAGTTGAATAGAAAAGGAGATAATGGGCATCCTTGACGGACACCACTGGTCGTCACCAGTTCAGATGACAGCTCGCCGTAAGCCCTCACCTGGCTGTATGAGTACGAATAGAGTGCCTTAATCAGTGCAATATATTTTCTCGGAATTCCCTTGACAGCCAAGCATCTCCAGAGAACTTCCCGATCGACAGAGTCGAATGCTGCCTTTAGGTCAAGAAATATAATGACTGTTGGACGCCGGTAGGAATGCCTATGTTCTAGAATCTGTCGGAGGGTGAAGATATGATCAATACACCCTCTTCCTGGTCTAAAGCCTGCCTGGCTCTCTCGTGTTTGTGCTTCCCGAGCACCACTCAGTCTACGCATGATTATTGAGCCTAAGACTTTAGATACTATATTAGTCAAGCTAATCCCTCTGTGATTATCACAGGAAGACTTGTCTCCCTTCTTGTATATGGGGATAATCAGTGACTTACACCAACCCGATGGGACTTCTTCTGATTCCCAAACGTTGCCTAGTACCTCAGTTAATCCGGACAGTAAGCTGTCTCCACCGTACCTAAATACCTCTGGAGTCATTCCATCAGGTCCCGCTGCTTTGCCTAGTTTCAGATTGGTGACAGCTTTAGTAACCTCAGTTAGTGACGGAGGACCTGTATCTATATCCCATTCAGGGAGGTGTTGGATGCTCGGAAGGTTGTCAAAATAATCACACTTATTCATCAATACTACTCCGTCTCCTTTATCAGGTCTACTGATTATAATTTTTTCGTCGTTCCTTAACTTTTTTAGAGCTTCTCGATGCTGTTTAGTCTGTCTGTCTGTTTTCGACATAGAACTTTGCACAAATGTGCGGAAGTTCAAGTCGCCACACTCCGTGTAGCACGCGAAGCAAGAGAAGAAAGTACAAGAAAAGCATAATAGAAACAGTGAGCAGAGGTGTCTGTCTGTCTGGATTCAACATAGAACTTGGCACCGAAGTGCACCAGTTCGAGTTGCCACCTTCCAAATAGCACAGAGGTAGACAAGAAGATGAGTGAAGAGAATTTATAGAGTTTGACAGATATAAGAGTAAAACAGAATGGGTAATGGTAGAAAGGAATATGAAAGATTACAGAGATTGAATACATCTGCGCCATTGACAACGATTTTGAGCCATGTCACCTATTGTCTCCAGCCATTGATTCCTAGAGTCCCGAGGGCCCCAACCCGGGAGTCTGCATCTCCCTACTTGACTCAGTTTAACTGTCAAGGATTTCATGGATTGATGCCATGTTTTTGTTTGGCCACCACTGGCTCTTTTCCAACCTGAACCTATATCAGCTAACAATGCCCGTCGGGGGAGGCGGTGGTTAGGCATGCGCACCACGTGACCTAGCCATCTTAGTCTATGTAACTTTATAACCTCGTCGATTGATTTTCCCTGTTTGCCCAACACTCTACGCCTAACGTCAACATTACTTATCTTGTGAAACCACCTAACGTGAGACAGAGATCGCAGACATCTATGATCGAAAGCAGTCAACGTTTTCATGTCTTCAACGCGTATTGGCCATGTTTCAGAGCCATAGAGAAGGACGGAGCGAACTGATGAGCAGTACACACGTCCCTTGGTTGATAACCGGATGTCACGCCTACGCCAGAGATGGTGTAAGTCAGCGAAAGCAGCTCGAGCTTTTCGGATCCGTGCTGAGATTTCATCGCCAATCAGTCCGTTGGTGCTAATACAACTTCCCAAGTAGGTGAAGTGGTCAACATGTTCTATCACTTCACTCCCTATCACTAAGCTAGGAGTTGACGTGGTCCAGTCCTGTAGCAGCATCTTACATTTTGTAGGGGCGAATCGCATGCCAAACATACGAAGATTGCTGCTCAAGGTGTTCAGAAGACTCTGCATTTTGTCAGAATCCTCCCCTAACAGGACTATGTCATCTGCATATTCTAAGTCCATAAGACTATTCCCTGGTAACACGTCGATTCCTGAGTCACTACGTTCAGTTAAGGATACTTCCATTAGCATATCTATGATGAAGTTAAACAGAAATGGGGAAAGTGACATCCCTGTCGGACACCACTGGTTGTTACCAATTCAGACGACAATTCCCCAGAGGTGTGAGACAAAGGAGTAATAAAGAAAAACAAAACAGTTTCATTGGAGATCATAAGTCACAAGGAGTGGATGCATCTGCGCTGTCACTGAGAACGATTTTGAGCCATGTCACCAATTGTTTCCAACCATAGATTTTTACCGTCCCGAGGACCCCAGCCTGGAAGTCTGCACCTTCCTACGTGGCTTAGACCAGTCAGTAAACTCTTACTAGAATGACTACTGTTTTTATGCTGTTGACAACTGTCGACTAGTGTAGTTTTAAACCTAGAGACTTCAACGTCTGACGTTGGGGTTTAATCTTTAGTTTGTAGGAGGAGCTTTTCAAACTGGATGTTGGTATTGAGTTGGTTGATCTTATATCCTTGGTCACAAAATCTAGGACCCAATGATAACGCTTCTAGCTGTAATTTATCTAGTTACACTTGAAAAATTATGGACGTACCGATAGGGGTCTGAAGGGAAATCCTTTAAAGGATTTTGATTGTCTAATGATTTGACAAGTCTCGCTTCCCAAAGCACTTTGATTTGATTGATTAGTCATCAATATTAGTGAGTAGATTTCAGTCTATTGAGCAAGTTTCCAATCTTATAATGAACTATAACCTTTTCGAGTTGCTATGGAAACCTACTAGCTAACACTGTTTATTAGATTTTTCTGAATTCCGTCTTCTCCCCCCCTACCACCCCACCTCTTTTTCTATTTTGAAGGCATATAAATTGATGGTAACTTTAAACTAAAAATTGTAATACTTACCCTTGGGGATACAACAATTCTATAATGTTCAGGTGTTGGTTTATAGGGATTTGATTGGTTACAGGATTTTCATCATGAGCTAACATTAGTTAGAGAACCATTGGAAAACCTGGGAGTACTGGACAGCTGTTTTGCCCTAGTTTGGGACTCTTCAGCAGTACGCACCCACCGGGATTCGAACCCGGGACCTTCTGGTTACAAGGCGAGCTCATATACCATTAAGCCACTGGGCAGAAATTAGAATTCGTGGGTCTACGAGCTAGCTCGCCTTGAAACCAGGAGGTCCTTGGTTCGAACCCTGACGGTGGGTGCGTACTGCTGAAGAGCCCAAAACTATGCTGAAGAAACAGCTGTCCAGTACTCCCTGCTGGTTTTCTAATGGTTCTCTAACTAATGTTAGCTCATGATGAAAATTCTATAATGTTTTCTTTACTACAATTCAAACACCGAAGCATATCATTGTCTTTGTGTTCATTTATTCCTTTGCGGTCCCAGTGGAACATACGTCTTCCAGCTTAAGCTTTGGAATTTCAGTAACAGTGGTGTTGTTTATCCTTTTACGGGGTCGGGGGTGCTAGCCTCATGCTAACCAACCTTCCCTCTTTCTCGGAATTATAACCAGCTAAGGAAGGAATAAAGGGGTGCGTGCAGTGGCTGGGAATTGAACCCCACAACACCACATTCATGGTTGGCCAGCACTCTACTGCTGAACCACCTACTTATCCACTGTGTTTATTATCAATGTAATTTCAGGCAGTGGCATGCAGCTGACGATGATGATATCGTTGTCTTATGCTGCATGCAGATTTGGCCTTTCCCTCTCTCTTTATCAAAACTTATAAGGGGGAAGCAAGTGGTGAATGAAAAGTTACATTTTTGTGACTGTGCAATATACTATAAATACACACATACTTGCATAATAATGAGGAAAAAAATAACTCACCATATTTCGGCGAAAATCACTCCTAGATCTGCTTTTAACGCGTTTCTCTTCAGGTGCACTAAAACTTTTCTTAAAGTTACGTATATGCCTGTCAGAGTCTAAATGCATTGAATAGCTATGCTCATCAGAGAAAGCAATAGCACAGTATTTGCAGTATATGCGCAGCTTTGGTTTACGATTCTATGCAAATGAACAAGAAAAAACAGACCAAACAACGAAAAACGATATCGATGTGTGTATTCAAATTTGAAAAAAAATAAAGTGCCTAACAAACTAATAACTATTGTTGAAAATGCATCTGATGCTCGCTATTGACTACTGCTGGCTACAGCTACAGGATAACTAAATTGTCAAGTATTGGTTTTGTAGGGATTTTGTTTCATTGGATAGAGGATTTCACCATGAGCTGACATCAGTTAGAGAACCATTGGAAAACCTGGGAGTACTGGACAACTGTTTCGTCCGAGTTTAGGACTCTTCACCAGTACGCACCCACCGGTGAATTGGCAGAAGTTAGGATTCATGGGCCGTTGGATCGGGTCCCAGTGGCTCAATGGTCTACGAGCAAGCCTTGTAACTAGAGGGTCCCGTGCTCGATCCCAGGGTGGATGTGTACTGCTGAAGAGTCCCAAACTAGGACAACACATTTCTGGTACTCCCAGGTTTTCAGTGGTTCTCTAACTGATGACAGCTCATGATGAAATCCTCCATAAAATAACTAAATTGCTTGAAGCTGCAGTCAGAAGTCGTGACCAGTGGGAACCCACATCCGGTCAGGATTGAGGACAAATAGTTACCAGCGATGACACTAGCTGTTTGGTACCAGTCGCGGTAAAGTTACAAACTAATAGAAGTTATAATTCAAGGGTTGGCCATCGGGCCAGGTCCCGGTGGCTAAATGGTCTATGAGTTAGTCTTGTTAGCCGGAAGGTCATAGTTTCGAAAACCAGTGGGTAATTGGGATGAAACAGCAACTGTTCATTACTCCTTGGTGATTTTCAATGCTTCTCTCGCTGATATAAATCCGTGGTCAAACTATTAAAAAACTAGTTGAAAAAATTCTAAGCTAGATGAACAACACAAGGTAATTATACACTCATTATTATTATTACTATTATTATTTCCTTTAATTCCTAGAGGAACATAAGGTTTCAGTTGCACGTCTCCATCGCGTTCGGTTCCCTGCTAAAGTTTTCACCTGGCTCCGATTCTGCCCACATGCTTTCACCTCCTCTTCATATGACCTCCTCCAAGTCACCCCACCCTCGCACTGACGACCAACTCGCCACTTCCCTTTCGGGTTCCTTTCGAGGCTTGTCTAGTGATGACACTTGATGGTTTCCTCAGAGTATGGCCAATCCACCTCCATTTCTTCCTGCTTGTTGCACAATCGGTTCCTGGTTAGTATGCCAGGATCCTTATTGCTGATCTTTTCTGGCCATCTGATCTTGAGTATTGAGCGAAGGCAGCTGTTGATGGAGGTCTGTAGTTTGTTTGTGGTGCTCTTTATGACACACCAAGTCTCTAATCCGTATAGTAAGTAGCACTGACTTCACATTGGAGTTTAAAATCCGGATCTTATTTTTGATGCTGAGTGCTGTTGACCTCCAGACAGGCTCAGGAGTAATGAAAGCTTGTCTTGATTTCCCGATCCTTGCTGCTTTGATATCCTCGTCAGTTCAGCCTGCAGTTGAAATGATGCTTCCCAGGTAGATCATACACCCATAGGAACGGTAATTTAGTAGTCGATTGTCATGAAAAAAAATAGGCGTTATAAGGAAAGAATTCATTCTCCCAAATGAAAACGCAGAACTCAGTATGCGAAGGGTATTTTAAAAAAATAGATGTGTTTGAAAGCATATTCCAAATCGACCCTTGAACAATAATTGTTATGAACAACAAATAAACCCATCCAATTCGGTATACTAAGGATATGAAGCGCCAATAACGCGGAAGAATAGTAGAATAATTTGCCACAACTGATGGTTGGGGGGCTAGTGGATGATTATTCCACAGTCTTGCTAAGAACTTTATTATAACTATATGATCGGATCAGAAAGAAATTATTTTCATGAGTTAATTCGTGGGGATTTGATTTGTTTCAAGACTACTGATTGATAACAACTGAAAAAACATTGAAAACCAAACCAGGGAACACTGGACCGCTGTCTCGTCCTAGTTTTGGATTCATTGGAAGTACGCACCCACCACAGGGCAGAAGTTAGAACCCAGGATCATCCGGTTACAAGTTAGGCTGGTAGGCCATTCAGCCACGGGAACCCGACTCGATGACCAGTGCACGAATCCTTACTTTGACCAACAGCCAATGATCATAGATGAGTACTTTTCCTCACTCCCAACAGGGTGGACCCCAGTGGTCACGAATTCTTAGAACTTGAGTCAACTATCTTCGCCCTCTAACCAGTCACTAGCGAGCATCTCGACGGTTGAGATGAAGAGAGGTTAAACAAGAAAAGTAACAAGAAAAATACTTGAGACTACTCATAGGACAACCCCTAACGAGGAAATAACTGGTTCTTCTGATATAGAGCAAGCATGATTACAGGCTTTCAAAACTACGGAATTCAATAAAATACTTTAATAATTACGAAAATATGTAAAAAAAAATGCATAAATAAATTAACAAAGATTATCAAAGCAACCATAGTCTCTGCTAAAATACAGTAAATATTATTCCGAAGAATGAAATAAGCGTACGTACGTTTGAGTGAATTATATGGAATGGGATAGAGTGCTGTTATAGTGAACTCTATAGAAGATTTAGTGATAATCCCGTTTAGTCTTAATTATCTGCATTTAGTAGTAAGCCAGAAATGAGGAATTGATCAATTGTAGTCATTCAAGAGTCAATTCATTACTAACAGTTAAAGTTAAAAGTAACCAGTATGAATTCCTTTTATTTCTACCCCTCTCCTCTGCCAACGTCCATCACCTCAAGACAGTTGGACTAACATACCTACTAGGTTACACTCACTCAATGACCACCACATGAACGGCTGAACCTCTTATGCAAAGTTCTACGGATAAACATCATTGTGAAAAATGAAAGGAACATCTGTTTGGTGCTTGAAGACCTGAATATGATCAAATCATCACTAAGCCATTATAAGACTATCTTCTTTACTGATATTGTACAGTTGCAGAGTTTGTCAAACTCTTTTTTTCACGCTATCAATCCTAAAAAGAAGATTTGATTTCATAGGTAGTTCGATCCCCGGCCGACACACTCCTAAACCCCGCTCGCTAATCCACTGGTAAGCCCAGTGGTGAAGAGGGGAGGCTGAGCTAGGTGAAGCTAGCACCCCTACCCCGTATAGATTTAATAAACCCCACTGCTACTGAAACTTCAAGCTCCTAGCTTGATGGTCCACCGGAAGGAAGGTAAAAAGGAATAAAAATAATAATAAATAACAAGTAATCTTACTTTATCAGGCGTAAGTGTAGGCGTTTGGTAACGTGATTGATTCAATGATTCACGAGAACCATACCAGTAACCAGCAGGTTTTGCAGGCGTGTGCATTTGATTCCCACCTGGAATAGAGAAAGGGAACACAGCTTTTGTTGGTGATTAACCGAGAGATGAGAGATGAAACAAATAATAACTTGAGAATACAATTTTATGACTAATACTTGTTATTTCAGAAATACTGCCTACTCACAAATTATCAAAACACTTAGCAATAATATTATGTTTCATTAGAAATCGTTCAAACTAGGTTAATTCATTCATATGAAATGAAAAAAACTAAACGACATTCGATTAGAGAATAATGAGAAAAAATGGTTAGTACTCACTTGATTAAACTAGTGTTTATACTGTGTGAGTCGGTGGTATAGCGATTAGGATGCTCGCCGGCCATGCAAATGGTCCGGGGTTCGATTCCCGGCCGCCAACGCACTCCTAACCTCGCTAAGCCAGAAGTAATGCTGGTGAAGAGGAAAGGTTGGGCATGAGGCTAGCAATCCCATTCGACCACTGCTACAGAAACTTCAAGCCACTAGCTTGAGACCCTATGTTCCACTGGGAACGTGAAGGGAAAAAAGGCTGACGAAACAGCTGTCCAGTACTCCCGACTTGTTTTTCAGTGGTTCTCTAACTGATGCAAGCTCATGACGAAATCCTCCATGCAGTCAAACAAAATCCCTACAAAACCAACATTTGACAGTATTAGCTGGAGTGAGAAACATAGGCCTCGAACCTAGGGCCAAGGGTTTATTAATGAATTGGAATTGGAAAAAGCGGTTAATAATTTAAGAGCAATCTATTCTATTTATGCTCACATAATCCTTATCCATTGTTCACAAAGACCAAGGACTCTATATGAAAATTTCAAAAAAAACTTACTCCAGTGAGCGTTTGACGCAGACTGCATAGGTGCAGGAGTCCCAGGATAACCACCACCACTGCCACCACTATACTGACCAGTAAATTCACTTACAGATGATTCATAATCTTGTACCTGTGAAAATCAACAGCAAAATGAAAAAAAATTTCATTATGAACTGCTGATTTCAATATCTTACTGAAAATTATGCTCGTTTAAAATAAACATTAGTTATGAAAATTTCGACTCAGATAAACGACAGTCATTTCAGTATCACATTTCCAGAATGAATGATCTTACAAAATTTGGTAAACTCACAATTTGGAGTACACTTACATCTACTCCAGTTTTCTTCACTCACTAATAGAGAAGATTCAGACGCTTTCGGACAAAAAAATTCCATCAACGGGAGGGATTTGAAGGAGGTTAATTTATTCACTTATCTAGCATTGAACACTGTCTCAAATACAGGCAGTTGGAACGGATAAGGATGTCAAATCGAGAGTCGGGAAGGCGACACCAATCTGGAAATCTTCGTCACTCAGCACTAACAACAAAATTCGGTCGGATTTTCAATACAAAAGTCAAGTCAGTTCTTGTATACATATACGGACCAGAAAGTTGGCGGATCACAAAGAATATTTCCAACAGCCTGTTGCAGACCTTTATCAACAACAACTGTCTTCGCTCTATACTGAAGATCAGATGGCCGTGCCGGAAAGAATCACCAACAAGAAACTATGGGAACAAACAAAACAAGAACCAATCGCCCAACCAATATGCAGGAGAAAATAAAGATGGATTGGACACTGGCTGGGAGGCCGCTGGGTGACATGGGGCGCGCGTCAGGCCATTGCTCGAGTGGAACCCGAAAGGGGAGCGGCGAGTGGGACGTCGGTGTAAGGGTGACATGGAGATCGTGTGAAGAGGAGTTGAAACATTATAGACTAACATGGATGCAGGTGAAAAATAGAGCAAAGAAAAAAGCAAGTGGAGACGTGCAGTTGAAGCCCTATGTTCCACTAGGAACCCAAAGGAACAATAATAATAATTGATGACAGTGAATCCTCAAAAGAATTTTCGAAAATCGAACCATGTATAACAAGTAAAACATATTTATGGATAAGCTAGAGGTTGCATACTACTGCTGTAAGAAGGAGACAGACTTTTTCAATACTAACAGTTACTGAAAGTTGGAAATGTGAAAACGTTGTGAAGCCGCCAACTGAAAACACAAGCTGCTTTACCCGGTGTGTTCTATAATCGTTGCAATGAAATTTGCAAACGACAAATACCTTCCTCGTGTACCACAGTGGGTGAAGAGTCAGTTCTAACTGGTCAAAGGTCACTAGTCAAGTGATAATACCTTCTAGTAGCATGTATTCACTGTCTAATTGACTGAACTTTGTGCTTGTAAGAATGTCCGGGTACTTGTTACTTCCCGGCTGATCACACCATAAAAACCGACTTTTCTCGAAATGGCTAAAACAAAAAGATCACCATTGAGTGAAAATAGGGCTTGTCACAGGTGGCTTGTTTGAAGTGCTTTTCGATGTGTCCGCATAACCCACCTCTCCAGAGCGAAAAGCTAGAAAAGAAAAGCTAGTCCGAAGGAAACGCTATTACATCCCTAGTCACCAACAGGACAACTTCATCCTCACATCCCAACATCATGTGAGAGAATTGAACTACGATGGTGATAACTTTAGGTCTAACTGCCATTCGAATGGTATTTCTACCATAGTACAACCCGCCGGAATATTCGTTTCGGCCAGTGTAGCTCCTTGGGTTATTGTGATATGCAAGCCCAATCACCCCATCAAGGTGCCAGTTACCGGTTGGGGTTCACCCTTTACTCCACTGTTAAGGTGCACACTTATATTTTACTCGATCCCTTTTCCGCTTTTCACTCTACTCAACTCACATATGGTGTGAGAGTGATATCTTAAGTCAAATATATATAATATGCTTGTTCTTTATCCAGATAAACTCAGCTGGGACACTATATTGTCTCAATGACATACTGAATGTTCTATTCATCCATGCAGAAGGAATTAAATGCCCTGGAATATTAACAAGTATAACATGAGCACTTAATAACTTGAGGTTGTAAAAAGTCTTCAGTGACCAACCGTATATAATTCAAACCAAATACATTGGTCTCAATCAGAAACCCCTTGTGTTTACATACAGTTGACAATGGGCCACACCCATTTCAACAGCTGATTATACTACCTTGTTAGCTAAACCCAACTGAGTAAAGAATTTTTTCAACCTGTGACCCGCCAGTAGAAATTTAAGCTCATTAAACCAATCAGTAACGGCTTCATAGATGATTTGTTGAGATATGAAGAGATTAGGGCTAAGCACTTGACACACACACAAACACTACTTGCATTTAAAGGTGGACAAAATGACTTCACTTCTGAAAATGTAGTCACGAAACTGAAGTTCTACTTTGTTTGTAACTAACATATGTGCAAAAAGGAAGGATCTGACTCAACTAACTGGTAGTGGAAGAAAATAACGTCTAAAAAATCAGGACTACAACAAGAGTAACAGAGACATCTTAGTTGTATACTCATTAAAGAATATCAAAATGAACTCACCTGAGGTCCCATATACTCAGTGAAGGAAGATTGTTGCTTGTTAGAATCATAACTGTAGGTGAATTGAGGTTCTTGTGGATTTGAATGCATTTGATTCCCACCTGTCATCACGTTCAGAAATAATTATAAACACGTTTAAACTCTCTAATATGATACTAAAGTTTCTAACACCTAAAGCATCACTATAACTTTGGCGCAACAAAAACATGCGATCAATCTTAATACCATACAAAATGCAGGTTACTTGAAGGAAACATTACCTAACAACCCCTTGAACTTTCATACAGTTGGTAATAACAGAAATGTATTGTGAGGACCAATGATATCAGCCGGCTTTCCAACTTTAAGTACGTGAGGTGCAATTTGAACCCGCAACAGAAAAACAGCGAGACAAATTGACTGATAAAAAATACAACATACAATTCGTTAACTACTGTTAATGATCTCAACTTCTACACTAAAACCTACAATATAGCACGATGTGTTTCATTGACTTAAGCGCTCTGCTTCAAACAACGGAATTTGGGTTTGAACCCCATTTTTGACTGCTTCAGCCTTGGCAACTTAAAAGTATTCGCAATCGTCACATAACATGTGATTCATGTCTTCATGAGACATGAGGACGTGTTCCGGGTAAATGTTTAAACTAACAAAGATCACACTACTTTGACAGAATGAGATGTGAATTATGTTAACTCTAATTTATGGCTCTACACCTTGTAATTCAGTGAAAAAATTCCTTCCGAATTGTGGAAATGGAACTGAATCCTCTACATTGAGAATCAACACAAATATGTGATTGAGCAGATTTCCCAAGCTACACACATATACTTCTCATGAAATGCTAGTGCACTGTATTATTATCATACATAGAGAATACGAAGTTACATTAAAAATAAACTACACATACTCCACGTATAGCTGGATTGCATCGGAACAAAATATCCATACTGTCCAGTATAATTGTTCATTTTAGAACGGTCAAGCTAAAAGTAAAAACACACATGTGAGCATATTTTAAAGAATATTCGTGAAAAGATGACGTTACGAAAAAAACTTGAAAATCAGTAGAGTAAATAAGCTATCATATATCACTACCATCAAAGTTACAAAACTAGCAAGATATATATGGAATCAGAGACACCTGAACTTCATATATAAGAACGTTGACAAGTGAAATGTTCTTCCAAAAACTTATTTCAGCTGCAACACTTTCAAGTACTGACTTAACTGATAGCAGAAAACAAGACATATCCTAACCGTAGGACAATACTAGAAGGAATTTTATTATACACAAGTAAACAGAAGCTAACCGACTGCATAACATACTAACATAGAAATTCTCACATGAATCTATAAGTTCCGGTTAACAGATTTTGACGCATAAAGAAAAGTATAAATCTACGATGGGAGATGCAACAGGATGACCAAGTGACAACGACAAACACTTCTGCACTATTGGAAACGATTTCTAACAACCTCATCTCAGCTATTAATTCTTCAGACGTTCAGCAACTCAATCAACAGTCTTTGACTTCATAAGTTGGTCGTGTATTTTGGTAAGGCTAATATTCCCTTCCGATCCCTCCTATTGTAGTCAACACTTCCTGATCCTCTTGCACACTACCTACTTGATAAACATCAACATGTTTCACTTAAACGGCTAACATTTTGCTTCTCCTAGTGAATGAACTAACGAGTGGCTTTGTAAATCTAGCATTAAGCATATTATCATTTTTTTCACACGACTATGTGCAGATCACCATTTGATATATTTATGAAAGCAACTTGAGTTTCACGTAATCCAAATTGACAACAGTTTGTCACTATTGAAGTGAGTATGGAATACAGCATACAACTCATGGTAATAGATTAATGCCACTTCATAAAGTTAATCAATAATGAGATAGTAATCCGAAGAAAAACCGATGGTGTCGGTGATACAGAAAAATAGCATTATAATATGGAGGAGGGATCTAAAACTGCAGTACATGAGTAATACTCATACCCAGAAAAGGCGCCAGAGAACTTGATGAAGAAAAACCACTGACTTTCCAGTATTCTCCCCAATGCATACAGACACCTTAGTAACAGTCACAAAGGCAGTTCCTACAGGCTTTGTTCCTGAATCAAGCCGGCGAAACGCTTCGCCAGTCAACTAATACAAATAATAACTACTAATAGCCGAAAACTAACCTTCTTTGGAAACCCAGAATAGAATAATTCGATTATAATACACAGAAACTTACGACTCAAAATTGCAAACAAACAGACCAAGCAAGTATGGAAACGAAACTGAACCTAGATGTCCCTCCGGATTCAATATTCAATGCGGTAACTGAGGTATACATTGGCTTCGAGGTAAAGTGTTCTTTAAGGCAGCGTCAATATGTTGATTTTCTCAAGATTCAGCCACATATTTCAGACGCATGCTAAAAACCTCCATAAACTCTTCACATTAGAAAATATCTAACTTGAGAATTTGTGATGATTCATATTCAGATTTCCAATACCCAATATCGCTTTTACGAGCTAGTATCAACCAATTTGATTTCTTTGTGTTCGCTTCTTGATTGTAAGGTATAGGTTCCCGGTCTTTGATAAGCTTCTGCGTAGCTCGTCCCGCCACTCGACTGTCGTAGCTTTGGTTGACTCCAAAGGGAGTAGTGCTGGGATTAATTATATGTGGTTTGAAGTATGAGGTGTGTTAAGACTGTTACTACTGTGATTGGAGTTGATCCTTTCGCCAGTTAGTCCTTCGGTATCGTCGACAAGAGAAAATAGATAGTAATAATAATAATAGATATAATTAATGAAGTTATTCAGACTAAGAGACAGAAAAGGAAATAGGAAAATGTAACAACAGTCAGCTCATTAAGTTTGAAGAATAATATATACATATATATATATCCTAATAATAATAATAGTAAGTGCAGTTAAAGTTGTCAGGAGAGTAAGACGGGAGAGAATGTAAAGAAGTAAAATGACGAGTTTAATTATCTACCCTGATTGGTAAATGCGATTTTAAGGAGATAGGCCATTTGGATGCAGTCCTTGTATCGCTGCATGGTTGTCCAGCCTTCGCTTAAAGGCGTCCAAAGACGGTGCCATAGCTACATCTGCCGGTAAGGAATTCCAGGGACGACAAACCCGCAGTGAAAAGAAGTGGGAGCGCACCCGGGTCCTTGCCCTCTGGTGAGCTATCCTTCTGGGATTTCCACGTGGAAGCCTATACCTACTCAATGGCAGAACACCTTTGTTTGGGTGATTCTGGTCATTTGTTATTTTGTAGGCAGTAATCAAATCCCCCCTAAGCCGACGGTAACTAAGTGTGAACAGGCCTAATTTCTTCAGCCTTTCATCATATGGTTTGTTTCGGAGACCAACCACTCCTTTTGTTGCCCGTCGTTGGACTCTTTCCAAGAGGTTGGCATCTCTTCTCAGCATTGGGGGTGCAATAATATTATGCACCTCAAGGTGTGGCCTGACGTATGTTTTGTACAACATTAGAAAGAGCTCAGGAGTGAGTGCACCTAACTGTCTATGCGTAAAGTGTATGACCGCATATGCCCTCGCTACATCCCCTGTGTAATTTACGCTTGTGTCCATTTTTTCCGTTAGAACTAGACCTAAGTCGCGTTCCGACGTTGTGCAGGACAAGCTTTCATTGCACAGGGTGTAACTTGCATTCTGCAGTCTACAGGTGCGCAACTTCACTACTTTGCACTTTTTCAAGTTGAAAGTCATGCCACTGGCCACCGCCCAGTCTTCCAGAAGGTTTAGGTCTTCCTGTAGCCTATCTGAGTCCTCCGGACACTTTATCGCCCTCCATATTTTTACGTCGTCAGCGTACAGGAGAGTCGGGCAGCTCAGACGGCGTGGTAGATCATTGATGAAAATCAAAAACATCAGTGGTCCTAGGATAGAACCCTGCGACACTCCTGATGACGATCTGTGCCAAGATGATCGGACTCGGTTAACCTTAGTGCAAAATTGCCTGTCGGCTAGGTAGTCCTTCAACCATGACAGAAGTGGCTCACCTATGCCTGCCTGGCTTATTTTATGTAGGAGAAGGTCATGGTGAACAGTGTCAAATGCCTTCTCAAAGTCTAGGAAGACCACATGGACTGGTACGTTCAAGTCCCAGCATGATGTCCAGTCGTCCCAAGCTGACAGTAGGTTAGTGACGCAGGATCTGCCTTTTCTGAAACCATGTTGGGCTTCATGCAGTATATTAGTCCTATCGAAATATTCCCTGATGTGGTCGTCAATAATACTTTCCAGTACTTTTGATACCACTGGGAGTAGAGCTACTGGTCTATAGCTAGCAGCGTTTTGCCTGTCCCCACCCTTGAAGATTGGAGAAAGGATGGCTCTTTTCCACTCCCTTGGCAGGGTCCCCGAATCCATTGAGTGTTGGAACAAGTCGCACAGGGGTCTACAGAGAGCCTCGGCGCACTGTTTCAGAACAGATGGCCTGATGTCATCACAACCTGGGGACTTCCCAGGTATGAGTCGCTGTAGCTTCCTTAGTACTATTGCGGGGTTTATTTGGGGAGTAGTCGCTAGGTCTTCCTCCTCTGAAATAGTGGTGCCACCATTTTGGTCCGTAACTGTAATATCCACATTGCTGTTTAGCTGTTTAGCGAAGGCTGAACTGAATGTTTCAGCCATCTCCAGACTAGTGAGATATTGACCGTTTGGGCCTACTAAGGCGCATGCCCCTTGGTTTGTCGGTTTTCTTTCCGACATGAATCGGTACAAGTTTTTAGGGTTTGATAGGAGTTTTTTAGCAAGGTTAGCCTGGAATGACCTTCTGTCCCTCCTGACTCTTGCATTACACCGGTTCCTGAGTTCGAGGTATGCATCATGGTCGGTCTGACTCTTAGATACACGCCACGTAAACCAAGCCTTCCGCTTTGCTTGCAGAATACGTTGCGTGCCTCTCTTCAACCATGACGTCTTTCTCTTGGGCTGTGTTGTGACTAAAGGGACGGTATCCGAGATTGCTGTATGGATAATCTTTTTTACCACTTCCCAGTGTTCATCCACAGATAGGTCGTCCCATGCTAAGGGCCAGTCTGCGTCGGACAAGAGCCTCCGCATTTCAGCATAGTCAGCCTTGCTGTAGCACAGACATGGTCGCGTAACATCCCATTGCAAACGCTCACGGAGGACAAGATCGAAACCTATGACTGCATGGTCACTGCTTCCCAGAGGAGTCATGATCTGGACCTTTTCGACGAGTAGCTGGTCACTAGTTAGAATATAATCTAGTTTTGATGACTTTCCACTAGGGCCCCACCTAGTGTCGTCTCCAACATTCTCAGTCAGTCCCGTGTTTCGAATAGTTTGCAGTAGGTTTCGGCCAAATTTTCCCTTAGCACACCCGGAGCCAAGGTTCAGTGATGGAGCATTGAAATCTCCAGCTATGGTGATTTGGTCGTAGCCCAAATCTCGTATCCCTGTGATAGTGCTGAGCAGTAGCTGATTGTGCTCTGCCCCACAGGTGGGAGATCGGTAGATGCCACCCAGTAAGTGCTTGGTGTGGCCTACGGTGAAATGACACCATATGGAGTCTGGGAGTTCGATAAGTGGTGGGTCCGTTGCGCGCACACATTTAAGTTGCCTATCAAAGTATATAGCAACTCCCCCTCCTTCCTTATTATCCCTGTCTCTCCTGACCAGTACCATATCACCTATACTGATTTCATTGTCGGCGATAGTGGGGTTTAGCCACGTTTCAGTGAGAATGATTATTTTCAGTTGAAGGTTTGCTTGGAGATTTCGGAGTTCACCTACTTTTCCTCTCAGCCCCCTCACATTGCTATATAGGCAACTGACAGTGAGTCTAACAACCTCAGAGTGTTGTGGGGTAGTTGACGTGAAGCTGTCTGCTGGCGGGGGACTTAATGTTGGGACTAGTTGGCCGATTCCGATGGAACCGGCCCGTTGTAGTTTTTCCATGGATTTAATAATAATAATAATGTATATTCTCATATAAACATATAAATTTACATGAAAATGCATGCCATTTTTACAGGCACGATCAAGTATGATATAATATCAAATCGTAGATTGTCTACAAGTTAATAATGTTTCAACAGTTAAATATTTGATATATATATATAAATACACTCATTGTCTGAACTAGGCTGTGTAGTTATTGAATTGTACAACTGTCCTCCAGGTTGAGCGGGAAAATCGACTTCGTTTCGTTTTCATCCCGTGGTTGTCGGCATACGATAACCAACCAATATTGGAATAAGTACAACGTTAACAAGGGATTGAAACATGTTTTAGAAAAGTAAGAAAGCTAAGGTGAATCAATAAAGTGCAATGAAATAGCTAAGTGAAAGTATCATTGATATTTGCATTTATAAAGGAGACTCCCTAGGCCGACAACGTTCAATTGCAATGTATAATGCTACCCATATAGTTCTTACTATCATGATGTCCACATTTATCCTCATGCCGTTTTTCATTTAATAACTTTTTGTGCATTTGGTGCACAACCGTACCCTACCGAGAATAGGAATAGAACGAGTCGAAACGAATTCATATAGAGCTATAAAATGTTAGGTTTAATGGAATATAATGAGGATCAAGTAAAGACGTTATTAGAAAATAAATGAGATGAGACATTGTGAATTGGTATTCAAAGATCCGGCAATGGACAGCAAGTTAATTTATAAGATGCTCCATAAATATGTGCAGAGCCCACGTGGTCGCATCTCAACAGTAGGCTGAGCGAATGGTATATATTTGAAGGCACAAGCATGATCTGTCTGGGCGTTCATTATTGTCTTTTTCAAGATAAAGATCTAAGCCCTCATAAAAATCAGAAATATCTCGAGCCTTCAAATTGTATATTGCTGTTCCTGCAGAATGGGGCGATTCAACTTAGTGACCCCACCATATCTACTGATCAGCTAACGCCACCCTCCCTCTTTAATTTAGGCAGGACACTTGGGTGACACAGACTGTTATTCTCAGAACTGCATCGCTCTAGTGTCACCGAAGCTTGGGGACGTATTAAAGCCTCAGTTTGCTGCCTCCTTATATTTCGGGGTCTGCTTTCGCAGCATCGGATGTGTCCTACAATTTTTCCCTTGGTCTCATACCACCGTTGAAGTGCTATGGACAAGTGCTCCGGGGAGTTGAATGTGACACTGTGCAGCTTTGGAGAGCTAATCAGTGTGAGATGAGCGGGGCGAGGTAGTCGGAGAACGGAGATGGGTCCATACACGCCAAGGGCCATCTGAGATGACAG